CCGTCCTCGTTGCCGCATTAACTCCCGGACGGTAACATAGATAGGCCTAGAGAATAGGGCCCTAGAGGTTACCTCAACAACGAGCGCCTCATCGGATAGAATAGGAAGAGGAATGGGTGCTAAACTGGGGTGGTAAAGGAGCGTCTTGAGGCCTAGGAATAGGCCTCTGTTTGTAAAGACCGTTTTGGCGGAGTACTCCGCATGGGAGGCCCTTGGCCGTCTAACCCAAGCCTATGGAGTCTCCACAGGTCAACTTGTCACACGCACTGGCAAAGTAATTGAATAGCTTGCTCACTTTCTCTCTCTATCTTCTCATAATAAGGCGATGCAGTATCTAGATTTATTGATCTGATCACATTAGTTACCTCCACCTTTGTTCAAAACTCTTTATCTATTTATATTGGCATGGTTGAAACCATATCTGCCAACTTGCGATGGACAATACCGTTTATCTCTGGAGAAACTTGCGAACCATTCGGCAAGCCATTCCCGACGGTCCCACTATCCTCGTAAGGGTCGCTGAACTGTCCTAGCGAGACACCCTCGATAATGGGAGGCGGAATGTCCACCGTGTCGAGGTAGGAAGTGGTGAAACCGCCCTGGCTTTGGGCCAGCGTGAGGCCGTTCCCAAGCCAAGAGAATCCTTGGCCTTCGCGCATATACTCGTAGTCAAAATCCTCGAATTTGGGATTGCTGAAGGCAATCTGGGCATGGACTGCCGATCCCGGCCAGAGGGCGGTCACACGTCCTTGCTCCTGGCCCCGTTTGAACCACGAGCGGCACTGGACTTGGGATCAGCGGATAGCACTATCCTCAATACTTGGAAGAACGTACGGTTTGGGAAAAGACAGTATATTTGAAATACTGATCAATGTGCCTGCTGAAAGCCTTGTTTGCGGCGTCCCTGTAATTTGGCCAAGCCGTAAGAATTTTTCTTTGCGACGGTGGGTGGACGAGACGACGGAAGCATTGGGGTGACTTACGAGACCACCATGGACTTGATATGCTGCATTTGTACCTTCTGAATGCATTTGATCATGTATTCGGCTTCGTACTCCAAGAACGGTACTGCCGAACCAGCCCCTGGCCCCCCGTTCGGACCCTGGTAGAGAAAGAAATTCGGCATGCTCGGTGGGCACATGGAAAGGTATGCCTCCGGGATGGGATCCCAAATTTCGCCGAGTGACTTGCCACTGAGGCCAACCAGAGGAATCGTATGTTTCAACGTGCTATAGCAAGCTTCATTAGAGGGGGCCCTTTTTGAGGCAAAGCGAGAAAGTTCAAGTTCCTCAAGGTGGTAGACTCACGTATCAAACCCTGTGGCACAGATGATTGCATCGACATCATGAACATTACCATCTTTGTCCTGGATAGCTCGGGGCAGGACTTTCTCTATTCCACAACCGACAAAAGTAACATTGTCTTGAACCAGTGCCTCCAGGTACCCAGGCCCAGGAGTGAGTCGACGACAGCCAGGTGGCCACTTGGGAGTCAGACTTTTGTAAATTTCGGGCTTGGTTGCCAATTTTTTCTTCATGGACGCGTCTGTTAGTTCCCAGAATGTCTTTTGCTCTGCAGTACCCATGAACGTGACTAGTTGGGCCTCGTTCATGTTTCCTTCGACCTCATGGCGATGTTTGTGATATAGTTGAGGATTTTCTTGGAACGCACGGAGCTCAGCAGCGGAGTATGCAACTGGGTTCCAAAAAAAGAGGTCAGTCATATACACATCAAGAGTCGAAAGAATGCAGGTCAAACAAAGACAGACAGTTTCCTGTTACTCCTCGTTTCTGCGCTTCTGCACCCCCAACACCGACGGGGGAGATCCATTGATTGCCTTTCATGAAGTGAACGACCTGGGTCGCCGCTGGCTGAATCTGAGGCAGTATTTGTATGCCTGTAGACCCTCCTCCGATCAATGCAACTCGCATCCCCTTCGGGTCAAACTTCTTGACCCAGCCTTTCCAATTCGCCGAGTGTAGCACCTCGCCTTGGAAGTCTTCCAAGTGAGGAATGTCTGGCAATGTCCATCTATTCAACATCCCGACGGCACTGACTAGAAAGTCTGCTTCATCATCGAAAGTCTAGGACACAGTTAGTTGAGATTGGTCAAGAGTCTTGTCTTAGAAGGGCGGGTCTTTGACCTTGGAGGTTGTGAGGTCTGTAACTTGCACAACCCATTTACCTTTCTCCTTGTCCCAGTGAGCTCCCTTTATCTGGTGTCTGAGCTTAACGTAATCCAAGACATTGTATCTTCGAGCTACATTTTTCAGATAGCTCAATATTTCAGCCCCCGGCGCATAAAAATGGCTCCACTGAGTATTGCTTGCAAATGTGTACTGATAGCTGTGGCATGGAACATCGCACGCTATGCCTGGATATCTTCCATGTTTGTCAGCTAGGGAAAAACAAAGATAATGAGCCGGGCGTTTTCACCTATTTTCGAACCATGTGCCCCCAATACCCTCGTTTTTTTCATAGATGGTGAGTTCAAGGTTTGCAATTTTTTGTGGGAAGCGGATGCCTGTAAGAATACCAGACATGCCAGCACCAATGCATATGACTTTGATAGGTCGAGCCTGATCAATTGGCTTCCACAACGGATCGTTTGGGCCCGAGGCGTCTGCCATTGCGTCGAGAAGAGAAGTCCAGGGTATAAGTCAATTTTGGGAATGCAGCCGTGTGCAAGTGCCGGGCTAACAAGGACTTCCTATCGCGTAGGAAGATTTTCATACATGAATCTACCTCTGACAAAGATAATGAACATGCTTTTCAATGCGAGTAGACAAGGAGAGACAAGAAACCTAAGTACCCTAGATTCCGGCGGGCGGGTAATGCTGCGTAGGCACCCGGTTTTGCTTATCCGCAGGTATGAGTTGCGTGACAGGGGTGCTGTGTGGTCACTCTCACGTGCCCTATTCTACATTGAGCTCGAACTAGACTTAGTTTGCAATCAATATGCCTTCCGGAAGGGAACTAGGTATTCTCGAACAATACTATGGAATAATCTTGGCCATGCGAAACCTCTGAAATGCAATATCCCACGATCTGCGATCATCCCAAGAAGCTTGAAATCCCAATTTATATGCCTTTTCCATAGAGGCCTGATGGTCGTAGTCGAACAAAGTGAGCATGTTCTTGAAAAAGTAGGGGTTAGCTACGTTGTTGTCAATATGCCCAGATTTGAGGCCATGCGTCTCGGTCAGCTCGTCCCACTTCGCACGGTGTGTCATCATGAAGCTTTCCGCGGATGGAGTTCCTTCGACGTAGCCGATACCCTCCAGGTCGAATAATGAACAGATAGTGTGCCAGCGCTCCTCCCATGTGCTTGGGCGGTTCGAGTCTAGTACATTAAATGCCTCTCCGTTGCCCGTGAGTTGTGGATGAAGCGAAGCCCAAACGCTGAACTTGGCCAACATGTCCTGGCTAGTCTGGCTACTTAAGACTTTGTATGACTTGGCTGTCCCTGGCCACGGAACCTTGCTGTTCTTTCCGTTGACTTCTCGATAGAGGGAGAGATATATCGCAAGAGTTTGAGCCAAGCAGTGAGCGTTGTCATTCGGTACAAACCCAACGACCAAATCTGGGCGAACTTCGCACCAGGTCCACGTCTTATCCTGCGACAGGCGATCCAAAGTATCGGTTTCCCAGTAGTAAAACATCTCGGAGGCGTGAGGTTCAGGAAGTCGTGGGAGGTCTTCAGTCAGAGGCAAACGATCGCCATATGGAAAATTCTCCAGGAGATGCATCCCATAAGCCTACGCATATCCATCAGTCAGTCTGCTGGGACGACAAGACGTGGAAAGATAGTACCTTGGTCCCCGTCGGCAGAACGAGATACTCGAACTTTGGACATAGCTCTTCGATTACCATGACTGCTCGCTCAAGCATTGATGAGTTGACAAGCGACTCAACTTTGGGATCTTGCGCCCACTTGTAGCCTATCTCGCGAGTCAGCATCAGTCAGGACTCGCCAGCCAGCGGAGCATTTTGGTGCTTGAAGAGGGTACTGACTATTGAAGAATAGGTGTGTCACGCTCCCAATGCTTGGTACCTTGTCCCTGAGAATGCTTGCCAGATCATTCTTTGAGCCACGCGTCAGGTCAACGCCGTCAACTACTTGTAGCTTGCTGCTTTCGGGCCAGAGAGCGGCTTCAGCATCGAGGCGTCGTACGGTCAAAGCGATCACCCGATCGAAGCATTGAGCATCATCTGAAGTCGAAAGCAGCTCGTTGACCACTGACCAGCCGGTGATGCCAGAAGCTCCAAATACTAGAGCGTTCTTACTCATGTTGCCTTTGCTAGACTCCATAACGTCACCAGAGTATGCTATTCGCAACACGTGGTGGCGACTTCAAGATCACTTGTGGTGCGCTGCGATAAGGGCACAACAACGAGCTCCTGTAATTCCATTTCTGGGAGAAAACAGACCAGTCAAGAAGGCCTAGACTGTTGTTTGCCGTCGAGAGCCCTGGCTTACGGTTTTCGTTCTACGCATTGTCGGCAGAGGCTCTTCTCAGAGTTTGCAGATGCTGAACGCCAAGTTATGGTTTGCGGGGACGATTTGAGGCCCAGCTGCTTGTGCTTACCAGTTTCTTTCCCCTTGCCGGCTAACGTTTTACGCCCAAGCTACTAGTGAGGTCAAAGCTCACGAAGACGGAGAAATCGTGCTGGGAATTGAGGGTGGTGATGCTTTTGTCTCTATTAAGAGCAGCCAAGGGGTAATGCAGTCCTGCGATTGTCCGATCTGCCAACCAATTCTATTGTAATGACCACACAACCTGCATGGAGGCACTAGCAATGAGACGAAGCCTATGAAAAGCTTCTGTAAGAATCTCATCGAAGGTAGGTACTATCTCAGTGAAACCAAACCCGGGGATAAGTTTAGCCTCCTCTACCCAGGGGACAGGGGTGACCCTTTGAAAGTTTTCGTCTGCCAATTAGGGAGGCAACATCGTCTGTACTGACTCCGTTCTCATGTTTTTTCTGTTCACACCACCATGGCAACTCAAGCACAACCACGTATTCCTCAATTCAAGGACCTGCCTGTTGATGCGTCTCATCCACCTCATTCCGCGTGGATATGGGGCCCTGACGACCAGCTCGGAACTTTGAACTTCTTGACCAAGTCGGCTGTGTTACAAGGCGCGAGTGAAATGAAGATCGGCGAAAGAATTGGTCTTGATTGGTCTCTGAACCTGTCCAATGTGCCCGCAGACTTTCGTCAGGGGCTCAAGCATGAGATATTTCAGATTGGTCCCAACGTCAATGTAAGGAAAACACTATGATGACCTTTTACCTTGCAATTTCTTCAACGCAATATTGAAAGTTCAATTATCTGAGTTGGATGTTGCGAGCTCTAGGACGACGTTCTGGAACTCAACACACAGTCCAGCAGTCAATGGGACGGGTTTCGCCACTGGGCTTTCTCGGATGGCAGGCATTACAATGGACTGGAGCAGAGTGAACTAGAGCGTGGGGGAAGTACTCGTAATGGCATTCACGGTAAGATCATTGCAACTGAGATCTGCATGCCCATCTGTATTGCAACACTAAAAGGAAATTGGCCGATCTGAAAGAGTGGTGCAGAAAGGGCATTGTCGGAAGAGGTGTGCTCATCGACTTTGTGGAATACGCAAATTTACATGACATCGAATATGATGCTACGGCACACTATGCGATAACCTTGGAGCAAATCAAGGAGATTGCACAAGAATGTGATATACAGTTCCACCATGGGGATATCTTGATCATCCGCACAGGTAAATCTTCCCCGTTGCATTGTTTTCGATTAGCCATGAGCTCAACTTCCGAGTTGGCAGGTTACACGGAGAGCCTGGGAAGCATGTCAGAGTCAGACCTGACTGCGGTCAAGGAACGTAGCTCGCCCTGGGCTGCAAGCTATCCGGGAGTGGAAAATACGCTTGAAATGTTGGGGTGGCTATGGGACAATCGTTTCGCAGCGGTAGCTGGTGACGCACCTGGGTTCGAGGCTTTTCGTGAGTGATCCCTAGAATACGATGCTCCCATCTCTGGGTCATGAAGAATTTCCTTTACTGACAACAATCATTTTCAGCTCCTACCAAGTTCAGGATGCATGAAACTCTACTCTCAGGATTCGGTATGCCGATTGGTGAACTGCTCTATCTTCCGATGTTGGCAAAGGTGTGCCAGAGGGAGAGGCGGTGGACTTTCTTCTTCACGAGCCAGCCTTTGAACGTTGTTGGAACTGTGGCGAGTCCGCCAAATGCTCTGGCTATTCTCTAGCTAGGATCTGAATTCTTCAAGAAACAACAACCTGCTCAATCATATAGATGCCTGACTCGGTACAAAACTTGCGTAGCGTCTTACAGGGTGTGTAAACAGATGTCAATAGTACTATTCTCCAAAAAAAAGCTCAGCAAGTCTGTCAGTTTCAGGAGCTGTTCTCTGAGTAGCCAAGTGCGCACATGAGTGAGCAGGCTTAGGCAAAGAGACCTCCGTGGTTCTGACCAATGCTCTCGTGGACACAGTCAGGCGGATGTCCCGGGAGCAATACCGGAGTAATAACAATGCATTCCCATAACCATGTACACGCCACTGTCTAGCTTCTGCCATAGCGGTGGGCTTGTTCTAGTGTAAATTGGTATGACCAGATCGTTGGTTCATTTCTAAATCAGAACTCGTTCAATCTTGAACCATTCTGGGTACCGGAAGGCTTCAGCTCTTGCCTCTGCACTGGCTGTCTCCGCTGCGGCTGCAATGGCGGGATTTGATCTAGAAACCTTGTGTATATTGCCAGAGGGCTCCATGAAAGATATTTGAGTGATGATTATAGTAGACCAGCTGCTGTGGCTGCCTCCGCAGCCCTTTTGGGCAAACGCTTGCCACCTTGTCACTGAGGATGGTTTAAAAAACGGCCGATGTCCTCGTTAGTTACTGGACTCATCATTGCGAATCACAATCAGGACCGCGTTCGAGGTACCAAGGTCCTTGGGTGGTGAAGTCACCGGTGCAGGAGCGACACACATTGCCTCAATCAGACCAACGCCCCAGTCTGCAGTGATCATGAATGCGATGACTCGTCAGAGCTTGCTTGGGGCAAGTGATATCATAAGCCCAGTGAATGTTGTGATCAACACAGCAGCAAAGTTCATAAGGGTTGGACCTAGAACCTCGCCAAGCCAGCGGCGAGAGCAGCGACCGAAGGAGATCAGCGATTCTCCGGTGAAATCTTTCTCAGGCATGACAATCACCCTACGTCAAGCTGAAGATATCATTGCCAACGTCAAGGTTCGGCCATTCGTACTCATCAGGCAGGAGAAACAAGTCTGAAAATGCATCTCCTTCACCTGAAGGAAGAGCAAACCGTTTGGTCAAGTTAGCTGGTGGTTGGGATGGCGGCAGGGCCAAATCGTGGGCTGCCGGGATCCCCGAGTGCTCCTCAACCAGCGGTGTGGCCCCTCGAATAGAACCGTGATTGGAGACTTGGAGGGCGGTGGTTGGTCCTTCGTCGGTGTTTCTAGCATTGTTTGTGAGATCTGTGTTACTGTCGCTTTCGGTGTTTAGGCGGTTTTCCGGATTGGAATTGTGTCCGGAGCTCACGGCCTTCTCAAGCGTGATTCTGATCAAAATTGCCACTCGTCTCGACTCAGAATGGGATTCACTCATGGCCTCTGCAATTTCAGCAAGGGTCATGAGATGCTGTACGCATGCCTGTTCAAATGAAGGCACTCTGATGCAAGCAATCAGCGCCGTTGTTGCTGCTGCCAGGTGCTGCGGAACACTGATGTACATCCGGCGCCACTCGATCCTTCGGCCGTATGCCACCAACATGTGGACGATCTTAACAGCGCTTTCATAGCAGATGGTCCGTGAAAATTCCACAATGGGATCGATCGACCGCTGCGTCTGGCCCATGTAGTGGCTACTGGCCCTGTCCATATAAGTAAACCGACGATGGAGAAGAATGAGCAAAAATTGATATGATTGGCTGTTCATCGTCAGATCCACACCACGAAGGAATGCACAAGGGAACTCACTGTAGCAAGAAAAAGCTGAAATGTGCTCTTTCGATGTTTTCTTCCTTCCACTGCAGGTTTGGAGGGAGATTTTGGTACCAAGAACTGAGCTCTCGGTCCAACGCCGTAATGTTGTAGCAAGCACTCGTCTGTGAAAGTACGGCCTGCAAGTCCAAGACATTTACAACCTTTGCTTGAAGTTCGATAAATTTTATATGCGCTTCGTAAATTTCCATCTGTTCCCTCATCTCAAGTCCAACGTATTGGCTGAGCTGAGCACCCTGTCCCTGTGACATTGCGTCCGAAAGCACCAGATCAGTCTGTTTGATCGCGGTGGGGCGCCCGAAGAACAATGACCAAGCTCTAGGTTGATTGTCAACAACATTCAGACAGAAGAGGGGTTCGCAGCTACCTGTCGTGTGACACGCAGCCATACAGCGCGAGTCGACGGGCGTATGATCGGGGGTTTAGAGTGGCTTCTCCAGGCGCACCGCGATGGAGACCGAGCGCGAAGCACATTCGTGTAGCTATGCCTATTTCCATTAGAACGGTGGAAGCTTCGGCTCAGAGAATTGGCTTGCCCGAGAAAAACCAGCCGACACTGTACCTTCTCAGATTTCCCTCCAAGTCGGCCATGAGCAGTGCAGACATCATCAACGGAATCGACGTCTCGATCGACATCTCGGCCTCGATGTGGGAACGAGCTTCACGGTGCAGGGGCGACTCGTAATGGTGGCAAGCATACTTCTGCACCCCGGACCTCGAGGTGTCTGCATATCGACAGCCAAGGGCCAGAATACATAGATGAAGCAACGGTGAATAGAATTCACCACCTCCGTTCTCTTTGTCTAGATTAAAGGCTTCCTTAGAGATCATGTGCCACGCGGCATTGTAATAAGTCCAGAAACAATGCATGAAATGATCATGCACATCCACGGGAATGCTGTTGAGAAGCTGTCGAGCTCTCGCTTTGCGCTGTGCTGCCTGACCAGCCAGGCTCCCGAGAGGCATATCTTGGTGCTCTCGATAATTCGCAGCAGAGCCATAATACTGTTTATGCTGCGATTCGTGCTCGGGCGAGACACCTGGTGTGAAGCATTGGAAATCTTCTCCGTCGACCTCAGCCAAGGCCGGAGGTATCGAAGACCTTGATGAGTCGACATGTTCTTGCTCGACTAAAGGACCACACGCCGCAAGTTCGCTGTGCGTGGCTGCGGGGCTCACGCATTGCGTCAAGCCTGCCACCCTGGCCGAGGAGTCTTCCACGTCGCCGTTGCTGGGGGATCTGGCACAGGAAGTGGGCTCTGCGCAGTGGTTGGACGGGGCAGACTGGCCAGTCTGAGCAAGCATCCCTTCGAGCTTTTGGACCCGTTCACTGAGGAAGCGCACATAGGCTTTGGACGAAGGCCTGGGAAAAAGACTTGTTACTCAAATGATACTACTGTTGAACGAGCTCTGGTGGTTGCCACCTTTTCCGTTGATCAGTGTCTTGGATAACACAGTCGATTCCCTGCACCTGGCATTGATCGCAAGAGGTCATTCCCTCACTAATTATGCACTATACCGCTGTCAGTAAATCTCCTCGAGACTGACATCAATACCGGCCTTGGTGCGTCGGGCACGGCATCCCGCACATGCTACAGATGTCCTGCAGCGCTTCTTCTGATTCGACTTCATCGGCATGTTCACCAGTAATATGCGTGAGGGTTGTATCGCCGTGGGATGAAAGGAACTGGAAAACTGCGAGAGAGGCTTGAAAGAGGGGAACGAAGGGAATTGGCGCTTGTTTGGCGAAAATCACCCCGGGGGCCCCACGGGGAGGCTTCCAACCCTGGGACGGGAAGGGAACAGACTGCTTTCCAAGAGGCGAGAGTCCAATTGAGTGGCGCGCCTTGACTGTCGCCTAGTGGAAGTGGGGTTGTTTACCTGGGGAAGAGATTTTGGGTGATGCGTTCACCTCGTCACCTTACTGGTCGTTAGTTCCTCTTTCGGTCGACTCAAAGCCAAGGTTTTCGCCCGAAAAGCTCAGTCTTCAAGATGCTCGCAACCGTGCGACCGTTCTGACCTTCAGCCACGGCATGGCTGTCTCAAAACTAAGGTCTCCTTCGAGCGGTGTCGCCCTTTCAGACGGAGACCCAGAACCTTATAGTTGTCACGTGGTAAATTTGGCCCACAATTATGTCGCCCAGGTGTGAGTGCCAATTGTGACTGAGGCCGAGTCTCCCGAAATCCGGTGTCGCCTGGTGATTTGCGCGTATATCGATTTCCGATCTCGCGCCCAGAGTCCGTTGCCAAATCGCAAACAAGAGGCCCAGAAGGCTGGCCCGGGACCACATTTTTTGGGTGGCCCAATGAGCCTAATACATTTCGTTGCTTTCTCCACCCATGAGGAGGATGCAGATGTCCTGGAGCGGCCACTGACGTTTTGCCGACCACTTGGACCGGGTTTGCGGGCTTGGTGAACACAATCCTTCGCCACTAATATCAACACGGGCGATATTACCTGGTAGACTAAAAATATCGACTTCAAGCATGTCGCTACGGGGTATCAAATAAATAGAATATCTGAATAATTCTTGTCTGGCCGGAGTATAATTATTGCAACATGGGGTATTCTCTATCATAGATATCTAGCCTGGAGCTAAGGAGCATCATGGTTTCCTTCTGTCGTAAGTCCGTGTAAATTGCTCTCCGTCTTCCATTCTTCAAGCTTACAAGTGTAATCTTGGAATGACATTCCCCAGATAGACATTCTCGCGAGACTCGCCTGGACCTCTGGGGGTAGTGATTTTGCGAGAGCATCTTCTCTCCTGTCCCAACTGTAGGCCTGCTTTATACTGCAGGCGAGACACCCAGCGAACACGTGTATTCCGTAGACCTTGTTGGCTGAAGCACCCGTCTGGTTTGGCACAGGGAGAAAGAAACTCGCGAAGCCTCTGCAGATATGCCCCTGAGAAGTCGTCACAACCTGAGCCCATTCCTCCTCCATAGATGTGCTGTTGATTACGAAGGTTTTTGACTAGGTATCCTGTTCTAATGATAATAACATCGAGTTGGTATTCTCGGTCCCGGACTAGGACTCTCGTAGTAAATTCGTAGTAACATGTTGCCCGCCTTTCCCGTTAGTATCGACTATCGAGAAATTTGGTCGGTTGATTGCAGGCAAGTATTCGTCCTGAAACGTGGTCTTTTGTCCCGTCCCGCATATCACGTTTTGAGCGTTTTGGCAGTCTCCTTATCCTTCACAATGCCATCGAGTCCTTTTGGAAGCCTCTTCTGTCGAGGCCCATCCCTTTTGTGAGTTTCGACAAAGAAAGCGACAATTGGACCTTTCGTGATGTCTGGCGATCCGACAACGTAGCGAAAAGTGTGTCTACGTGTTCATTTATCCGCCAGCATATCAACATCCAAGACATGGAGATAGCAGTTTCCTACCTTCGTCGCTACCAATCAGACCCAATGCCTTGCACGTGTTGATTGAACCATTCTTTATCGTTGACTTGATTATTCCGGGAGTGCGGCCTACGCTGAAATGCGTACAGCTCTTTGGCCCACCTTACAAACTCCGGCACCATCTGAATCGCAACACGGACCAAAAAAAAACATAAAACGAGTAATTCAATGAAAAAAATGTGGCTCTGGCGTTCTTATTTCACAGCATGAGTACAATGAACAAGCCAAGCTCCTAAGTGCTTACGAGATGTTGAAAATACTGGGACGGGTAAGCGTCTTTCGGATGTTGCGCGCGTTCGGCGACCCAACAAAACGGTCTCAGTGTCATGAGGCAGCGGCAGAACAAAGAGTGTTAAGACTTGTCTTGCACGTGATTTGAATGGTACGTGGCCGAGCCAGCAGCATGGGTGTGGAAGAATGTCACTACGCCGCTGATAGTGTGCCAATGAAGAGAACTTGCTCTCGGAAAACAAGCAATAACTATGAGTATTGTGGAGAGACTTCTCCAGATAGGCGAGCGGGAGAGTACGAGTACTCCACGTGGGAACCCCAGATTATGACTTTCTCCCGAGCGGAGAATTAATGCGGAAGGGTGTTTACGCACGTCTGGTAGGACGAGGGTAACGTTAGCCCGCTGTGCTAGATCTCGTCACCGAAGCTCAAATATATCTATTGTGCACGATTCTCCAAATTATACACTCTGACCGTGGCAAGAATCACAATCCCCGAAAAGGCACACCGGCAAAAATGGCTGCGGTCTCTGACAAGCAGGAAGGACTAAGCGAAGTCCCATCCCTGGGACCCTATCACACTCCCGTTGAAAAAGAGAGCTTAGAAGAGAATGTGGATGTTATAGAGTCTGCTGAAGGAGGAGTAGATGATCATGTCACTTTGAAAACTTGGCTTGTTATCTTGGTATGTAACAAGTTATATTCTGAGAAGTAGAGGCCGTGTGTGAAGTCTTAACGTTGGTACAGATGCTGGCATGGTCTTATGGGGCCTCCTATTGGCCTGTGACCAGCCTATCGACCATTCAAACCCACATTGCAACCGTCCTTGGACAGCCGAGCCAGGCTGTATGGTTCATCTCGGTCTATAACATTGCCATCACCAGTACGTTCATGGTCTCTGGGTCCAACAGCGATCTTTTCGGCAGAAGATATTTCATCATCGGAGGCAACGTCCTTATGGTGGTGGGGACCATCGTCATAGGATCGGCTCAAAATCTCTCTGCTGTTATCGCTGGCATGGCCTTGAGTGGTATTGGTGGCGCAAACTGTTCGCTTGCAGTCTTCGCGATTCCCGAGCTTTTGCCCAACAAATGGCGACACATAGGTGTTGCCATAGCAGACACAAGCATAATGTTCGATGTAATCATGGGCCCCAGCGTGACCAGATTCGTCACCACCAGCAGGACAACATGGAGATGGGTATTCTACGCGAATGCCATCACAAATGCAACCACAGGAGTGTTGCTCTTTCTCTTCTACTACCCGCCAAAGCATCCCAGGGGAATTCCATGGGCCAGGGCCCTCAAAGAGGTAGACTACATGGGGGGTCTTCTATTCGCTGCTGCAACGGCGACCATACTATGCGGGATTGCTTACGCATCCTTTCTTCCCTCCAGCGACCCCCATGTTGTGGCCATGCTTGTATGCGGTTTCGCGGCAATGATCGCATTTGCCCTCTGGGAGACCTTTGCACCCCTGAAGCAACCACTGGCACCAACACGACTCTTCACACATAACCGTGGACAGACATTGTCGGTACCATTCTTCGTCGCCGCTCTCGTCACCGTTTATTACTTGGCAATCAACATAATATGGGGGACAATGGTGAGCATCTTCTTTGCCCGATCAACAAGTGACGGTGCAAAATTGTCTCTGGTTCAAGGATTTGGTTTCATGGCTGGGGCAGCTGGCTCTGCCTACCTAGGTGGGATTTTGAAGCGTTGGAGGACGATGATGTTTGCTTCGTCTGCCGTAGCGACGATATTCGGGGGTCTATTGGCTTTGTCTCGCCCAGACACAAGAGGTCTCTCGATTGCGTTCACATTTCTGAACAGTATGGGATACGGATGGGCCCAAATCATGTCCATCACTTTCTGTCAATTCGGCGCCGACCAAGTCGAATTGGGCATTTCTGGAGGTTTAGCGTTGGTGCTTCCCAACCTCACCCCTGCGAAAGGCTTGCTAACGAGTTCTTAGTGGCGTGGCACGATACGGCGGCGGTGCCATAGCTGGCACAGTCTTCACTACTATTCTCTCCAATGGTGTTTCCTCCAATCTGTACAGGGTGACAGACGCAGCTACATCTGCCGGCGCGACAGAATCGGTAGCTGGAAACATATTAGCCACGATTGCGCTGGGGAAAGATCGGGTGCTAAGCATTCCAGGAGTGACACTGTCGATGTACGAAGCTGCCTATGGAGCTTATCTGAAGGCATACGAGCTTGGTCTGCGAACGACATGTCTGGCTTCGATCGCTTTTGGGCTTGCTGCCTGCATCGGTTGCCTTTTTCTGGAAGACATTTCGGGCAAGATGACCCCAAAGATCGAGGTCTTCCTGGAGAACGACGTCAACGCCAGGAAGAACAAGTACCACTAGTATCATTACTGTGTTGAGCATCCACTCAACATTGAGATTGTTATGCTCCCCGTTCCCACATATCTAGCTTCAGTATAATCACACAAGTATCATCGCATCCTCTATGTAGATATGCGGCATTGATTTTGTATGATTCTCTTGTCGCGTTGGACTAAGAAAACATCGGAGGGTTGGGTTTACTGATTGAGCTACCATTGTTCTCGTAATGCTATGAGGCTCAGTCCAGGAGCAGATTGTCGGACCTAGTCATACGTTCTCAAGATTCCTGTTGGAGTATCCCAATCTCTCTACTATAGGCCTATATAGTCCACCGTCCCCCAGGCCCCCTAGGGACTCAAGACAGATCCTCTGACCCTTCGTTTTGCTCTCAGATCTTTAACACAGATCAAGCATCGAATTTATAATCGTCGAAGTTGAAAAAGCACATCTAACTGCGCTCATGGGAGTTGTCACACGTCAGCCTAAGACCTAAGATGGAAACATTGAATTGCTTGTAGAAAGACGAGAGGTAGAGCAAGCGCGATTATGCCTAACGGCGGCTGGTAAGTTGAAGGAGAGAGCACCAGCATCTTTTTACGCACTAGATGAACTTGCGTTCTTCCTTCAGTTCTCTCAAGCTCAAGAAGGACCTTCAAGGTCAGCATCAAAGTCCACCCACCAGTCGTAGGCAGGTGATTGTGAAAAGCCTTCTCCATCTGTAGGGCTCACAGGAGCACACCGTTCCAGATTCATCCTATGCATGGTTTCAGGCAACACGGTTTTGGTCGATCCTAGAACCAGACTTTCGCTGGTCAGTTGGCTGACCCAAACGGAACCATTTTTGCTGTCGCTGAGCTCCTTGGGCTTCTGATAAACGTCCGAGTTGTCGAAGTCTTTGAGCGACTCTGTTGACGAAATGGAAGCGTGCATGCTCAGGAGTTCTTGATCTTGAACAATGGCATCGTTAAGATCTTCTCTCTGCTCTTGGGCCAATCTGTATCGCTCCTCAAGCTTGTAAGATGTTAGAGTGCAGTTCTCGGAGGAATCAGCCGATCGGGTGAATAGATAGTCAACACAGTTTCTGATCAACTCCAACACCTTCCGACCGTTGTGAGATCCAGAAGAGCTGCCGTCGGCTTGCAACAATGCTGATAACGACATGCGAATCGACATAGGTCCAGTAGCAACCAGTAAGTGTGGAAGATCTTCACTCGACGCAAACTCCAAGATATTAAGGTTCTTTTTGATGTTCAGCTTCTTTTCGTCTTCTAAGATGGCGATTGCCGTTGGAGATGAAAATTCCCCCAGAGACAATTCTCTGCCCAGTCTTGCCTCAACATTCGTTGTCGAGAGACTTAAAAATGTAACTGCCAGAACAGCAAGGTGAAAGCTAATCAGACGTGACCTTTTCATACATAAACTCCCGCGACTGTCGGAAGGAGTAGGGTGACGCATCCATGTCGGAAGTGAGTACCACCATTGGCAGAGAAACTTTTCAAAAGATAGGAGAACCGCTGTTGGGCATCGCTGTAACTCTAGCCCTAGACATCTTACTGGCCTTTTCGTTGCACTGCTGGTTGATTTGGATTGAAAGAACGATTCAGGGTTTGACACTGCAGAGCCAATAAGTTGTGATAGTCTAAGCCTTTCCGAGTACAGAGTTGCAAGTATTGTTTGCTGTTTGGGCGGTCGGAGCAACAAGCAGGGTGACATTATCTCTCCAGCCTTCTTTGAAAGCTTGCATGGGTCCAATGTTGGAAAGGTCGGAGTTGCAGACTCGATGACCCCCATTGCGAGACTTGGTGTCTGACCGAACCCGATGGTCAAAGTTAACTCACGCATGCGGATTGCCCATGCCAGTCTAGTTAGATCAGCATCATAGTCTATTTGGCATCCACCTGGTTGAGGATCTGTGTTCACACTAGGGGTTTTGTGATCTTGGGAGGTGATTAGTCCTTGCACTGTGCTGATGCTCCGACTCAACCAAACAGTGGCATTTTCGAGTGATGTTGGGTCCGTGCCTCTTTGGAGAGATAAGAGAAGAGCCGCCTGAGCTGAATCTAAAGAGCCGTAGTTCTGGCACTCGTGATACAGTATCTGGTAGATCAGTCAGTGAATGCACAGATAGACGGATGGTTTGGTGCCGCAAAAGTAATTCAGGCTCAATACCAACCTTGGCTTTCCGCCACAATCTACTCTGACCGCAACTTTTAAGTCCATATGAAGTTGAGGAGAAATCTTGGTCTTCAGAATAGAGAGATCCTGCAAAGAGAATTGCATACAGCAAAAGAGAACTCATGCCATGAGGATGGATAGCTGCTGTTGTGGTGATGGTCTCCACAATAGCCTGAATATCTAGGAACGGTAGCTGAGGGTGTATCCAATCCACATAATGTCGTAGAAGTTTGTGTTGCAACTCTTTTCCCGGTGAATCCATGTTGATATCTTGGACATCCCGACATCTAGGGCCTTCGACAGGTCTAAGAGCTGGTGCGCCAGCATTAGTGGAAGGTGTATTAGTTTTACCAATAGTATCTGTCAAGTAGGTGGAGCTGCTATAGGCTGTCGGGTGGTCGCCTCTGTTGAATGTGTCTTCGAGTTCTGGCGGAGAGTCGTCACTCGTCGAGTCTGTGTTCTGGAGAATTGGCTGGTCTTCACTTTTTTTGTCAACATCGAAAGGCCACGGTCCTGGTGAGTCGGTATCCTCCACTTCAAATGCTGGATGTCGCCGCCTCGAAGCTCTTTGCTTTCCTGATTAGCATATGAAGCCCAAAGATTGGGGAATCATACCTTTTCCGGCTTGGCCTCAGCAAGCATATCTGATCCGTGTGTCGGCAATTGGTGCATGGTGTGCCATAGTATGCAGCATCGCAGCGGACTTTCCTTTGATGACATACAGTGCAAGCACTTCTTGCTCTCATATTCTTTTTATTGTAAGATGGCAAGCTTTGTACAGTGGGAATGTGCTCTGATCCTTCCTTCCTGGTGTCGCTCGCAATATGGGAATCATAATATGCGTCCATCATCGATTGGGAGACCAGAATTCATAGGTCGGGCACTATTTTCTAACATACAGAAATTTTGCGAAGGCTACTTGACAGACTGGGGAACTGAAGTCGTCAACTTAGACATGGGGCCAGGGCTTCGGATTCGTCACATCTGTCCAGGGGCTGAAATTGAACCTCTTTGCTGGTGTCGGGTTTCGATTCCCCATATCCGCATACCCGCACTGGAATTTCCAAGTGGCTAGAAAGTAATATCCAAACAGACCTGTCTCTAAATGATCTAGCGGATATCATTGAGTGTACAAGAGCGGCCGAATGTGTGAGTCTGAATATAGGTACCACTAGTACCAGCTTGACAGTCTCAGCTGGCTCTGGCTTCTCATCTTTTTACACTTGCAATGATGCCCAGTACTGTATACCTGACTTTGGACAAAGTCGTTTTGCTCCCATTAAGCCAGTCCTTATGAATATTTCAGATCTTTGGTATCCTTCCTACGTGTGGAGAAGGTTTAATTTGAATCCACGCCACAGAAGCTCTTTCGATCAGTCGATCGAATGTTATGTGCAGCATGCAACCCGTGTATGAATATGAGTTGAAAGGGCTCAAAGTATTGTTCTTCCAGTCTATACGTAGCAGCATTGTGCCTCAGAATTGTTGCTTTGATCAACACTACACAGCAAGCAGCCTCCGAAAACAAGGCGACCAGCACTGAAACTGGGCAACTCTGGTAGCGGCTTTCAGGATTGCCTGATTCTCAACTGAGGATTAGATTAGCCCCATTTTCTGCCTACTATTCGATATTCCATGGCGTGTCAGCATTGCGAATGTACGGTGACATTTCATTAGGATCTCCAGACTCTTGCGCCTTCACTTCTCCATTCCCATAGAAAGCGAAGCGTGAGAGCCTGTTGATGTACTCGATGTCGTAGTCTTCATAGCGTGGGACTTTGATCGACTTTAGGAAATGTAGCGTCTGAGGGAATTAGTTTCAACACGTGTACAGAGAGGGTAGGAGAAGAAACTAACTCCGCCCGGCCACAAATAGATCCTGGCATCTTTTGTACCGCTTTTAAACCTGTTTGAAGATGTGTATCAGCACTTCAGAATATACCTACAAGCCCTGTACACCGTTGTTGCGAGCAGATTTGACCTACCAGCTCCTGCATGGCTCTTGGAATACTGTTGCTTTGTGAAAGACATCCATGTGCAAATAAAGTTCGTCGAGGGCTTGCTGTTTCAGAGACAGGCTCTTTATCCCTTCCGACTGGATCTTGTTCATGCATTGAATAGAATACTCGATACTTGTCTCGATCTGGTGACGGAGGGGTCAGCATGATCACTCAGGAGCAAGAAAAAAGCTAAACTAACCGAGGGCAACAGTGTGCCATTTGACCATGTAGCACATGCACCGACAATGGTGAAGAAGTTCGGAAATCGTGGGCATGATAAGCCCATGTATATGCTGGATCAAGTCAGTACTTGTTGCCCTGAGCATGTTGCAAGATTCAGACTTGACGCCGCCATATGGTTCCCAGTCTTGCTTCAGTGTCTTGCCTTGGCCATTGACAACTTCCCAGGCAGGACCGAAAGCGGGCTTATACCCTGTCGCACAAACAAGGATATCAAACTTGTGTTGCCTTCCATCTGCTGTTAGAATTCCATCTGGGGTTATCTTCTCAATGCCACTGAAGACACAGTCGACATTGTCCTTGACTAGAGCCTCCAAAAACCCGTCCCCTGGAGTGACCCGGCGGCATCCTGGGGCCCAGGTGGGAATGAGTGCCTTCTAGCCTGGTGTGAGCATATTTATACGACAACTCTGTGCCTCAGTACTATCCTACCTTAAGTTCTTCATGGCCTGGGCCAATTCTCCGAAGCATTTCTTTTGTCATTTGCTCTCTGATAATTTCATTATCTTCGGAATTTTTCTTGTAAATTTTCGAAAACACTGGGTGTTTGTGAGTTGTCAGTCTGTAGGGGATCAGAAAGCCATACTTGTGTTTATCTCGCATTCGATCTTTCTGCGAAGTCGCAGGTGCTCTTCTGGGTGTTCGGCAAAGTGGCGTTTCTGCTCCTCCGAAAAGTGGTACTGCCTACTGGATGGATCATTATCTTCTTTCCTGAATTCATCACCTAGGGTGCTGAACCCGAACGGAGGCGATATCCAGGTACCCTCAGGGCGCATAAAAACTTGAAGATCTTTCACAACTATATGGAGATCGGGATTAGTGTTAAGATCAACGTAGGCTGATCTTCACTTACTTGGCTGAATTTGTGGAATAATTTGCACAGCTGATGATCCTTTGCCAATCACACCGACGGATTTGCCAGCAAAGTCAACTTTGTGATCCCATCTCGCAGAGTGCATTATAGGACCCTTGAAGTCCTTCAATCCTTCGATGTTCGGCCCTAGAAATCTCCAAATCAGGATAACAAGCACGACTTGCAAGCTTGAACAGCGTGCCGCTCCACCAAGATACTGAAGTTGACGTACATGTCCAAGTATTCAGGATCCCAGTGCCATTGATCAATACATGGGACCAGTCATGTATTTTGGCACCGGTAAGCCGATCCTCGAGGGTGATTCTCCAGATCCCAAGCTCCTCATCCCAGGCAGTCCTTTGAATTTGTGTATTGAGCTGAATGTAGTGTTCTAGGTCATATTTGCGGGCGAATCCTATACGCAATTTGTAAGCAGGTGGCTCTCATAGAGCTCACATCTAGTGAAGGTGTAGAATAGCTGACCTTCAAAGTATCCTTGAATTTCGGCGCCATGAGCATAGAAAAAAGACCAGTTCGGATTTGGCTCGAAGGTCTGAAACGTAGTCTTAGTTGATTGTCACCGCCACCTGTATGACACTCAACTCACGTATGTATAGATGGGGGATGGGATCTGCGCTAGGTCAGCCAGGAATATAATGCATGCGAGAGTCAACGGCAATACATACATCACAAGCAATTCCTAACAGAAGTCCCTGCTGTTAACCATATTCCACGCGAAGAAGAAAACGAAAGGAACCTTACCCGGATATCTAAGTATATGTAAGTGCATGTGGGAGATTATTTATCTTGGATTCACAAACGTGTTTTCAAACCATGTTCCTCCTAGACGAGCATTCTTTTCGTACAATGTTAGATCCCATGAGCCAGGCTCCAATTGTCTCTCCATTTTGTATGCGAGGCAGAGCCCTATGATAAATGTCAAACAAATCTAGACCACGCTGCTCTTCTCTAACTTGCCTGTGGCCCCAGCCCCAACGCATGCTACGCGTAGTCTGCGCTTCTGTGAATGGTACTGAGGTAGGATTGTGTAGCCGTTTTCTGCAGTGTGAGACGCATCAGAGGGTAAAGGAACTGGAGGAATGTGATTTTCGACGTAAGAACCCATCTTGCAAGACAATTTGCCAAAGTCTAGCACACCAGAACGGATGTAGAAAGAAGTGTATCGATCAATGAGCTTTGCAGGAAAAAGTCCCAGTTTTGCTATGGACTGGCAAGAATTTATACGCGATCGGCGTCCAAAGATGTCTTGGGTATAGTAGGCGATCCGTCATATATACCCGCACACGTGAGTAAAATTCTCAATAATCAGTGAAAATGCAAACAGATTGTCTCTACTACAAGACATGAGCTAGTCAATGAGATCGAAAGTTCTCTATTCATATCGACGAAGCTGAACCTCTCGTGGCTCATAACGCAACAGGACCTGTTCAACCCTTCTGGCATCTCGATTTTCCCAATCGCAGAGGACCATGCTACTGACTTCATTGAGCCAGCAGTGCTAGCCCATTGAGGAAAATACTTCGCGTACAGCACTGACTTTGACGGATTCCAATTGAGGCCTTTGGCCGTGACGGGGGATTTACGACTGTCCAAAGTCTCTCAGGTTGACGCGCTTAGCTTAACATCCTTGTATTACGATAGAATCTACTATGAGGATGGAAACGTGCTGTAATGAATCCTACCGGCATTTTTAGAGATGCTATATTGAGCATTGGCTGGCACCACTTGTACTTCTAGCGGCTTGCTGGCTAAAAGGTCAATTCGAAACATCTTTTAGGTAAGTCCAATATCCCGTAGTGACCCAAACTTTGAACGGACGCATATGATTTCGATTTCAACTGAAAGATGCACGTATAGCTAAAAGGGTGGGTCTCGGGGTCAGACGCAGTGACACAAATTCGTGCGTATATTGACTCCCGGTGTCCACTTTGCGTGGTTCATTTCGAATTCTTGTCATATCTACGCTCAATTAGTCTCAATTATTCAGCATTCGAGCTCTTCAGGATATGTATGAGCTTGGAGACTTGCCTGAAAACCCCTTTAGCAACTTTTATAGACCCAAGGCCTTTTCAGGATCCCTCTGAGGCAACCATGCTTGAGTTGGTCAATATACCAAGAGACTTCAGATCTCTTGCCTCCTACTGTTGCTTACTGGTTCGTCAATGGCAGTGCCTGAGGCTTGTTGGTTACGCTGACAATAGTCCTTGAAGGTGCTTTTCTGGTGGCTTGCGATTATCATTTACAGGCTTACTCTACACCCTCTCGCGAAATTTCCAGGGCCCAAGGTAAATGCAGTATCATCAGTCCCCGGGATAATATCACTCCTCAAAGGCAGATTGCCGTTAGATAACAAGCTGTTGCACGATAAATATGGTAAGTTCCGCCGCACACTGATACCGGACATCTGATTGATAAGGTACGATGATTAGGACCGGTCGTCCGTGTAAGCCCTAATGAGCTTGCCTTCAATTCTGCCCAGGCTTGGGAAGACATTTATGGGCATCGTCAGGGTCATACAAACATGCACAAATCTCCCGTTCATGTTGGCTCAGTCGACAACCTTCCTGGAGTCACCACTTTGACAATGGCCGACGATGACAACCATGCACGGCAACGTCGTGCTCTGTCTCACGCATTTTCCTTGAAAGCGCTGACAGAGCAGGAAGATATTATTCAGCATTTCGTCAACAAACTCGTCACCAATGTTCGAGCGATGGCCCAGCAGGGCGTGGAGTTCAATCTGGTTGACTGGCTCAACTTTACGACCTTCGACATTATCGGTGACCTTGCTTTCGGGGAGCCATTTGGATGTCTCGATTCAGGTAGGACGGCATTCCCCATCAACGCTGTTAGGCTGGCGATTCACTGCTTCTGAATAGGAAAATTTCACTTCTTGGTGCAAGCGATCTTTGAAAACATCAAGGCAGGAGCAATAGAACATGCAACGCGACGATTCGCTACGCCCGGATCAACGTTCCAATTGTTCTTGATGTCAATGCTTCCGAGCAAGTTCAAACAGTTTCGTCGCAACCATCTCGACTTCAGCCGGGAAAAAGCATTGAAGTTTGTGCCCCTGCCTGCTGCTAGATGCCCTGCATTCATACTCACAATGCTCTAGGCGTTTGGAAAACGAGAACCTCGAGCACAGAGACTTTATTTGGTACATACTGAAACAGAGAGAGAAGTACGATCTGAAGCTTGACGAAATCATTGTGAACTCTGGGCTGTTTATGTATGCTCTCCCCCATGCTGACAAGTTCTACGAACTGATACTTCAAAATTTCAGTGTGGCCGGAAGTGAGACGACAGCCAATTTACTCTCAGGGTTGTTTGCCAGGCTCTTCTGGAATCCTGATAAATACCGCATCCTGCGGGACGAGATACGAACATCTTTCAAATCCGAAGGTGAAATCGTATACGATAACTTGATCAAGCTACCCTACCTGAACGCTGTGATTGAGGAAGCCCTCAGGGTGCATCCACCCGTGCCAACCGGTCTGCTGAGGACGGTCCCGAAAGGCGGCGATACCATAGACGGCTATTGGGTCCCCGAAGGCACTCATGTCGCAGTTGGCGGTTGGGCAGCCTCCCATAATCCTCTGAATTTCAAGGACCCAGACCTTTTCGTCCCTGAACGCTGGCTTCATGACAGACAATACTCGACTGATAACAAGAAGGGAATGGCCCCGTTCTCTCTAGGCCCACGGGGTTGTATCGGAAAGCAGTAAGTTCAAGCCTTCCAGCTTCGGTCCCAATGCTAATCTCGAAACTCCAAGTTTGTCATACCTGGAAATGAGAGTCATTTTGGGACGTCTTCTCTGGAATTTTGACATTATCAGTGCTGATAATGCAGCTATGTGGGATCCATCCCGAGAAATGCACAAGATGCGCGCATACATGACATGGCAAAAGCCAGATCTAAAGTGCAAAGCAGTTGATGTCAGATCGAAATGAGCATTGAGTATACCATAAGTCGAGGAGGAGTAAAGCTTATGATGCAGCAATCCATTCTGCTTCCCGTTATGCAAAGAACCAAGTCATGTCGCCCTGGAAGAGCTGAGGTATAGGCGGTGCAGATAGCGAGATATGTAGTTAGACTCCAACCAGGGCCAGAGAATTGTCGGCGGCAATGAAAAATACAACACAGCAAAAAAGTACGACACAACTATCCGGTCAAGTGGTTGACAGTGTGCTGGAACTCAACAAACACAATCTTTCAAGCCTTGATCTCACTCACCTGCTCTTGGAACCCTAGGCTATCGATCATGTGCTAGGGACCCCAATGGCCACATTAGACCATGGCGATATTACACTGAAAAGTTAGAATTTGTCACATTTCCGCTCTTTTACCTTGCCAATCAGCCAAGGACAGATCCTAGCCGGACTGGAAATAACCTGGAGTCAAACATCACCCAAATCGTTTGTGGGCGCCAACGTCCCGAGTCAGGAGCTGGGCTGAGGTTTAAGGCCCTTTAAGGACTTACGCAACTTTAGTGACCAAGATTTGGCGACCAGAGCCAGCTACCGACCACGGCACAAAAGATAGGTAGCCCGACCAGGGAGCAGCTCAGGGAAACGTCGAATTCTTGCTTCCCTGGTGGGGATTCCGTGGGTGTTCTCCGTAAATTGCGGGAGCTCGCTTCGAGCGGGGCCTAGCAACGCGTATATCGACAGTCGCTGGCATTTCCGGCTGCTATCCAGCCGTTCTGGAATGCAATAGCATGGCCACCACCGCTTTCTTTCAGCTACGCAAGAGTACAGCAGCTGGCAAAGAAGCTGCAGATTTTGTTACGGCAGCCTTTGATATAAGTGCGCCCTTGAAAAATAAGCTCAGCGGTATGGGCATGCTGTCTCACTTTTCTCTACGAAGTGCCGCATAGCTGTGACCGATTCTATCTCTATGCAATGCTGTGTTGCATCACCTACAGTCTTGCTTTCCTGCTGACGGGCCTCCGTTTATCATTGTTCCCGAGTCCACAGCCTTCGAGCCACTCTTTGGATCGCTTGCGCTGAAGTTCAAGCAAAGCCTGTACAGATGATGCTCTCTTGTTCTCATTCCGACCAAGTTGTCGCAAATGAACCTCGTCTGGGCCATCTGCTATGCGCACAATCCTCGCTGCCGCCCACATGGAGGCCAAGGGAGTGTCCTGGGAGACCCCTTCAGCACCAAAAGACTGTATAGCTCGGTCAATGACTCTGCAGGTCATTTCGGGGACGAAGATCTTTGCTTCTGCGATCTGCTTCAGAGCTCCCTTTGCATTGCTTTGATCAATCTTAGCCGCAGCGTCGAGAACCAGTAACCTTGCTGTGTCGATTTCAATTCGGCAGCGCGCAATCGCCTCTATCATACTGCCGTGCTCACTTAGCACCTTCCCAAAAGGTTGTTTCCTTGCGTCATTAGCTCGACTCAACATCAAGTCTAGAGCTCGCTCGGCCTAATCCGGTCAGAGTCTTAGTTTTGCCAGACAGAATTCACACTCACAAACCCAATGCAGCGCATCGCGTGATGAATCCTACCAGGACCCATGCGGCCTTGCATGATCTCAAAGCCTCTACCCGGTCCAAGTAGTATGTTTGCGGCGGGAACTCTCACGTTGTCGAATGTGAGATGTCCATGGCCAAGGGGGGAATCGTCATATCCGTACACCGATAAAAGCCTGGTGACTTCAATCCCTTCCGTGTCCGCTGGAACAATAATCATGGATTGCTGTTTGTATTTATCTGGATGCTCGGGATTTGTTTTTCCAATGACAATATAGACCTTGCAGCGCGGATCGCCTGCACTGCTAATCCACCATTTCTAGAATGAACATATCAGCATGTACCGAGCTTTTAGTACCTGTGAAAATGCACGCACCGATCCATTGAGTATGTAAAAATCTCCCTCCCTGACCATGCTCAGTCGAACATTTGTTGCATCACTTGAGGCTACATCTGGCTCTGTCATCACGTAGGCCGATCGAATTTCTCCATTCAATAGCGGCAGGAGCCAGCGGCGCTTCTGTTCCGCAGTCCCATACTTTGCAATGATCTCCATGTTGCCTGTATCCGGGGCCGAGTTGTTTGTTGCCTAAATTGTCAGCATGTTGTCCTAATGGATACAAGGATCCTGAACCTACCTCGGGACCAAGCTTAGACCTGCCGAGGTATTCTGCCATCAATGCATATTCCAGATTTGTGTATCCTGCGCCTTCTGATTGCTTTGATAGAAACATGTTCCACAGGCCCAATTCCTTTGCCCTTGCCTTTAGTCCTTCGAGGACTGGAGGTGAAGTCCATCGACTGGTTTCTTGCGCAAGTTGCGCCTCAAAAACCGACTCAGCCGGCACGCCTGAGCCATGTTAACATTCGGACATCGCTGTGGGAAGAGCAAACTCCGGGGGAATACTCGCATTCTTCCAGCACAAACTTTTGAACCTGAAGAATGTCAATGTGGCTGCATGTGAGGTCAGATGATGTGCCTTACCGTTTCCAAGGTCCTAACAGCACGATCACTGATTTGGCCCTGGACGAGCGCCGGGAGTCTAGACACAACGTCCATGATCTTCACAGAGGAACATTGGCCTACAAGGAAAAAAAGATTGCAGGGGCAGAACGTGTATTCTGCAGCTTTGACGAACGACTATGTACTCGATGCAATGCACTGGCAGCACCTTAACCTCGGCTTCCGGCGGCCCACGCTGAGTCGAGTGTGCTAACCTTCCCGACCTCATGCGGATATTGAGACCCGGCTAATAAAGGATAGCCATGCTTGTTGCAGGGAGGATTCGACATATATTCTTCAAAACCTGTCTCTTTGGCTTGTCCATGCCTACCTAGCAATGGTAGATCTAATCCGTACCTTAAGTATTACAGACATTGTTGACACTGATGATAACGACCTTCTCAGAGGAATATTGAGTTTGAACAAAACCACCCAGTCGATCAAGCCACCCATTAGTGATGACTACCAGCCCGCCTGTGTGCGCCGAAGGAACCAGCTAACACGGATCTAGGAATGAGTATGTGAACATCAGGTGCATAGCAAAACTTTCAAGCAATGACTTCATCGGCGACGAACATGTGGACCATTTACTATAGGCAGTCAGATGTCCGTACCAAGGTCCCTCAGCATAACCCTCCAGTCTTCAGGAGACCCGGCGGGTTCGAAGACAGAACCAGACATGAATGCGTCGGAGTCAATCATGGGGACCAGTGCATCATTGTAGTTCACTGAACTACACTGCATTGGTACACTCGTGCTAGTAGGTAGTTGTGGTTGTGTCATCCATGAGGATTTGGCATAGCTGGAGATCGTAGCGCCTGGGCTGGTCATGAGTGTTGAATTGGCCAAGGTAGATTGAGGGGCCTCGAATAGATTGGGTGGACGAAGATGCCCGTTGTTCAAGTCTGGAAGAGACGACATTGTGAGGACAAACTCGTTTGATGGGGCACGCTCGATTTGCCTTCTTTTCGAGGCGGGTTGGCCGATGTCGTCGGGCTGTGCACTGGTCTTCATTGTAGCTGATGCTTCGGAATTTCTGTCTAGCCCCGTTCTAAGATGGCTGTTGAATACAACCCCAGCTTCGGCCAAAACTTCGTTGAGAAGATTGGACATACGCTCAGCTGGTTGAAAGGTCGGGGACATTGCCGACAGGACTTGGGTCAGGCACTCTAAGTGGCGAAGAAGGCCACGCCGCTCGACAGAGTCATTGATCGTTCTCACTCGGGCAATCATTACTGTCGCCGCTGTACCGGCATGTTGAAGAACAGTTAAGCAGAATCTGCTGGGATCATAATGCTGCTGGTGCTCTTTAAGTATGTTTGCCACGCGAGTCGCGTGTTCAAGGCAAATTGTTTGCGACATTTGGACCAAATGATCTGGAATAATCCCCGGGTTCGGAGGGTACCCATCACTTTCACCATAAAATCCATGTATGTATGGTCGGTGCAGAAGCACGACTGTTGAGTGGTACTGTTGACTAAGAGGTTTATGGTAAGCTGAAATCCCAGATTGATGGTTTGCAAGCTTACTGGAGAAGGAAAAAGGAAGATGGCGCTATAGACACGTTCTCAGGTGTCCATTGTAGCTTTGGGGGAAGTCGGTTGTACCAAGCATTCAACTCACTATCAACCGCGGCGACGCTAGAGTAACACTGGTGGCTGAGCTTATTAGCTTGGATATGAATGTTGTCCGTCAATTGTCCTGCAATATCCATCAAATCTAACAAGGACTCATAGATCTCTGTTTCAAACAGTTTTTCCGCCCCGGAGGGATGGAGTCCTCCTAATCGATGAGAACTAGTTGGGAGGACCTCAATATCCGAAGATTTGACGGTTGTTCTGCGTCCAAGGTAAAGACACCAGTATCTCAACGAGGCGTCAGCAAGGTGTAACTCTCAGAGTCTGATTAACTCACTTGTCATAAATGCAGCACGCCCATAGAATCATTCGCCGCACTTGAACTTCTTCTTCGCCCAAACCGAGTCCGGTACAGTCAAGATTCAATCCGAGATCAAAACACAGCCGGCACGCCATACCTGAAAGCAGTGAGTACGGGAGCGGAGTGTATCGAGCGGTGGTCGTTACCTGCATACATCCAGCCGGTATTGTCCCTTCCACATCCGCATTCCAGGTCTGCCAGCAGGAGCAACGCTTGAATCGATGGAATGCCGCCAGGCTGCCTTAGTTCGTGTTCGAATAGTCTCTTTGCTTCGCGGTGCAGGATCGACTCTCTAGGACAAGTGGCGATTGCAAGCCTTCGAACTGATTGTCTCGACTTGTCTGCGAAGCGATATCCCATGGCGAGAATACATATATGTAGAAGTCCAGAATAGTTTTTCCCCTTCTCGCTCTCCTTGTCTTTGTAGAATGCTTCTTTATGAACGACATGGAAGATGGCATTGTGATAGATCCAAAAGCAACTCATCAAGTAGTCGTGAGTCTCAACCGATAGGTTTCGAAGGATCGATGTGGTGATCTCATTGTTTTCTCTCCTCTTTGCAATGTCTGTTGACAGGCTCACGTCCCAGAAGGTATGGAGATTTGTCAGAGGGCCAAAGTATCGCAAGCGACCAGTTCCGTGATCGATGCTCAACTGGCCAAGAGGATCCAACAACCTATCTGTAAGACCTTTGCTGCTGCAGTTCGAGCTCACGGGTGACATGCGATCTGGCTCCTGCCCACGCACAGGGCTCGACGCGACAGCTTCATGGTGCCGGATGATATTGTCTATCTCAAGGGATGTATCGGGCTCCCGGCTAGGCGGTGCCATTTCTGTCGTCGTAGAGTTGCGGGTAGTGGTCGTTGACGGCGCTCGTCTCCGTGACTGCGTGTTGGAGCCTACGAGAGGCGTGGGGAGATCGGAGGTCTTTGCTCTAGGTCGTGCATTGCTTTTCTGTCTTTCTTGTTCCAAGAGATATTCCAATTCATCCACACGTTCTTTCAAACTTTTCGCACAGCGGTTCGTGGCAGAGCTGCAGGCTCTCAGATTCAAACCCTGCCAGATCATTCAATCAACTTACCTTCTTCTTCCGTCCAGAGATACCGTGATGCATTCGATGCCCTTCTGGCGGCAGAGTTGGCACTCGGACTCGCCTTCTATGGTCTCACACTAGTCGGGAAGTGGCCACTGGTCAGTCTTTCTGGTGATCTGCAATCTTGAGAACCCTGGCTTACCTTGACTCTGCGGTGCCTACACGGCACACAAGCTAACGCAGCACGTTGACGGACCTGGGTGGAGTCCACAGCCATGATTGATACTGTACCAACCTATTCGGGCTGCGGTTGTCACAAGGCACCTCAATACTAAGCAGTGAAAATGAATTGAAGCAAACTATCTTGGATGGATCCCGAGGGGGACGAGCAGCTGGCATACTATACAAGACAAATGGTCAAGGGTTCGGATACCCGGAGCGAACGTAAGGGCATCTCAGCTCTTTTATGCATTGTCCTCAACCCCAGTCCAATCAACACCCCCCTTGGGGCGCAGATGCGGGGTACGGGAAGTGGTTGGGGGACTCCCTTGTACCCTTGGGGGAAGTGCTGTCAACGCATCAAAGGTCTAACCTTGCTGATTCTCAGGTCTGCCGCTCCGGTCCAAGCTAGGTGGGAAGGTTAGATTACCAGAATCTGAACAAGGCCCCTGTGTCCTGAGGTCTAGACTTGCACCAACGAGCTTTACAGGAACATCGCGAGCGAAATGGAAATCTGACAGGGTTATCACTACTTGAAGACGCATTCTGGACACCTAACGAGGGTTATCATGTGCGGACTCGAAGGCTAAAACACTTAATGAAAATACTTAATGGATGGAACAGAAAAGGTCAATAACAATCAAGCGGGCCTGTGTAGACGCTTTGGAGTGTCTTCTTACCGATTCTCCCTTTTTTGATCTAATCAGCAACTACATCGATGAATGGCAGGGGTTACAACACATGCATATTGAAGTATAACTTCGATCCAGTGGGGCGGGTGGCCTTTTACGAACCCGCTGGAGCAGGATATCGACACCCGCGGCAACCACAACCAAATACAGTTACATGATGCTCCATCAACCACGCCAGCACCGCAAGGCATTGTGTCCAGTGCCAAACACAACAATCTCTCATTTCGAGCCTCCGTAAGCCAGTCCATCTAATATCTTGAGATTCAAAGCTTGGGTACAGCTAGCAGTCCGAAACTTCAACTTCGCCAGCAATAATGGTTCGTTCAGTCTTTCCAGACCTACCCATACCACAGACGGATGTTTTGTCTTATGCACTGGGAGACAACATCTCGAAAGACCCGATATGGATCGATGCGGAAGATCCATCACGAGCGCTCTCTTTGCATGACCTTCGGTCCTGGGTTCGGCGGCTGGCTATCTCCTTGAAAAGACATCAGCTCCAGCATGGTGATGTAGTCCTAGTATTCACGCCTAATCACATTTTTGTGCCTGTAGCATATTTTGGCGTTACTTCTTATGGTGCTGTATTTACAGGAGCAAATCCTGCCTACACCGTCGGAGGTCTGTCACTATCTTGTCCCCAATAATTGGCCGAAAATCTAACTCTCAACAGAGTTGAGCAATTTGATGCGTGACACGGGGGCGAAGCTCGTTCTTCTCCATCCGAGTCTTGCTGAGACGGCCATCAAATCGGCCAAGGAAGTCGGGCTACCACTGGAATGCCTCATGTTGTTCTCTGACCGCCCAGTTCAGCCTGTCAGAGGCTTGGTCGATTGGTTTTCCATACTTCCTCCTGAGACAGAGTGTGAATGTGGGCAACTGGCACCATTTGATTCAAGCGCGTCGAAGACTCGAGCTGCAAGTCTAAATTATTCATCAGGGTACGTCCTGTTCGTGTAATCCTACTCTGGTTTTCGTATTACTGACTGCCTCGGATAGTACAACTGGACTTCCCAAGGGTGTCTACGTATCCCATCATGCTTTGATAGCAAACTCTGAGCAGATCATCTTTATGAGAGACTATGGGAAGCCTTATAGCGCGCGAAACCGGCCCGAGGAGCGATGGGTCGGCTTTTTGCCCCTTTATCATGCCTATGGTCAAGTGTATAACATCCTGATGGCAGCAAAACTGAGAACTAAAGTCTTCGTCATGAAGACTTTCAATTACGAAAGATTCTTATGGGTTGTACAGACGTACAAAATCACGCACCTTCAGATCGCCCCTCCCATTATGATCATGCTCAACAAGCGACCTGAGACAGAAAAGTATGATCTGTCGTCCGTGATCGACGTTCTCTGTGGAGCTGCACCCTTGTCCATGGCCCTTCAGAATGAGGTCACCAAGAAATTCGGGTTCACAATAAGGCAGGGCTGGGGGATGACTGAAGTAACTTGTGGTGGGCTGAATATGCCTGCCGATCTCTGCAGCCAGACAGGAAGCGTCGGAATGCTTCATCCGAACTCATTCTGTAAACTGGTGGACGACATGGGAAATGAGGTTGGCCCAGGAGAACGGGGAGAGCTGTATTATAAGGGCCCCAATGTTGCTCTGGGGTATTGGAGAAACCCAGCTGCCACGAAAGAGGCATTTTCGGACGATGGCTGGCTGAAGACCGGGGACATCGCTGTGATGGACCACAAAGGGATGGTTTGGATAGTGGATCGGAAAAAGGTACCCAGAATTTTTTCTCTGTCTTTTTGGAAGCCCCGGAGCCAGCTAACCGTAGTAGGAGTTGATCAAAGTAAGCGGACTCCAGGTGGCCCCCGCGGAGCTAGAAGCCATACTCCTCCAGCATGATGATATTGCCGATGCTGCCGTCGTGGGCATAACCTCTGGAGAAGAAGAATTCCCAAGGGCTTATGTGGTGCTGAAAGACATGAACCCTGAACATCGTCCTACAGAGCGATCGATTCAATCCTGGGTTGAAGAAAGAGTGGCCAAGCACAAAAGGCTTCAGGGAGGTGTGGCTTTTGTTAAGGAAATACCAAAACTAGCAAGTGGGAAGATCCAAAGAAAGACGATGAGAGAATGGGCCAAGCAAGATGCCAAACTGCTGGCGACTAATATCAAACACAGGCTATAGGTATGTACATGTATACAACTATGGCATGAGAGCCTTATGTGCGCTATCAACCCAATTCTCAAGCAGTCAGCGTGCTTAGATCTAGCTATACAAGTGGCACAGTGCCTGCCGCACGTAGCCAACGACTTGATCCCGTCTTGAAAGAATGAAGATCCTTTGTCTATTATCATGGGATGCAAAGCTTTGAAAACCGGTTAAGCTGGGGGTAAAGCGTTTCCCGCATCGCCTAATCGAATCAAAGCTGTTGGCCCGCAGTGCCCGTGAGAGATCCACACCTTTTGGCTGTTTTTAGGCCTATTAGACCTTTCTCACAGTCACTCCGACTTCCATACCAATCCCTACACAACCTGCAGTATCATACAGCACTTCAAAACTCGACCAAGTTACCCATTTTACTGTTCTAACTGGCCGCCTCGATTTGGACTGAATGCAGTGAACGGCTATGACGGAGGCTTACGCAGCAGAGTGGATTGATGTGCGTTCACCTCTTCTACTGGCAGTCAACATATGCTTATGTCCTCCTGTGCTGATTTGTTGCAGTTTGAAAAAGACTTAGGGTATAGACCAGTACTTGATGGCGACATTGGCACCATTCTCAAGCAATGGGAGTCACTAGGAAAAGATCTCGTTTCGAAATTCCCGATGAAGGGATTTGATACCTCTGTTCAACGTGACGACCGGATTGTCACTCAAAGTGGGAATCGGGTTCGTATCTACACCTCACCGTCTGTCAAAAATTCGAACCTGTGCATTTATATCCACGGAGGCGGTTGGGCAATGGGAGATATCGACAGTGAAGATGCTCAATGCGTGGAATTCTGCAAAAGAAGCAAGATGATCGTCGTGTCAATCGAGTATCGGCTATCACCAGAGCACAAATTTCCCATCCCCTTGGACGACTGTGTGGAACTATACGATTGGGCTGTCGCTCATGCGAGCACCTTTGACTGTCTGGCGGAGAGAATCGTGCTCGCTGGTGGTTCTGCCGGAGCCAACCTGGCCCTCGCAGTCGCACTTCGATTGATCGATGAGGGGCATCACAGGTCGCCAGATGGTTTGTTCTTGGCTGTGCCCGTGACTGTGGACCCTAGGCTCATTCCCAAAGAGCTTGAGGGCAGGCATACATCCTACGTCGATAATGCCGATACGGGTCCCAATTCTCCAGGGGGCATGATAGGATTCGCTGGTGAGATCGCTTCAATAGGTATGAAACTACTAACTCACGTGGATATAACATAGATGCATATGGGCCGCCTCTCGGTCACAAGTACCTATCTGTACTCCTTCATGAGAAGTTACATAGGTTACCGAGGACATATATTGCGATAGCCTGCAAAGACACTCTTAGAGACGATGGTCGACTGCTGGTTGAGAAACTCCGGGAAGGAGGGTAAGTCTCGTCGTCTTCTTCATCCGACTCAGTTCTAATGAAAATCCGAGAAGAGTGCAGGTGAAGGCAAAGGAATACGCGGGTCTCCCACATTACTTCTGGACATGGCCAGCATCGTCTCTGAAAGACGTCTCAGAGCAATTCCACAAGGACAGCCATGCAGCCATGACCTGGCTTCTTTCTTGATAGCGGGCGACGTGACACGAACTCTACGTATTTCTGAAACAGAAGAAGACATTCCCCATCCAAGCTCTTAACTCCCTTGATAGTACTTCAATCACGCCACCCTATATGCTGAGATACTATGTCAGTGATGGTCCAGCGGATTCGTGTAGAACAGGAGAGAATTCTCTGGCTCTAAGTTCAATCACATCAATTGTGACCGGCCGAAGCAGGATGTGATCGGAGTTGAGTTCCAATCCACTACTATAAAATCCAATTGCCACTCCCATCTATATTATACCCGACTCCTCCGACCTCTATGCGGGGCTGGATGTTGTTTCGTTGAGTCCCTGGCAGTCAGGAATAGATAGCGGAAGACGTTATCCGACCTGAGTTGTGTCCGCCATGGCTTCGTACAAACTCCCTCAGCTCTTGCTGAACCCTGGAATTTAGGATACAACATAACTTTCCTCACATAATCTACCCGCTTCTTGTCCACAGACCCAACAACATTTGCATGCAAGTACTCTGAGGAAATGGCGGAGCTAAAACTTGCCCCGGAATTAGGTTCTGAAATGGTGGAGTCTGTGACAATGCTTCCGCCTGTCCAACGCCATATCACCGGACACAACAGCGGTGGAAAGAGCATTTATCTCGACTCACCGCCTGTTAGATATTGGCCGGTTCCCAATGCTGGCGGGACAGGTCGCTCATATGCAGTTGGTTCTGTACCCGCAAAGTTGGCCGCGGACATCGACTTGAAATCATATCTCCAAGAAAGTGGCCCTACGAGCTCGACTGGACAAAACATCGTGCCTTATGGCACGGGGGCGAATCTTCTTGTGGTTGACCTTATTCCAGGTGCCAAAAGTCAACTTCATCGAACAGTTTCGATCGATTTCTCCATCTGTGTTATGGGTGAAGTCTTACACGAGCTTGATAGCGGCGAGGTAGTGCGTTTACTACCAGGGGTTTGTCTCCCTTCCCTCCGAGTCGGTCTTCTGAGCGGATGCCCTAATTGCTTTTCTGTGAACAGGACCATATAGTCCAGCGGGGAACTATGCATCGCTGGAGAAACGGCTCTCAAACAAACCCTGCCAGGTTTGTAGCTGTGACGATCCCGTGTGAGCCATTTCACGTTAATGGGGAAGAATTGCGGGAGCAGCATATCAAGGAAAATTGATATCCATAAGAGTATCAACTTACAGGACAAGTAGCAACAATCAAAGAAATGTGCATATAGATTGGTGTCTGTCATAAGCTTCTCTACATAGAAGTTGTAATACCTATGGGTCGTCCACTCCTGACCTGAGGAGCTACTTTGATGTCGGAATGCCGCACCCGGTCGAGGAGTGGTATTTTCCTAAAATCCGCCAGAGCGTCTAATGATTCCCTAAGTGGGCATAATATGTTGATGGATACTAAGGGCTTGCTAAAGTTCTTCAGAAGCCCCGGCTACACGTATCGGTCATCAGTAAAGCTTTAAATCGTGAACAAGGCGTATATACTCCACGACACAGTTACGACTCACATGTCAGCCAAGTTTGGTTGCACGGTGGCCAGGGCATAGAAAACACTAGGAGTACAGATGTGTCAGATACCTCCAGATATAGAAATCGAATGTGTCGACCGTGGTAACTAGGGCAGACACAGTGTCCCGGATGGCATTCCAGACTCTTCATATGGCAAGTTGCAATGTCCGTTCAGAGTGTATGGGTAAGTTTGCAGCACCCCATTCTTTTCCGAATGAGACAAACTCACAGAGGGACTGTTTTAGGCTTGCATGCCAGTCAAGGAAGGAAGAGTACCCCCTTTCCATCAGAGTTCGACATGAGCACGTTGGAACGTCAGGATTTGGATTTCCAAGAATTGTCAACCCTCACCTGGCCACGGTGGTGGGTCGCAAAGATTTGGCTACGGGAGTTGTTTTTGAGTGGTGCGATGGATATCGGTCATCGATCGCGGACGCGGTCCATCGTATGGTTAGACGGCAGGTCGAGATACGGCCACTGGCAATGTGCTCACTTGAAGAAGCTCGATTAGCATCTGGAGAACCGGGAAAGACACTAGCTGAAGTTTTGAATGAATTGGGCTCTCAAAGCGGAGTCTTGCGGATTAATCATGGGGACCCCGAGTAGCTCATCCTAAATTATTCCTCGTTCCAAAAATGCGACTGGGATATCGACATGTTTTGCCCTCAGATACTCGCAACAGTTCTTACCAAGCGTGTCATAACTGGAAGACGCATTGCAACCACGGTCCAGATGGTCCCTCAACAGGAAATGCACAGCATACAAATGAGGGAACTCGAAGCGATCGATCCTCCCGCCCTTGTACTCTTCTCCCAGAAGATCTTGCATCTTCTCGACTGACAGTGTCGATCGCAACCAGTCCCATTCATCGGTGTTCCGGACAAAGAAGCCAACATTGCAGTCCGAGGATTTGTCGCCCGACCGCCCCATACATACATGGCCCAGTGGGGCAGATCTTGTCGGGCCCCAGGAGTCAGCAGGTAGAGGATTCGTAGTGTCGTATGAACTCTGTTGTCGTGGATAATGCTTTGTGACAGCCGGAGGCGGGATGTGTTGAACTGTCGCATCGAAATGGTACACTTTGTGCTCCACGACAGACTGGGGAATTAGAGTAGCCCAGTACTCAAAGTATGGCTTCCCCATAGCCTGACGCATATCCAAAGCCATGGTCGACCCTGGATAACCCTGAAGGCAGTTCTCCAAGCACCATCGTGCAAAGCATGGTGTTTCAGGCTTCACAATCACATTCTTTCCAGCCGATATGATTTCTGGATTCCGTGATTGCGCAAAGATACGAAGATCGACGGTAGCTTCATTCTGATTCCTCGGGTTTGGTCGTGAAGAGCCCGTTACCGTGAATTTCAGAGTATGAAACTCCTTGCGATATTCTCCCATCGATGCCAATGTCTGTATCTCGACCATCTTGGCCTTCTCTTCAATGTCCAATCCCGTGAGAAAGTAATGGAACTCGGCCTGGTAGCCGCCCAGCGCTGTGAATCCTACCTTTGTTGTGGGAGGAGGAGGCAGTCCGATCACATTAGTAACCTTGACACGATTCTCGCCAATGGCCTCCATCTTCATAGAGTCTATCCGAGCAGTCACATCGGAGTTATAATACAAGGGACCCTGGATCTCGTACAGCATCTGCGAAATGCATGTTCCAGGCGTCACTATCCCTTGACTGTTTTTCTCCTTGGTGATGATGAACTCGCCGCACGCGTCAATTTCGGCAATTGGAAAACCCATGTCTGCACATGCGGGCAAGACTTCTTTCTTGAAGCCACTGTAGTATCCTCCGGTCACGTAGTTGCTACACTCGATGAGATGACCTGCCACTAGAGCGTGAGCCAATTCTGTGAATTGGTCTGTTTTCCAATCATGCCACCACATTGCTGCACCTACACAAGGCGATGCATCGGCAACGCGACCGCAGAGGACGATATCAGCACCAGCACGGAAAGCCTCGGCTATGCCAGCTGCTCCCAAGTAGCACTGAGCAAATAGAGGCTCATGACCCCAGTCGGACAGCTTGGTGTCACTTGGTAAGCTCGCAAATTCCTCCCCTGCGGCAATCATCTTCAGTGCAGCTTCGGTAACATCGTCGCCTTCGATCCACGAAACCTTAAGATCGACCCCTTCTGCCTGGCACATGTCTCTGACGGCTTTGGCTAACCCTTTCGCATCTGTTGCTCCAGCGTTTGCGCAAACTTTTTGGCGATTTTTTGCGATATTCTTCAATGCAGGGCGTAAGCAGTCGACAAAAATAACCTCAAAGGAACCCTCCTGAGACTGGTCACCGGTCTGGGCCTCTTTGGCCTTCTGGGACCCTCGATGGGTCATATTGAGCTCTCCGAGCCAGTCGCCGACAATGACGTCGATGTCAGGATCACTGGAAAGGTCTTTGAGCGACCTAAATCGGTCAAAGACTCCGCCGGAGGCGCCCGCAACGCGGACTGGTCTGCGCCTTGAACAGTCTTCTTTTGGTCGGCGATCTGCCATGTTTTTGAGCATTTGAATAGTGACTGTGATGATAAAGTCAATACCACGTTCAGGTCAACGCAAAGGCCATCAAGTATCATATTGGCATCCCCAGTCATGGCAATGCTAATAAATTCCTCGGCTTGTTGGACCGATGTTGTGGGGACTCTCGTTTGGGATAACGATTCACGCTCCGAGATCCTGTTCTCCTCATCGGCGGCCAAAGCCACTATTTCCTAATCCAGACCACCTCATGGATCAAAGAGCTTAACAGAACCTGGGATAGAGCCTCCGTCTTAAAGCGTTTCCTCAATCCAAGCTCTTGGGCCTCTTGTAAGACTTGTCCAACCAGCGCGCGGTGCAGGGAGCCATGTCCGACATTCCTGATTTTCAAGACTTGTTCCGTCTTGACGGAAAGGTTGCTTTGATCACTGGAGGTGAGTCGAATCCGCGCATCAGTCTTTGGCTTATCTTAAAGGTGTTAAGCTAGGCTCTCGCGGTTTGGGACTCCACACAGCAACTGCATTCCTCTATGCTGGGGCGAAAAAGGTCATCTTGACGTCTCGCAAGTCAGGAGGCACATATGGCCTCAATCAGGCCGTCGAACGATTGAACAAACTACCGAATATAAAAGGGCGAGCATTGGCGATTCCTGCAGATATATCAAAGACAGAAGAGATTCAGCGATTGGTCAAGGAAGTCCAGAAAACTGAATCCAAGCTGGACATTCTGGTCGCCAATGCTGGAGCGGTGTGGGGAGGCCCATTTGATACCACACCAGATGCTAGCACGGTCAAAGTGCTAGATTTAAATGTTCGGAGCATATTCAACCTGATCAGAATGTGAGTACCAGAGCAAGACATGCCATTGCTTGTGTCGGCGCAGCTTCTAAAAAATCCAGATTTACGCCGTTACTCGAGGCAGCCGGGACACTATCGGATCCTGCAAGAGTCGTCATCGTCAGCTCTACGGCTGGGTCTCATGTTCCTCATGTCGGAGAGCATGGCACAATTGTCTATTCGGCATCCAAAGCCGCAGCAGACCATTTGGCAAGAAACATCGCCGTTGAACTTGGCCCGAGACACATTACAACGAACTCCGTTGCCCCTGGATTCTTCCCCTCCAAGCTCGCGAACGGCCTGATAGAGTCCCTTGGTGGTCTTGAAGGATTGGAGAGAGAAAACCCTCGGAGAAGACTCGGGGTCGCCTCTGATATGGCTGGAGTAATGGTCTTTCTTTGTTCTCGTGGAGCAGCGTGGATGTAAGTCTCGAACTCATAAGAAAGAAAGCGACTCATATACTTACAATATCCCAATAGAAATGGTGCCACAATACCTGTTGATGGCGGAGGGCGGCTAACCGCTGGAAGACTGTCTAAGTTGTAAACAAGAGGCGAGTTCACTGTGAACGAAATGTTTCCCCGCAATGCCGTTTTATATTTCTGTAATGTTCCCTTCGCTTTACTGCTGGTATAATCTTGCTTCTAGTTTTACTATAGCTGAACCGTGCTTCAACACTAAAAATTCATCCCACGATCACCGAATTCTTTTGTAATGGTAAATATCACCCCTTGCGTATCGCTGTTTGCTGCTTTCAGCTGGTCGATTGTGGCGTATTCTTCCTACTCAAGTCGTCATTGGTCAGTCTAAGGCCAGGGCCGACACCCAAGGGAAACTATATCAAAGGAGTACAACACGGGGGAGGGCCTACCAGAGCCAAAAACTTGGCAGGTTGTGACAGAGGGTTATCCTCCTGTGCTAGCTTATTCATGGTGTTATAGAACATCTCAAACAGTCGAATCCTTTCTGCAGCATGCCCCCAATTTTGCGATGTATACCAATCTAGGAGCCTTCCCTTTGGGTCTCCAGCAACTTCCGAGGGAGCATTGAATTGCATCGTTCGTAAGAAGCCTGTCGGACCTGTTGTAATTTAGTCCGTGCTACTAGGTCATTCAGATATAACACAGTGGTAGAGGCGGAAGAGTCAATGAAACAAGCCGCTATTTGATCCTACCATTTTCCAACTGGCTCCCCTCCTTCTTTGATATATAATTGTAGAACCGCACATCGAACTCGGCTAGGTCGAATATGTTCTTGCTCTCGCCTGGCAGTTGATCACTCACGACAGGGATGTCATCGAACTCTTTGGACCCAAGGAAGTCGGCCCGTGGTATAAAGTAGACGGCTAGATATGGACGGTCTGCGGCTGAATTATCCACCTCTGCCTTTTCGTAGCGAAACGCGGCCTGCGCTCCTCCAGTCTTCAATACATCTGGGATGTGCTCTCCACTATACCATTCGTGAAAGAGAGACTCTGGCAGCAGCTTCTTATCCACGATTCTCGAATTGACGTAGAGGATGCCAGAACCTTCAAGAACTTTGGACATCTTTTGAGCTTGGTAAGAAACGCAATGAAAGCAGATAGGTCGGAATAGGGACGTCTTTGGAGGACAAACAAAGGTCACAACTGTCAAAAGGGAGCGACAATAGCACTCCTCTGACCTACCGAGGCAAAAGCGGATATATGTAAGGCTTTTTATTGCAGAGAGTGCAAATTCAGTAATTCCTTTGTTGTGCCTCAATCGGCAGTGCTATCCAGGGAACCGTTACCCAGAATGACCCGAGGGAATCATGGAGTCTTCAGCGGCTGTAATGTGAAAACTAGCTGCAAGCTTCTTGTGGGTTCGATCAACATAAGTTGAATCTACCTCCTCTGACGCTACACCATGGCGAAGGAATTTCGTGGGGTGTCTAACTTAAGCTGTGCCGCTCAAGCAATGCCTCTGAAGTGCCAATCTCCTGAACAGGCCATTCAATGCTGTGGGCGTTCAAGCAAAACGCATCATCCGTAGAACAGGTTCACGGCTAGGTAACTTGTGAGTCACCGTATTGTTTTCCGTATATGGAGTTTGCCTAATGGTTTCCGCGAGGATAGTATGTTTCCTAAATCGGATAGCAACAGGAGATTGGGGGTGTTTTACTACCAGACTGCGACTAATTGTATCTCAGCAAAGTCACCATAAAAGCCACTCTTCGTACTTTGTCACCAGGCGACGAAGGGTACATAGTTATCCATGGCCTCGCTCGACGCTAAAGTCTTCGCAGTGACTGGAGCAAGCTCAGGAATTGGTCTCGCCTGCGCCACTACATTGGCAGCTCGAGGAGCCTCGTTGGCTCTCGCCGATATCAATGTGCAAGGCCTCGAACAGGTTGCTCGCTCGTTAGATCATCAAGGTCGCAACATTACCATCCATCAAGTCGATGTGCGGAGCAGGGACAATGTGAGAGACTTCATCGACCAGGTTAAGCAGCAACATGGGTTACTCCACGGTTGTGCTAATGTGGCCGGAGTAATTGGAAAAGGAAGCAATATCCTCCCAATTTGGGAGGTGAGCTCGGAGGAATATTCGCACACCATGGACGTCAATGCGAAGGGCGTCTTTAATTGCATCGCGGAACAACTCAGACCAGATATCATGCAGAAAGGAGGGAGTATAGTCAATATTGCAAGTGTGGCAGGCATACTTGGACTACCCAAGAATGCTCCATATAGTGCAAGCAAGCATGCGGTGGTTGGGCTCACCAAAGCCGGTGCACGGGATGCCGCTGAGCTGGGCATCCGAGTTAATTGTGTTGCACCGTTAGTACCATTGAATGTTGTTCTGGAGCATGCTAACGGTTTTTCCTAAGGGGGGCTGTCATGACTCCAATGGTAGCAGCGGACAAATTTTCCGCCTCCGAGCCCACAACTCCCATCAAGCGGTTTGCTCTGCCAGAGGAAGTGGCCAATATTGTCTGTTTCCTCCTTAGTGATGAAAGCAGCTTTGTGACCGGCTCTACTTACACTGTGGACGGCGGTTGGACTTGCTAAGACCTTGGGCACATCACACGAGGGTAGTTGATTGATGCAGAACGATGGCATGGGGCTTGCTACCAAATCTACACTATACACCGTGTTTGCTTCCGTACGCTGCCAATGATAGATACATGGGCTAGGTTCTGGATATTGTTTTTCGCGGTCGCGCCAGCCAAAGGCTTCCTGACCCAACGATCCTCTTAGCTCGATTTCCATGATCGGATGGCGGCCCACAATTCCCCGCTTGCGACTACAACTTTGTTTTAGATTGACTAACACTTGCTCTCTCTCGCATTAAGCTTGCAGGATCTAGTGAGATCCAACCGTCTCCAAAGATGCTAGGGTGAAGGTTTTCACTTCTCTGTGAATCAGTACAGCTGACATGTCAAGATCAAGGACTATAAGTCGCGGACAGTGCGATCAGTCTTTCCACAGAGCGGCCGGGGAAAAGTTGCGACCGGCCCCACCCGCAAGCTCCTCTTTGCGAATATCGGTATCCATGGACGCATACGGGTTGCGGGCCTTGAGACCCAAGATTGGAACTGCAGTATCCTCCAATCGAATGCTAAGTCGGCTGGGCACTATCACTCGTGGCCTCTTGCAAACATCTGTCAGGGCCTTGAAAGTGCCAAACTTGCGGCTCCAGCAAAGTAAGTCGCATTCACGTTCGACTGGTTGGGAAGATGTCGGCCCTGCGTTGCAGCCTCAAAGGAAGCTGGAGTCCTCATCGTCGCTTCAGGCCTGCCATCAGGGGGTCGCATCCAAGTTTCGTGAGTGGTTTTGGGGGGGTTACCAGGCGGCGCTCATTAGTATTGACCAATCTTTTCGAAAACAAGGAGTTGGCGCAGCATGATGATAAGAACAAACACGCCCTTGTGTTCGGAGCGTCTGGAATAACTGGGTGGGCCATCGTCAACCAGCTGTTATCAAATTCGCCTGAGGCGCAGGCATTTTCCAAGGTCAGCGCAGTCACAGTTCGACCCATCAGTGCCGAAAAAGCTCTCTGGCCAGACTCTTCCAAGTTGAGCATCTACAGCGGGATTGATCTTATCCGTCTCAATGCCGAGGGCACGAAGGATGTTCTGAAACAAAAGATTCCCGACATCGACACTGTCACTCACGTATTCTTCAACAGTAAGCAAACTGTATTTTTCCGGCTGCGATCAGAGTCTAATAACACGTAAACAGGCTATAAATGGGTTGAAGACCCAAAGGAGGAGTCCATTGTTAATTCATCAATGTTGGAGAAGGCTACTATGGCAGTTCAAGCACTCTGCCCAGATTTCCAATTCTTTGTCCTGCCGACTGGTACAAAAGTATACATACACTACCTGCTGCTGGCGGGCCAGCATGATGTATGGATGGATGGATGCTGATAATGTAATCCCAGGCGTACGGTATCCACCTCTTCCAAGATTTTCCCTATGGTGATCACCTCCCGCTCTCGGAGTCCTTGCCGCGTCTCCCGGAGCCGCATGCATCAAACCTTTTCTACTACTGGGAGACAGATGCGCTGACGCGCATGGCAAAAGGACGGAAATGGACCTGGTGCGAGGTGCGGCCCGATTTGGTGGTTGGCTTTGTTCCCAACAATAATGCACAATGCCTGAGCCAGAGCCTGGGGATCTACCTATCCCTATACCGTTTCGTGAACGGACGAGGTAGTAAAGTGCCCTGGCCAGGTACCGAAAAGTCCTATAACGTACTCTCCAGCCAGACCAACCAAGATATGGTGGCGAAATTCAGCATCTGGGCCTCGCTCAATCCTAAGCTCTGTGGGGGAGGAGAAGCTTTCAACGTCATTGACACCAACAATCCTTCTAAATGGTCCGATCGCTGGTCTCTCATCTGCTCCTTATTTGGTCTGGAAGGGGTTGGGGTGGTTGAAGGGTCTTTCAAGCCATCGGAGTTCATGGCAAAGCACCGCGCTGACTGGGACCAAATTGTCCAGGATCAGGGGTTACAGCGAGGATCATGGGACAACAGTCTCGCAAATCCTTTCTTCTTTGACGCCATTCTCAGCCTTTTCGATTACGACCACCAAATCTGCGCAGACAAGATGTACCAGACAGGTTTCAAAACAACCTTTGACGAAAAGACGTCTTGGGCTCTTTCATTTGAGAGGTTCAGACAGGCAAAGATACTTCCCTACTTTGAGGATTGAAAAGTAGTTAAAGCAGTTCATCAGGTACTTCTCTTTCTTTCAATCCCTTGGCCCCTCTTCGTATAAAGGTCCGCCTGGTGTGGTGCTGAGAACATGCGATCCAAGTATCCCACGGATATGTGTATTTTCTACTAGGTAGACTACGACTATAGACGATAAGCTTCGCCGTCATCTGAACTTCACGACCGCTGTAGCCTCTGACCTGCCCGGGTTCACTGAGCGGTGTATCCTCCGTCGACCTATGCTATGGTGAGCTGAAAACCTCATGCAGAACGGCTTCGCAACAACCCACTGGGATTACAGCTCCGCATATATAGCTTGCCCTGGTGGACGCTACCATGTAATCAGCATTGAATCAATGAACAACCAGAGGCCGGCGGCCGACTGAGAACCTTACCTAGAAAGGTGGCAACTTCCGCGATTTCTTGCGGGGTACCTAGACGCTTCATCGGCGTGAATGTCTGGCAGTATTCGAGGGAATAATCTCTGGTTGGGCCTAATATCGCAGTGTCAATGATCCTTGAGGGTTTCCCATATTAGCCAGTTGCCGAAAGTTGTGAGTTTCATTCAGGCATAATGGTATAATCACTGACCCAGGACAGACAGCGTTGACTCGTATATCCTTGGCGGCGAAGCTGGTGGAATCGCTTCTTGTGAGGCCTATCACGGCTATGTGATACCTTGTCAATAAAAGATGGGGGCGTTTCGGGGATGGTACAAGAAGGGGAACAAACCATGTTTGGACATTGTATATGGTGTAGAATCAGGAAACCCAATAAAACCACAGACAGATGCCACGTTGACTATAACGCCTCTACTACCAGGACGGCCATCACTGTGGTTGATTGTCAGCCACTGCTGCCACACCTACCAGGAGGTAGACTCTAAGATCCAGAGTATGACATACTGGGTTGGCAGAGGTTCTTGGGTCAACATTTGAGTGATTTGCGCTCGCTCAGATAACCAGACCGCTCTTGCGTTGATTGACTCAACCAGTTGGTAGTCATCCAAAGTTAGCTTATCGATCGATTCGAGCTTTCCTGTGACGCCTAGTTTTTACATTTAAACATTAGCCATTTCGGAACGAAGAAACAAAACCCCAGGGGAATAATAGTCTCCCAACAGACAGACCTGCGATGTTGAAAGCATAATCAACTCGGCCAAACGACTGAACAGCTCGACTGATCAACGCATCGATCACTTCGGGACGACTTATATCTGCCACTTCTGTATCGATATTCGCCTTTGAATTGAGTCGCTTTGCCACGCTGACGGTTTCTTCCAATGCCGATTCCTTGATGTCAGTAGCAAAAACCCGAGTGCATCCTTCCCGCACCAGCTGCTTAACACACTCTCTCCCTATACCGCCCCCGGCACCAGAAACGAAAGCCACTCTGCGGTGGCTTGGTCAGTACTGTAACAGCCAATGCGGATAAGAAGAGATTTGTACCCATGAAGACCAAGACTCATTATGAACTGGCAAGTTACGGGAATGGTTCTTCACACCAGCTGTGCTCTTGATTGTCTGTAGGCTGAGTGGAATGGATGCGGAAACTGCTGCCAACTCTGAGCTCATGATTTGTAATTAGTCTTCATAGTCTTCATAGACTTTGGGCATACCTCCTACCAAATGATGAAGGTCTCTGTCGAGAGTTAGTGTGCCTGTCTCGAAGCAAAGGACGTGAAGTGCCGGCCCAAGGATTCCGCAATAGAAGAACGCGTAGGTCTTTACAAGCAAATACCTTCACGCCGCTCTGAAGAAGAGACGCGGTTCCGCAATGGTTCGTACTACGAAGAACCAGTTCTTTGATCCCAAAATCTGGAATTGTGGTAGATGTGCCTTCAGCAATCCTTGCGGCAATCGTTAACCGCAACTGCGGTAAATGGTTTCCAGGTCTATACAGACCAGATGAGAATACACCGAGGCCGCATAAAATCCTAACATGGCAAAGACGGCAATTACAGAGGGAAGGCTCAGTTGAGCCCTTTGAAGCCATAAAATCATGGAGAGGCAACGTGTAGGTGTGTGAAGAGCAGGCGGCCTGGCGCGAATGAGCATCGCAAGTAAAACTTGACTATATCAATTTGAGATAGACTCATGTCTAGAACCATAATTGATCGATTGACACCAAACTTCGTTTGTGATCTGAGATATGAACGTCAGTCATATAATATATGAGCTGAGCATGTTGCACAACCCAGATTCGGTGTAGGCAAGGGCCCTGATCGAGAATTCGACCAATGAACATGGAAAAGGCTGCGTAATCTTCTTGACGGCATACTTTGTGCCAGTCGAACAGAAGGCCTGCGCGGAAAGACCTGGGCCAATCTCGTGTTGCAAGCTCAACAAGGTTGTTGACTTTTGGACGGATAGAGGGTCGCCAAAGACGACCTCGAAGGAGGGCACAGTGTCTTTGACAGACTAGTGGCACTACAACCTGGTCAACACTGTGAGCACCATGCCGGCACTTCTCCTTCCTTTGAGACGGTTCCCTCCCTAACAGCACTGACTCCCGCCCGCACTTCTCATGCCGCCAATTTCTCACGTGCAGTTTGGCACCAGTTGTTCCATTCGGTGAAGAAGCTCGACGGAATCTGACACTGCTTCTCGGTCAATTGTCTCAGCCGTGTTGTAGCGTAAATCTCGACGATAGCGCCAATATTGCTAGGGTCCGCGTTGACCAAAACAGTGAGAAGTAATATACTGGCTTGGCTTGCAGCTTTGAGATGCGCATTTGAAGCCTTCGTGCATGCCTCGTCGTGGATAGACTGTAGAACCTGAATAGCATCGTCGTTCGAAAATCCGCCATCCACAAAAGTCATATTCAATCCCTTGCGGCGGTTATAGAACTTCTGCAAGATCTCGCACCCGCGATGTGCAAGCTGCTGCGTCCGAGTAGTTCTTGCAAGTTCAAGCAAGGGCACAATCAGATGAAGTGCCAGGGGATTCTGTCGTTGATGATCCAGATATGATTCGATTAAATCAAGCACACGATTCTTGAAGTTGACCACATTTTCTTTGGCTTGCTTGGTTTCCTTTTTCTTGTTTCGTGAGTGTTGCGCGTTCCGCAATCGGAAAACTTCGGCAAGTTTTGTGTCGAGCTCCAACATCTCGTCGTCATCCATATCTATATCGGAGGAAGAGTCGGATATAGATGCATCTGCCATGCCGTTTTGATCGAAGGGTCGAGTGCCCAGAGCCGAGGCAAGAGCTGCATCAAACGCCGCAAGTTCCTCGTCCTCTTCATCGCCTGAGTGTTCTAGCTGCGAGGATCCTTCTGATGACGAGATCGATTCATGTTCGCCAGAGGCGAGTCCTTCGGCATCAGGGAGAGATTCCACTTCAACGTCCGAGTCTACGCTAGCGTCTTCACTGTCCTCCATGTCGAGACCTCCTTCCTGGAACATAGCTTGCTGGCCTTGTGTGTTTTCCTTTGCTTCCAGAACACGCCATAAGGATTCCAAACCATCACCAGTGACGAAGGGTGCGAAAGCCTCGAAAATTCGAACGGTAATGCTCCTCAAAAACTTCGATGGCCTCGAAGCGAAGCTGAGAATAATCTCCACCATTGCATCGGCTGGATTGTGTGCAGTTCGGTCGCTTGAGCCCTTTGGTTTCCTTGCTTCCCAATGTTGCTGGTATTCGAGAACATCCTGCAAAAGCTCCACCGCATCGGTGTCGCCGATATAGATCTGGAAAAGAAGAAGACAATAAAGTAAGGAAAGGCCGTGCGAGAACGTCGGATAGCTCTGCGTGGGGACTTTGTCAGTTGGAAATGGTTGTGGTAATCTTTCCAAAGCGCCAGACAGATCGCTGAGTCGCTTCCAGGCTTGCTGTACAAGTACGTACACACTTTCTTCGAACCGTGATGACACGGATTGTTGATGGGTGCCCACAGGCTTCAACCGTAGCATTGTATCCATCAGAATCCTACATCCTAGAGCCTCAAGCTTCAGTGTATGTTCAAATGCTAGACCCAAACGGTCTTTCATGTGTTCTCGACTTGCCTCGAGAAGCTCGGGGGCATAAGACTTGGGTGCCGGCAGTGAAGAGCTCTCCAATAACCATATATCCATGATATCACAAGCGATCTGTACATCTCCCCGTTGTTCGTCGGAACCTTCTGTCTGCTGTGCATTGTTAAACACTGACCGAACGATTTGAGACTGTAGATCTATGACGGTTTTCTGCCTCTTCATGACTTGCTTTTCTTCCTCGTCTGACACATTCTCAGCAGCGATGGACATCAGGACGTCTGCAGCGATTTTGAGCACGTGATTATGAGCCGAATCGAAAAGGCTCTCCATGGTATTTGTTTTCGTGAGCTGGTCAAAATTGCCATAATCAACACTGCGCAGTAATGCCTTGATGCAGGTCTCCGTCAAGCTTGGCTCAGAAAGCGAAACCGCTTCTTCTTGATTAAGACGAGTGTGGAAATTTTCAGACGTTTTCAAAGCACGTTTCCTGAGAAGGTGTTTAGGAACCTTGAGTGAGTTCGCCAGGCATGATGTCGCCCGGGGTGTGAACGTAAACCGCAAGAAACGTTGCGGTTCCATGGTGAAGACCTTTTCCCACACTGCGAAGCCCCAATATTTTCGCTCGTGACTACTGGTGGGCGAAAATAGACTTTCTGGTGAACACAGAATCAGCAGCTGTTCTGTACAGACTTGAAGCGCACTTACCATCCACGACCTTTTGCCAGAAGATCTCGAACGTGATCCGTTCGTGCTTTGAAGACTTGTCGGTTCCATTCTTGCTATCATTGGGTGACGTCGTATGTTCTCGAGATAGTTGAGACAAAACAACATCCCAGGCGAAATGCAGCTGCTGCGACCATCTTGCAGATCCCTGAGCCTCAGTATCTGAGTCGTCTTGAGGCAGAGTTCGTGCGTCTTTAAGAACGTCGGCAAGAAGTTTGGCATTCTTCATGGCTAAGGGATCTCCATACTTCCAGACAGAGTTTAGCAATTTCGCACGAGGGAAATGTGTTGTGATAGTCAACCAAAGTGCTAAACCTTCCGGCGATCGGACTATCTTCTTTGCATCCAGAACCTCCACGGCATTAATAGCAAACTCTTCCAGAGTCTTCGTGGCAGCCTTCGTGGCAGCCTTCGTGGCGACGGAATTGAGACGGTCCACAAGGACCCAGCCACATTGCTGTCTCAGCCACGGTTTCTGGATTGCCAAATCACAGATCAGCTCCAATACTCGTCTCCATTGAAGAGGCTCGGATTTTGTGAAGAGAATGTCGGATCGAAGCACCGCAGATGCGCTGAAGAGTCTTCCAAAACAATGGTTTCGCTCGTCGTCGGCGGTTGTTCCACTTTCAGGCACAGTCAGAGTCTCCAGCATGTCGACGATTGTGGCAGCAGGCCATGCATCACTTGGTATCAGCTGATAGAGGAGCTCGGTCAATGCAATGGAAAAGCCAAGTCGGGCAGCCTTGCGCCCACTGCATGTCCCACGGAACAGGCGTGTCAGGATGGTCCTCGTCTGATCATCGCTAGTCACTCCTGGCTTGAAAATCTTAGTGACCAACGTGCGGGCGGCCGCGTGGCGGATCGTCTCGTCATAATCGGCCAGATCGTTGTAGATTTGCACGAGCTCAGGCTCAGGCTCTCTCTTTCTTTTCTTCGACATTGTGATGAGCTGATGAGATGAATACACCAGACGATTGATAGGGCGAGGGAGTACTCCGTAACAAGAGAACAATTATAATTTTTTTACTCCGAACAAGATTAGCCGAAGTTCAAGCCGGAAACGAGCTAGTGGATTCAGAAGATCAGCCTTGGCGAGCGCGGGGAAAAGAGCGCAGCTGCACCAGTCGTTGGGCCTTTACCAGACGCAGTCAAGGAAACTTCTCGACGACACATTTGGTATGGCATGATAGGCATCTAGTCACTGACCTCCGTCGGCCTCTAGAGCATTGGTATCCTCTTTGTCTTCACAAACCACACTACGACCAACTCCCAACGCTGATCGATTCTTTGAAGAACTCTCCTTATATTGTGGTCTCGCCCCCCTCGCAGCCCTTCCTCATATCTGTTCACGCGACACTCTCTCTCACATTCCGATCTCAGCCCCGCCAACCTCAGTCGCGATGCAGGCTCTCCCCGAATCTCGCCAACAGACTTTCGAAGAGATCTACGGTCCTCCCGAGAACTTTCTCGAGATCGAGGTGTGTTGCTGATCGCCTTCTTCTTTCATTCTACTCCATCCAACCCTTACCCGGGAGCCGGTGGTGCTAGCCCTCAAATCTTGTGTTGAAATTGTCTGCTGATGCGCGCTGTGGATTCTAGGTGAAAAACCCGCAGACCCATGGGTCTTCCCCTCGAAACATGTACACGTCCTATGAAATCCACACGCGCACGAATATCCCCGCCTTCAAGCTGCGGCATTCTGTGGTTCGCCGCCGATATTCTGATTTCGAGTACTTCCGTGACATTTTAGAGCGGGAAAGCGCACGAGTCACGATTCCCCCACTGCCGGGCAAAGTCTTCACCAACCGCTTCTCTGACGATGTCATTGAGCACAGAAGAGAGGGTCTCCAGCGATTCCTACAGATTGTGGTTGGTCACCCACTTCTGCAGACGGGTAGTAAAGTACTCGGAGCATTTATACAAGGTAAGCAAGAGACAGACATGCCTCCGCTACCCACACATGGTGACGGGTTCGATTGTTCTGACAAGGCACAGACCCTAATTGGGACCGCAATGCATGGTAGTGACAAGCGAATCTTCAGGGTGGTGTACCGTTTTGACATGAAGCGTTACGGTGTGGCTAGCGAACGGAGTCACAAAAGCACGAGAGATAAGACGACGATTTGACGCCCCCCCCTGCAAAGGCCCTGCGCATTGGCCGTGACATTTTCATCAAGGTTGTAGACAATCACACCGGCTTTTTCCTCCGGAAATTGAGCATCGAGCGTTGTGCGAGTGGCGTTTTTGGTATGAGCATTCAGACTGTAGCGCTCGAAGAGATTTTCTTCTGGATCCGGGGATTTCTATTGTTCTGTTTCTCACCTGGGCTCAAATGCGCGGGTGCATTCTCATAGGTCGATCGTTGCGAGCCTGGCGATGTCGATGTTGGCAATGCTCTCAGTGACAGCGCCTCGTGTTAAGCTGAAAAGGGACCACCAACAACTCGAGAACCGATGAAATCGAGAGACAAAAATTATGATTGATGCTTCTACACCAGAATATCTGCCTTTGAAAGCCAAGTGGGGGTTCTGAGCCCATCACATTATAATACCATACCATCGCAATCCCAGGGTATCAAAAAATCGCTCACCAGATAAAAATATAGATCTATATGCCATCCACGTCCTCAAGCCATTACCACACCCGCTCTGGGTCAGAGAGGGAACCTGCTCAAATATGATCCAAAGACTCTTCGTACGAAAAACTATATCCTCCTCGTTGTATCCTGCGCCGTAACTTTGCGTCTCCGCGCGAGGTTGTTCGTCCGTGCTGTGATGCCAATTCCTGTTCCGTGCTCCTCATTTGAGATGTGTTGCAAGTCTGCTCTCCAGCCAGAGAGGGCAACCGGATTTCAAATGCCAATTTCGTCCCACTCATGGAGTGGAGCAAGAGTATTATTGCCCCAGTCCATGTCGTCGACACCCAACGTGAAGCTCGGGAGAGTCACACCAGGTTGTTCCCTATCCCTTTCTCTTTCTCTTTCTCCTTTGGACTCTCTGTGCTCAACGGTACCATTGTCGTCATCGTTTCGAAGTAACATGGCTAGTGCTGTGTTTGAGATAGATCGATGTGGCTGCCCATCGATACCTCGCTCCAAGGTTGAGGTGCCCTTATTGGACACTGGGAGAGCGCGTGTCGTTTTGGGTCGCGAATCCGGTGTCTTTTTTGGTTTGGTAATAGGGCTAGGTTCCACTGCTGTAGCCCTAGCAAAAGGATACTCCTGGCGTTGCGCCGCTTTCCTGACCTCAGATCTCAGTGGTGCAGTCTCTGCATGCTTGTAACCGTCGGGAAATCTGTTGCGAATTCGATCACGTAAATCGGTGGCTTTTCGGTGTCCAAGATCGAGATCTCGGTCGTCATGAATGGCAGTCCACTGGAAGCCGTGTTTAGCCACGCCTTTTAGAAGATTGGAATCTTCATAATCCGTCCACACCCGCCGTTTTCGTCGTTGTTTCGTAGGCTGTTCAAGATTTGCTGCTGGGCTTACCGGCAAGACACGTTCAGGAGAAGCACTATCTCGGACGATGCTAGTTAAAGTGTTGGGGCCAGACGTGTCGGCGGCAGATGGGCTTCTCCTTGGTGAAGGACCATATTTGGCGACATTACTGTTTGTCGCACAGACTCGGTAGCGATCCTTGAGGTCTACGGAACTTCGACCGACAAAGCTGAAGTCGGGGTCGACAAGGATCTGTTTCCACTTGCCAACGCCATGTTTCTTGACACCCGCAAGAAGGTCCATGGTTTCGTGGTCTGACCATCTGCGGCGAGGTCTTCGTACTTGCTTTTTATCGTCCCAAGCACTCGCTTGCGTGGGTGCGTCATTCAGGTTTGGGGGGTTTGATGGCAGACTAGCTGGCGCCGGTTCGATGTTTTGTTCGAGCTCCTTCAGCGTGCTAACCGCGGATCGTGATGTCGAAGTAGCGGTTCCATCATTCTCCGGCTCTGTCAGTATGTCTTTGACGTGGATTTTCGAAGTTGTAGTTCGTGAGATTGTCGGTCGGGAATCGACATCGATAGAGGGGAGTAGAGCAGCTGAGGGGGGAGGTTCATGTAGCCCCGTGACTATGGCTGGCAGCAAAGGGGTCGGCCTGCTCTGGCGATCATCTTTCTGGGCCGGACGAGGAAGTCGTCGGATCAAATCAGGCGCTGGGTGGTCATTGTCATCCAGCCTAGCGCGCTTCGACACAGGTTCCAGAGGAGTTGGTGCTTGAACTGGAGATTTCTCGACCACAGACAAACTGATGAACGATGGCAGCTGCATCGGAGCAATTTCATTATTGGCATCAAGCAGTTCGCTGATTGCAAGATGCGGCTTCTTTGCTTCGCGAGCCAGGAGGACGTCATTTGGGGTTATCTTCGGCGCACGTTTCTTTTCATTGCCATCTTCCACTGGCTTTTGGTTCTTGCTGTTTCGTTTGCTGTGCAGGAGATTATCGGCCAACGGCTCAAGAGGCGAAGGAGCGTTTGCATGGCGGGCGGGCGCTGGATTACGAAGAGGAGCGATCTGGAAGTCGGTGAGGGCGGGGAGGTCCGTGATCTGAAACTGAGGGTCATCAAGGAGGCCAGGTAACGGCTCGGTCATACCGTTCATCATGTCTGCGGAAGGTCATTGCCGGCGAGATATTAGAGACACGATGGTCGAGGGGGAATCGATGAGATGCAGAGACGTGGTCGAGCTCATCTAGATAGGTAGAGGCGAGATCGATGGCAGGAACGAAAGTATAATAAGCAGACAAGAATAGGAGATGAGGAGAAGAGCATTCGATTCAATTTTCGTTCTTTAACCATGGCTCTGGATATGATGGAAATCGGCATGAGAACAATTACAAGTCGGCTGCGGGTCGTCGTCCGTTCGTTGCAGCTTGCGAGAGAAAAATGCCGGATCGGCAATCTCTTGGAGTTCATCCAACCACAAGGCCTCCCTACGCCTTTCTCACCTCTCTGCTACACATAGTACAGGTCAGGAAGACTGGCACACTCCCTGCAATCTCAAGCCAGGCAAGTTTACGTAGAGTCAACAGCTTATTGCGTATGTCATTCGTTCACGGCAAAGCTAACGACGTCTTTACTGGTCAGCATTAACTCAGGCGGTCGCAGACAGGGCGAAGAGATCGACGAACCATCCCGATCAATTGGCGCTTTCAAACAGCTGAAACTTGCGTTTCAGGAGCAAGCCACCAACGCCCATTCTCCCATGCTGTCGTTGTTCTTTTGCTGGCCATATGCAGGTGGGAAGGCGTTCCTTGGAAATGCTGGGAAGGTTTCACTCATTTTAGTCACCGACACACATGTATCGCCATCAGTCCTTTCTTAGATAGCCCACAGCCTCATCAAGCTTACGGAGGGTATGTTTCCCTTCAGTTCAAATCTGCAGAGGATACGGAAGCAGGGTGAGCAGATCACATCAGGAGCTTGGTATTTTAAAGACATAGCCTACAGCCAATAGCAATGATGAAGAATATATGTACATACTCCGTGAGGAGTGAGATCTTGCAAGCTGATAGCCATCCCCAAGGAACGAGGGGATATACGGCAACCGACAACCCTCCGTCCACTACGGAGTACCTATCTCCCTACCCTGTGCATGTACTCCGTACTCCGTACCTTTACATACTCTACCCCGTACGCTCTAGCACATAGCTGCCAACAATGATGCCTGCAGCTGGATAAGCGACGTGTGCACGTGATGTGACGCTCAGGGTGAGTGGTCATGGTTGTGACACGCGCTTACGGAGTACACCCAGGTAGAAGCTAGTGTTACGCGCTTCGCCAGGTGACGGACTCTGGATATCTGGAAGCTTCTCATTCGACCACATGAGGGATTCTGGAAATCCTGTTAGTCAGTGATGAAGCAAGGCGATGCAGCTTTCAGGGGCAAGTCGCTCATTGAACCGGCCACATCCCCGCAAAACAATGGGAATCAGGACATTCCACGTCGCACAAAGATTTTTGTTGAACGAGTCGCGTGCACGAAAGTCGTTGACTGGTGCAACGTGGTTGGGTGGTGGGACCCGACACCAGCGTTTCAGATTTCTGGCACCACCATCGGGGCCGAGCCAGCAGGCATACATACCTCGTACTGTACGAGTAGAGATCCAGAAATGGATGCAAGCAGAAGAAACCATCGTGGCGGGTACGGCAGAGCTTTCCAGTCGCAGTAGTTCCGCGTATGATCGCCCATCCGTCCTTCGAAATCCGGGAATCAGGATGAAAGTGTTAAATTGAGCATCATGGTCGGCAGACAGAGCACGTTTCATGCGTTGCCGTTGGTGGTTTTGAACTCGGCTAAAGCAGCGCAACTAAGACTCATACTGTACAGTAAGTCCCACGTTCCATAGAGAGACAGCCATACCGCGTTTGATACGGACTCTTTTCGCCATATTTGTGGATGGCCAGGTTTGTAACTCGAGCGCTGTCGATGGCACCAGGATTGACTAGGATCTGGCGAGTGGTTGATGAGCAAGGCTCTTGATACGAGTACTGGCGCCAAAGGATTGTTGATCAACTTGGCAGGCAGAACGAAGTAAGGAGAAGTAAGTCATTGTACTCCATACATACTCCGTACAGGACGCGTTGTTGAGGAAGAGATGAAGAGTCTAGTAGGTATCTCAGGTAGTTACGAAGCATGGTTAGGATTAATAAAGCTCCATTGATGTGTGACTTAGGTGCTCATCCTGCCTACCTACCTGTAGGCTTTATAAGGGCTATTTACTACCTAGAGAGAAACCAGCTCAGGGAGCTTAAAGAGCCCCTGCCCAGGAATTTGGTGACTGTCAGTACAGTACCGTACCTAACACTCGTTACCAGTACTTCGGTTTGAGTGTCTTCTCCATAAGATGTACCGTACTCGGTACTCCCTAGTAGCGTTTTGAATATTACGGAGGACTACTCGCTGCTCTACGGAGTACGGAGTACCATCTACATACTCCGTACTTCCCTCTCTCGCACTGCGCCTACACCTGCACCTCGTGTGTCAACCCCCTAATCCACCACCGCTTCTTCCGTCCTTCATCACTTTTTTCCTTGATTCGAACCTTTCTCTAATGTTCCTTCAGCCCTGGGGTGCTGCTTCGTTTCTTCACATCCGTCTGTGTTATTATCATTGACTGTCTCCCACCGTCCCTAAGCATCATGTCCTACGGCCACTAAAGTAATATCCTGCTCGATCGATTCCCCCTCCCACGTCCAAGCAACAGCACTCCTGTGTCGGTCGTTGCTTGCAGTCGACTCGATCCTCCGAATGCCTGAATACCTCATATAACGCGTACACTGTTTACTCTTCGAAACGAATCTGGCATCTCGGCCGCTACACTTCGACCCTCACGGTCCGGCCTAGAACAAAAAGATTGACCTCGACGAGCGATCATACAACCATCAATTTCACCATCCTTCAAGCTGCCCACATTCTTCCTTTAGAATCAAGCTGGACAAAATATACCATAATACTATACTACATCTGGGCGAGCAGGCCACTTCTCAGCTCTGACATTGAACTGTCCCTAAATAATCCTCTATACAAAAGAATCCGCGCTCAGCCACCTGTGTGTAAAAAGTAGGACCCAATGGCACCAACCATGCGTCCTGAAGGTCAACTCAACATAAATCTCTCTGGGTTGACTCCCATCTCTGAACCCTCGTCGGTGCCTACTACCAAGTCTCCTTTTGGCGGTGCCAAATCCTCATCTGCGCTGGCGGGCTTGTCGAGTGCAAGAGTTGGAGCTGGTTCTCCTCTACATGAACAAGCCTCGAGGTTGTTTCCTAAACGTACCAGGGAATTACAATCACAGACTGGCCTCTCCCCGAACATCTGGGGACCACCTACCAGCGGCACGTCAACTCCGCTCTTTGAGATCCCAGAGTCTCCCTCTCAAGATGGGTTCCCCGACCTGGTTCCTCTCACCGAAACCGGCATCAACAGTCCAGCAAGAAGAGGCCGGGCGGGTACGTTACCCTCAAGGATTTCTCCTGTCGGAACAATCAATGGAGTCAATGTCCTCACGTCCAAAACTTCTCGACCAACACCTTCTACAAGTCCGTTTCGACCCGGCTCAACGTCGGCTGCAGAGACCGCCTTTTATTCCACTTCATCTTCCAACCCTTCCAATTCTGGAAATGCTGCTCTCTTATCTAGACTGCGTGCTGGTAGCATGCCCCAGAGAACAAGTTTACTAGGCTCATCCGGGGCGTTTGGACAGAATGCCTTTGGCAGCAGCTGGGGCAGCCGAGCTCGAGCCGCTACTTTGACCAGTATCAGCTCTGCGGATGATCCCACTTCGCCTCAGCAGCCAGGCTTTTCGAAAGATGGTATGTCAGACTCTGGCGTGCGAACCCTCGACTACTTGGGTCTCGTGGAAACACCACAGCAGTCGAGGTTGATGGAACTCCGCCACGGGAACGACGACACCTCACTTACTCATGACTCGGGTTTGTCGGATGGTTTGGCCAACTCAAACTTGCGGAATTCTAGTCGCTTTAGGTCGTTCTCGGTCAACACAGAACCCAAGTTTGGCCAGGATACCCAAGACTCCGGATACTCGATGTTCCAGAGCGGCACGCTGACGCCATCAGCTGCTGCGGCCCTGGAAGCGGAGTATGAACGGGTTCAGGAAAAGGTGCGCCTGCACAACCAAGCTGTGCAGGCTTTTGCCGTCAACGCAAGCGCGGCACGACCACGAGCTCGCACAGCTGGCCTAGTGGAAACCCCTCAGCGCACTTCTCTTCGCAACCTAATCCAACCAAACATGGATCTCGGTTTTGATATGCAAGGAAATACTTTGGATGAATCTTCGCTTGCTGAGGCGCTCCAGAATTTGAACATGGGCGAAGGCCTTCCCTTGGCATTCGACAGCGTGGACGACTCGGACGTCCAGCTATCACGGTCTCTGTGGATAGGATCCATTCCCAATTCCACGACCATGTCTTCCTTGGACGCCATCTTCAGCCGGTACGGTCCTATAGAGTCGACAAGAGTTCTCACACATAAAAACTGTGGCTTTGTTAATTTCGAGACAGTCGAACATGCTGTGAGGGCGCGCCAGCTCCTGAATGGGAAGGAGATCTTCCCCGGTGCAGGGCCTGTGCGAATCGGCTTCGCAAAAGCTCCAACCTCTGTTTCTCTAACCCCCGTTCAAAATTCAACTCCTCCACCTGGTGCCAACGGTCAGCAGGATTTGTTCACCTCGCACACCCAAGATGGGATTGGAGGCAACGGTGATTCCGTTAACGCTCAGCAGGCAGCGGGCCAGTCTTCTACCCAACGTCTCATCGACCTGCAACCTGAAATTTTACAGATAGTGGTCGACTTTGGGGGACAACAAAACGATTTGCCCGCAATCTCAGCCAATATTGACAACGCTATCCGCTTTCAGTCGTTGGAGAAGGAGATCCCACCAATTCCGGAACCAAGTGCTGGCCGAATGTACGACGCGCCTAGGCTACGCGACATTCGAAAGCGCATTGATAACGGAGCTTGTGGACTGCAAGAGATTGAGCAGATCGCCCTTGATATGTTGCCAGAAATCGCCGAACTCTCTTCAGATTATCTTGGGAACACTGTCGTTCAAAAGTTGTTCGAGTACTGTTCCGAGCAAACCAAAGAACAGATGCTGGCGTGCATTGCTCCTCGTCTTGCTGAAATCGGAGTGCATAAGAACGGTACCTGGGCTGCTCAAAAGATCATTGAGGTCTGCAAGACCGACGCCCAGACTCGGATGATTGTCAACGCTTTACATCCATACACAGTACCATTATTCCTTGATCAATACGGGAATTACGTCCTCCAATGTTGTCTCCGATTTGGTCCGCCATACAATGATTTCATATTCGAGACCATGCTCAGCGAACTTTGGGAGGTGGCGCAAGGTCGATTTGGTGCCAGGGCTATGCGGGCTTGCCTTGAAGCTCACCACGCCACCAAAAACCAGCAGCGCATAATGGCGGCAGCCATTGCTTTGCACAGTGTGCAGCTTGCGCAGAATGCCAATGGTGCGTTGTTACTGACCTGGCTGCTTGACACCTGCACTTTTCCTCGAAGACGATCTGTGCTGGCACCGCGTCTCGTCCCACACTTGGTACAACTTTGCACCCACAAGGTTGCATACTTGACGGTGCTCAAAGTCATCAACCAACGCAACGAGCCTGAAGCTAGAGACATGGTCTTGAAGGCTCTCTTCTTTAGTTCTGAGGACACTGTCTTGGAGCAGATTCTGTGCGATCAAACCTCTGGCGTGACTTTGATTTTCAAGATTTTGACCACCCCCTTCTTGGATGATAATATGAGGCCTGATGTTATCCAAAATGTTTCCAGGGTCCTGACGAAAATCAAGGCCCAACCCAACCAAGGTTATAAGCGAATCATGGATGAAGTTGGCTTATCCTCTCGGCCGAGCCAACCTCATGTACAACAACAACAACAGCAGCAGCCGTCCCACGGTCATCAGAACTTTCACGAAAGAGGGCGACAGCCACATCAGTCCATGAATGGAATACAGCAACAAGGCTTCCAACGCCAATTCAGTGGCAACTATGTAAACGGCAGTGCCTTCGAGAACAACATGAGTCCGATTCGCACAGGCTCGGCTGATTCCTTCGGTTTCCCAGCGTACAGTATGAACAACTTTCCAGCCCAACAAGCATTCTCTCAAGTGCCATATCAGCAAGTATCCCAGCCACAATATCAAACCTATGGCACACAACGATCGAACAATGGGTACATGCCAAGTGGATATACAGGCTATGCGACACCACCAGCGTCAGTTGATCCCTTCCGAACCATTCCGAATGCTTCAACCTCACCTCTTTCATTCCCGGTCAGTCCCGTCATTGGTTCGGGAGGGTATGGACCTCAGAACTATGCCCAGACAATACCAAACAACATGTACAACTATCCACAACAACAATTCTTTTTCTCACCGCCCATGCAGACTGTCCATTCTGGTGGCCGGGGTCGGAGGGTAGGTCACTCCCATCGGCGCATGCAATCTTCTGAACTAACCCCAAATATAGAGGTGAATTGAAAACAAAATGTTGGGCTCTGACGACCTTTCGGCACGTTTTTCCCATCCAAGGTCGGGGGCGTGACCATTGGACAGGTCCTTGGGACTGTTTCTCTCTTCCCCTGCTGCGAAGGCTTCTACGATGCTCGCGTTCAGAAGATGGCGTTATTGATGGATATGAGATCCTTCTCGCGCAGGACTTCAAGTACAAGTGATACTTAAAGTCTGAGAAGGCCGCGCGTGGTTTGGCGTTTCCTGGTCATATACTCCGTATATAGCCAGAAGATTTCTTCTTGCCTCTCGTGGCACTGATTACTTTTACATTCCAACACGATACTTGCTGCATTTTGACGGAACAATAAATTTTATTTCCTCTTCTCTCCCGTGTTGGTTCTAAATTACGCCCTTAGGGAATCATGGGAAACGCGTCCATGATATATGACGGCAAACAAAAAAAGGGCATATCCACAGACTTTCAGACGTGTAGTGATGAATGGGGTACCTAGGTACCTTGGGTAGGGCAAGTGTTGATTGATCGGTACGGACAGTTCGGAGTGTAGCGAAAGACGAATGCTCAGAATGTATTCTGCCCAACTCTTTCAACTGTTTCAACCGTCACAAGGTGTACCCGTGGAGAATGTTTTGTCTTTCCTTGGCCCGAGGAGACGTTGCAGGATACTTCTCTTCCATCTGTCGTCAGAACATCTTTGGTCTCTCGATGCTTTTCTCGTTTGTGGGTGTGTGTGTGTTTGTGTGCGCACACGTAAAAAGAGTTCACTCTCACCAGACTTGTTCCTTGTGGGTTTGTTTCTCTTTACCCTGAATCTACAGTCTTTGACTTTCTCTCGCTTTAGCGAAGGTCCAAAGGCATACTACTCCACCCGCCCAAGACCCTCTCACAATCTTGCTTGGGCCCTGGCAAGCTTTCGACTACTGACAAAAGTCAAAAGAAAAAGACACATACGGAGTATAAACCCAACCTTTTGACCAATCTGGCTGGCTAAGTAGGCGAAGCCCTGGAAACTCAACTTTGTCATGTGTAGGGGCTCTGGATTTACAATCCCGGCGGCGACGACAAAAACAACCCAAAATCTACTTTCTTTTACTTCTCGTGGGTAGTGGAGATTCATTCCCCATCTCTGTAGATAGACTACGTACGGGGGGTTGCCAACATGCTTTTCTGTGCTTTTCTGTACTTTTTGTACTTTTGCAAAACTGAAAACGTCCAAGGTTCCTTCCGCAATGATCGAGACCGAGCACCACAAGACACGGTCCCCACCACTCAAAACCAACTTGACACACTACCAGGTCAAGTCCGGTCCAAACAATGACAAGGATTCTGTTCTTCACAAGATGGTCCAATTTTTGAGGAACAAAACTCCTGACATGTGGCAAATGATGGCGGACTCATCTCTTCCCCCTCAAAAGAAAAGGGATCCAGCGTTGGGTCGACATCTTTGAAATGTCACCAGCCATGGGCGAAAACATACCCCTCAATCCTCGATACTCAGGCAAGCATCGACTGTGCCGCAGATGATCTGTTTGCATTGAGAAGTTTTTCTCTCCCACTTGGAAGGACCAGAGGTGGTGGCGGCGGCGGTGGGACGAGCCAACATTGTCCGTACCAAAACTCTGACGATCAACCTCCTCCTCCAAAGCTTTCGACAGCGATCGGAAGCCGGCTTAGACGTTGCATTACTCCGTACTGCCACTTGCCTAGCCAAATTAGGGACAGTCTCGATCTCTTGGTTTCCAAAGCAGTAGCCACTCTACCCACCTGTCATCGAACAGTAGATCTGCCATCATCCGCAGTTGTCGCCAAGGTATATTGAACGATGGTGGAAAATGCATCTGTTCGATCCTGAGTCTACATTGTCGAAAGGAGGTTTAGCCACGGTGAGCGTTCTCCCCTTTAGTCGTTCTCGGAGCAAGGGTGCCATCGTGAGTAGTGAGTGCCTCATGCGGTCATGACCACGCCCGACAACTCAACTTGTCCTCTTGAGCCGAGCCCGCAGCCTGCAGCTGCATAACAAAAAAAGGTTCCATCGCGCACACAAGCAAAGGTGGATCTTGTGCGTTAGCGTCGCATCCGTGTTCGAAGCAAGGGGTTTTACACTGTACAGGAAAATGAAGAGGGTTTGTAGGGTGTGGATACCTGTCGGCTGGCTACCAAAAACGAAAGTCCGCGCCGACGCGTCAAGCTTCAAAAAGACTGGCTTTGACTGATGGTGGGTGGATCGTTGGAATCCGGGGGCTCGATCGTCTCGTATGCAGACAATGATGACTGGATGATCAAAAAGCGTGCCCACTAAAGTCCGTATCGACATTGTAACGGCATGTTTGCTGTAAAGGCGCGGTTGTGAACAACCCAAAGCCATCCTCGTCGGTCTGTAATCTCAAGCAACTTGCCTGAAATCAGTTTTCAGGTATTCTACTAAGCGGGGCTGCTGTAAAGGCTGAAGTCGAAGACCCGTTTTCAGCCTCGTATTCAGAAGATAGGTCAACATCGAGTTGATTGTGCAGTGAAACTGAGATTGTACCAGCTCCATACGTGGTGTTCCAAGGCATGAACCTGGGATATGGCAAATCATCCTGACGCCGACAGCATATTTCAATCAAGAGCGCGCACTGTCTGTTAGTGCTCGAGGTTCGGATGAGTGCAAATGGACGGATAGGAAAGAGGTGTCAAACAGAAAGGACATGTGCTAGTTGAGAACATTGAAATCGCGAAGCGGGATCTGCATCAAAGGAACCAGGGCCCATGGGTCGTCAAGCAAAAAGAGGAGTGAAGCTTCATGTTCTAATGAATACGGGTGAACCAGCAAGTGGAGGAATCCGGGTCCCAGGCTAGCGCAAAATTCCTGCAGCCGCAGAGGAGGAGCCTGATTCTTGAGAGTCGCTCCTCAATAATGCTGGCAGATAATCTTGATCAGAATCGATGGTAGACGCTACATGTCTTGCTAACATTCACCGTTCATCCGCGATTGGGCGCCACAGGAGGACGGATCATCCTCCCTGGTATGCCTTCGGTGTATTCGTGTAAGAGCACCAGCACGAGAAGTTGATCCCGTGATACAGCTAGGGTAGCTTTCCGAAGTCTGTCCCTGTCGATCAACAGCTGCTCTGTCCAAACTCCATGCCCGACGAGCAGAGGAGAATGTGGCGGTCTAAAAGTATTGAGCCCTGGATCGATCGCAGTCATTCACCTGGATCGTGCACCCGAGATCGGGTAACTCGAACCCCGGGACATTAATCTTGGCCGCATCCTTGCATGTTCCCACCATTGATTGGCGATGAAGATTCCGGCGAGGCTGCCATTACCCCTATCCCCGTGTCTACTCATTGGCGCTCGAATACGGGAAGGCAGTCGCCACACCATCCTGTAATTTGAGTGAACATTTGTGGTAGAGAAAATTAAGTCACAGTCAAGCTCAATGACATCTCTGGACAGTTCCGTGTTCTAAATCCACCATCTGCGTGAACCGGATGAAGAACCCAGCCTGGGCATGCGTCCGAGCCATGGCTGATGCGAACTCGTATTCTTCGAGAAGGAAAGTCTGTTGACTCTCGCTGGCAATGCTGGCAAGTTTCGCGTTCCGCCGGACAATGACATTAGCGCCTGGTGGAGCGAGGAGATTTTGAAAGTAGGCTCCGCAGATGCAACCATTGAATTGTATGGTTGTCGAATCAGAGACTGATCCAAACATTATGCCCTTCCAAGTTCCAGCTGAGGAATGATTTTTGAGACGCAAACGGAAAAGTGGCATGCGTGACTTTTTCATGCGGCACGGTAGATCATTGGTTATGATGCAGGTAAAATCTGATGACATCGGGAGACCAAACATTGCAAAACGCCATGGCAGACCGAAAAGGTGTGATTTCTGCCTCACTTCGCTCTCCGCAAGGAATCCCTGTCGTGTCGGCTTTGCGAAGTAGCTTTGGCAGCTGAAATCCTGTCGCATTGACGCAAACAACCACGCAGGGGTCTTCAGGTCTTCAATCGCATAAAAGTGGCAATACCGGCCGTCGGCTGGAGATGCCATTGCTACCCTCGGTCACTAATGCACGACTTCCACCGTCGAACATCATCGTGAACAGCCAGGTTAAGCATCTAGTTCTACTGAGATCATGCTGTGAACTCGGCGAGTGAGGTACAGATGATGAAGGGTCTTTCGTATCCATTTATACCGGTGCTATGCAGGCTCACCGCTGCTGCTTTGTGCCTTTTCGCCTTTTCACCATTCTCGATAAAGGGTGCGGCTGCTGCGTTGCCCGGCAGAAATTTCCGTAGCTGTATTGGGCTCCGCAAAGCAACCATGCTGCTCCAGTCATCAAGGAAGAGGATGGTTCGACTTCGGATGGTGAAGGAGGTAAGTTGCAGGGGGGTTTTAGCCTGATGGACTATCGCCGGCAAGCTTAGCCGGCGCACTGTATGTATCATATCTGGTTCAACCAAAGTCGTGATATACATCGTCCATCATTCATGGTCAGTGGTTACCATTCGGTCGGGTCAGCAAACCAGAATATTTATGGCCATGCCCTCTTCTTCCAAGGCCCGGGCCAAAGTGTCCTTGCCTTTTCTTTGACCAGGAAAGTGTTCAGTATATCAAAGTAGTGGTAACCCTTCACCCCAACATTCGCACCCTTTTCAGAATGGGATACCCTTCCTCCCCCATCTCGAGTGTTGGCTCAAGCGAAAGTGGTTCTCGCATGAGCATTGATTTCCTTCTCAACGAAGAATACCCCAACGAACTCTCCTCAAAGCAAGAGCCCCTCGGAGAAGAATACTTCAAAAAACAATATCTCCAGGAAAGATACTGTCGGGACCTCAGCAGGGAAGAATACCTCAAGCAAGAACACCTCAAGGGGGAGTCCCCCAGCGAAAAAGCCCCCAACGGAAAATCTCCTCATGCGAGGACATCCAAAAGTCCGCCACGGGAGAAATACACAGAGGAGAAAATGTTCTTTGTCTGGTACCATCGCGTCGATCTCGACATGCCGTGGGACGAAGTCACCAACGCTTACAACCGCTTCTTTCCCGAGGACAGAAGGAAGGGCGGTCTCCAATGTCGCTTTTACCGTGCTCTGGACCAATACAACGTCAAGAAGGTCCGTCAACAAGCCCGCTTTGGCCGTATTCGAGGCGGCCTGATTGAGAAGTTCGGTGTTCTGGATTGCACCGACCGTAGATTCACCTGGATGCTGCCAGAACACCTGGTGGACCCCGGCCGCCCCGTCATCCGGACACATCACAGCAGATCGAGCTGCCGGGAATGAAAGAGATGATATCGGTGGCGAGTCGTATTTAAGTCCTCAGACCACGTTTTGTGAATGCATTTGAGGTGTGTTGGAAGATTGTCTGGCCTTGTATTTTGCAAGTGAGAAGATGGCTTGCCGGATGACGGATGACGGATGGCGGTACTTAGGGAATCAAATTGCACGGGACAATTGGTATGGAGTTCGCTGCGCTTCGGATAGGGCTTTTCAATCACCGATTGCTGTCGACCTTGTCAAAGTCGTCTTCGTCAAAAGCTTCGTCATCCGAGGCATGTTGTCGGTACTTGTAGGCGTTCAAGCCAAACTCATCGTCCGAGCTTACTTCATCCTCAGGATAGTCGTTGGCGGGGTTATCTTCAGCTAGGTAGCATTAATAGAATTCCTTGTGACAGTCACACCGTGCTCTTACCGTTAGAATCTTCTTCGTCCCAGTCTGTTTCATCGTCACTGTTGACATATCTCTGCCACAAATCCTCGTCCTCTTCGTCGATCACAAGCAAGCCAATATTGGCATCGGGCAAGTCGAGCAAGCGCCCTGTCTCGTCATCACATCGCACACGGATATATGTCTCATAGATGTAATCTTCCTCGTGGTTGCGAATGCTCATGTCAACATTTTTTGTCGCAGGTGCCAACGTGGGAGGGTATTCGCGCTCCAGCCGTTGCTTGGCCTCAGGATCTAACTCCATAGCTAGAGCTGCCAGCTCATCCGCCAGCTGGTCGGATTCGTGGTCCCAAGTACTCGGATGGTCCCGAATCGAGTTGCCCTCCTTGATACCGTTGGGTACATTTTGAAGGAATGTGTTGGTAGTATGTCGCTGAGCCGCCTGCAATGCTCCAGCACTCGGTTCTTCGGAATTGGCCGAAGTCTCGCCTGGGGAAACATCCAATATCTTGTCCACGGGCTTTCCTCCATACAGCGAATCGTCTTCATGACGGAACTTCACACCGAGCCGCTCAACGAAGGTGGCTAGAGGAGGTCGGATTGAGAGTCTCTGCTTCCTGATGCCGCCAGACACATTCGGGCCCAGCGCGGGAGCGAGATGACGGGCAAGATGGAAGCGTCTCGCGGACTCTAGTTTTTCATTCGAGGCGGGAGTCGCTGGCGCAGAATGGCTACCCGTGTCGGCAGGTGTCGGTGACTTGTTCATCACTCTTTCAGCAGCCTCAGTACCATTCAGATGTCCTCTCAGCCTCTCAAAGTCTTTCTTGTCATCTCCGGGCGCAGTCGACTTTATCGCCGGGATGCCGTCGGCAGACGCTTGGGGAGGCTCGTGAGGTCGGGAAGGCGCCTCGTGGGAGGATAGAGGAGCGATGGGATCATGGCTGAGCCGTTGGAAGTAAAAGTCTGTCACTCTCCGTTTCCTATCTGGGACAGTGCCGTGTTCGAGATCTAGGTTACAGTCAAAACAATACTGGTAGATACGGAGGGGTGCGAGCTTACACAGGGCATCGACGGGTTCTTGAGATCGACGTCTCTTGACACTGATACGTTCTGGAACTGACATTGGGATTGTGTGTTGCCTTGACTGAAGATGTGATTGAGAACAGAGAGTTGTTCAAGGTAAATTGTCAAGTTGTGAGCGGCAGCTACTTGAAGTATTATGAGTGAGTCCGGGTGCGGAGTACGAGTACGAGTACGAGTGCGAGTTTGGAGTATTCTTTAACTTTGACATGAGACTTTAACGCTTGCACATCTGTGGAAAGTCGCACAGTTCTTTCTTACTCAGTCCTTACCTAAGATGCGTAGATTAATTAATTATCAAAGATTGTATGGAGTTTGATTCTTCACCTTTTCCATTCCTGTTCCCTGAGAGATGAGTCGATCCTTTTTTCAAATCAGAACATCAGCAAATTTTCCCTGCATCTCTCTTTCATAGGCACTGCAGGTCGACATCGAACTCACCAAAACACTCGCAGGTAGTAAACTTTTCATCATCTTGACCATGCCGGCACTTCCTCCGATCCATATCTGCCCGCTTTGTTCTTGCTCTACTGCATGAACAAGCTGCTCCGCGAACTTCTCTGCTGTCGCTTGAACCGACGCTCCCGCATTTCTCACTCGCTCTTCTAACATCTCTTTCGCGTCCTGGTAAAGCGATCCTCCCTCGGGTATACTGACGAGCGTGTTGCTCCCCATGTGACTCTTGACAACACCGGCAACCACAGTCAGCACTCTGACCTTGAATGGAACAAGTTCGAGTCGCAACGTTTCACTGTAGGTCAGGGTTGCTGACTTGGATGCTGCGTACATGCCTGGGGAAAACAGTGCGCCCGATTAGCCCCCCTTGGATCCAATCTCAAGACATCTCTCTACTGACGGATGGCACCATTACCACGGGGATCTGTGCTGAGACATGGAGAAATCAAAGAATCAAAAAACTTTGCGCATACTTGCAAAAGGTGTATTCAATACCCCCGAAATGGATCCCATGTTCACTACCACCCCTTGCGCCGCGATGAGAAGCTCAGCAAACGCTTTGGTCATGCCAACCATGCCCCAGTAGTTCACATCGAATAGTTGTCGAGCTTGCTGCATGTCGGTGTCGATCGCAGGGCCCATCATGGCTGCACCGGCATTGTTGACGAGGCAATCTAGATGTCCCCCCACTGCCTCTTTGACAGTAGCAACTGCATTATCAATGCTCAATTGCGATGTCACATCCAGTTCCAGGCACGTCACATTGGGAACGCCAGAGAGATTCGACATCTTTGACAATGATCTGGCCGTGGCAAAGACGTGATACCCACGCTGTTGGAAGCGCACGGCCATCGCTGCCCCAATTCCTCCTTCGCTACAGCCAGATATGAGAACCACTTTGAGGGCAGATGCCATTGGTACCAGTGGAGGAGGACAAGACGATCGAGTAGAAGAAACCAATGAAACAGGAATACCCTTCACCCAAGTAACTGAGCTCAGATCATGAACATCGGGCAGGTGGCATCAGGGTCATATATGAAGAAATCTCTCTCGGCCGAGACATCCTACGTGGAAGGTCAGCCAATGTACGGAGTACGGAGTGCAGAGTACCACAACCCTGTCTCACTGGATTGCCTTAGGACGAATACGGCCTAGATCTCAATGCGCTTCCGGTGAGACAATTAAAGTATGTGGGCCATACAGCCGTCCTCGCGTCCTGGGTTCAAACGTCGAGTCAAAATTAACGTGGGCGGAAGCCCTTGTACTTGGGACGTTATCAAGGAATATTTTGCAGGTCTCTAGTTCATCATAATGTCATCTCCTTCCCTTCTGACTCTGTAGCAAGCGATTATCGCGTATCTTCTGTGGTGACTTGTCGGGTTTTCGGCAAAGGCCCTTGCCTACACCGAATTTGGTATGTGCAACTCTGCAACATGCTTAGCTCATGGATTACCTGAGAGACATCCATATTTCAAACCACGAACAGATTCTGGTTTCAATCAATTGATGATGATCCTGGGCGCGAGTCTATTTCAAATTGCTACAGCCGTGTTTTGCTTTTTTGCTTTCTGTACTTTGTGCCTTTGATTGTCCTCTTCTGCACACATCTGCTCCTCACACTGTTGGTATATCTCAAACACTTTTGGAAGCCAATATCGTGAAGTGGTTTAATTCTGCGTTTATGCTTCCCTGCTTCACGTCAAGACTTTTCTATACAGACGAAACGCTGCTGTCCGACCGACGGAGGGGCGAAACCTGGTCGAAACATTGGCAGAGCCCGTCGGCCTTCAACGATGGAAAAAATGATGGGTAAAATGGGTTTGAAGCTGAACCTCCCTACTGTCTTGTTGATGTTCAAGTGCGTTGATCCCAACTGGTTCCACTGCGTCAACTGGCGTGACCACTCTGTTGGCATACTTGTCTGTGCAGTCTAATACTCGTATCTGTAGGGGCGCTGTCGCACCAACGATCGGCCTTGCGATGTAGGTTTACTATTGCTGGACAAGATTCGAGCTTACGATATTAGATACCAAGCCGACAGCGTGGCGAAGCGTTACAGCACTATCGGCTACCTAATTCCTGTGATGTCTCTGTTTGTGGTTCCTATTCTGCCACGAGCAAGATTTCTGCAGAACCTTTTTGTTACCTGCGTATGCCCCCCTACCGATTAGAACCGTGCGTTGTTAGGTCTGGGTAACTGACGAGCCAAAGGTTCTCACCTGCTTCGCGGCTGCAATCTCGCTGTTATATATGTGGACAGCCATCAAGGCACGAGAGAATACGACACATTTAACCGCCGAAGAACAGCACAATGGCCCTGTGCCTGGAGCTCAAGTGAGCCCGTCGTACAACGCGGCAGCCAGTGCATGCCTAGCCGTGTGGTTTTTCTTCTGGTTATGGGCATATAACACGTATGCTCACGATTTGGCCACTTGCATCCTTCAAAGCGGCTAATGAGTGACACAGGTTTCGCGCATTCCGGCCGCAGTATTTCCTGCCTCTTATTGTCTTTTCAATATACATCAACGTGACTGCGACGTATGGATGCATATTCCCTACAATGGAACAAGCCTACAGTCTTAGTATGATATCCTCAGCGGCAGCTTGTACATTACTGACCCGCTCACACACAGCAAAACGCCTTCTGGACTCTTTCTTTGTAGGCTTCGGCATCGCTTTTGCAGTCCATTTTGTGATTCTTCCCATCACGACTCGAGATGTGGTCACTTTGGTCCTGAACGAGTACCTTCATCACCTGCGGTCGGCACTCGATGCTCAAGTCCAATTAATCCAATCATTGCCAAGCCGTAGATTGGCAACAGTCACCACAATTCAGAGAGTTGACAGCGACAGGGACGAGAATACTGTTGATCAGACAAATGAGTGGCCTGAGGCGGCCAAGTGGCGCACTGCAACTGCAGCGGCAACGGAATGTCAAGTCAAGATCCAATCTGAAATGCGCTACGTTAAACGTGAAATTGCGTGGAGCAAGCTGAATGCCAAAGACTTCGTTTGCGTTTCGAAACTTCTGCGCAACGTTCTCATATCTATGGGCGGTATTGAAACTGTTATTCAAGGTAGCGACCGCCTAGAGAAGATGGGAGGTTGGGCATCCGCCGAGCTTTACAAAGAAACAAGGCGTGACATCGTGGACCAGGATCAAGAGGAGCAATCCTTGAGCCAACTATTTCTACAACTACAACAGCCCTCTCAACAACTCATCGGGGCTATGATTGAAGGTCTTGATTATGCATTCTTCATCCTCGGCTTCACGAGAAAGCCGGCTTTCGCCACCAGAGAAGATCTCGAATCCCGGAAAGTAGCATCTCCTGAGGGGAGAGGCTTTGCTGGTCATCTTGAAAGGGCGATCGATGACTTTCTAAAGGCCCGAGAGCGCCCCTTGATGGAATGGTGCAGTACGAAGAGCTTCGACACGATTCCGGGGCCAGACATGCCTGCTGCTCATCGACAGCGCAGTCGATCCCAGCTCTACCTGATTCTCGATGTAAGTACTACGCCAAGTCGATGCTGATGAGACACGCTAAGCCCCGACGACAGCTTGGATTCTCCAACGTCACCACCGCCCGTGGCATTGCAGACCTGGTGCGATTCGCCGACTCTAAAATGGAGGACGGCACAATGCAGCAGAGACGTCTGATCATGCCAACCTGGAAAACACTCAAGAAATGGGCCTCGGCGTTGATCAGCCGAGAAGACGGCAATCTCGACTATCAAACCTACAGTTATCGCAGTGGCACACCGACTGTCTACCTGGGCGACGCTCTAGGTGTCGAACGCGATCCCGAACACCTGTCACCCGAGAGCTCGTGGGAGAAGTTGACCGACCATTTGCGTCTGATTCCGAAAGTTTTTGGCTCGAAGGAATCGTGGTTTGGATTTAAAGTGGCAACGGGAACCATGATTGTCGCTTTGTCGTGCTATCTACGCAATTCGCAACACTTCTACATCGAGCAGCGTGTCATTTGGGGCGCAATTATGGTGGCCATCAGCATGACCCAAACTGCGGGCTCGGGAATGTATGGCCAGTTCATGCGTGTGTTCGGCACTTTTCTCGCCATGATCTTCTCCTACATCGACTGGTACATGGTCAACGGCCACACTGCAGGGGTCATAGTGTTTGTCGGTGTCACCATGTTCCTGTACCATTATCTGCTGGTGACCAAGCCCGATGACCCCGTTATCCCCATGATCGGCATGATTACAACCATACTGATCGTTGGCTATGAACTGCAAGTCAAGAAAGTTGGCGTCATGATCTCAGAGTCAAATGGGCAGGTTTTCCATCCCATCTACGAATTGGCGCCATACAGACTGGCCTGCGTACTAGGCGGCGTGAGTGTAGCATGTCTACTGACCTACTTCCCCTCGGTGACGACGGCACGAAGTGAGATGCGCAAAGACCTCGGCAACACGCTTTATCTGCTCGGTCATTACTACAGCCTCACGCACAAAACCATATCACTGCGACTGCAGAGGTTAGGAGGAGATGCCCGAGACAAGGACCACTTGCTCAGGAAGGCCGAGAAAGCACGTATCAAGCTCTTCGCCAAAGAGCTGATACTAATTCAAGCCATGAAGAACCATCTCCACTTCATCAAGTGGGAGCCTACCTTTGGCGGGAGGTTCCCGAAAGAAACGTACGAGCAATTGCTCAATCACACTCAAAAGTAGGTATCTTGCTCCAGATAGCATGGGGGTGTGACGATCGAATGCTGACGGTGTGGCTCAGCATCCTCCGGTTCACCGGTATCACGGCATACGTGACCAAGACGTTGCAGGAGCTTCCCGACAACGCACATCCAGGTTCGGGAGACGCCAGGGTTAGCTGGACGAAGGATTTCAACGCTCTATTAGCCTCTCTTGACCTGGCCTCTCACCACGTGACATCACTTCTCGCGATTCTGTCGAGCGCCATTGGTAGCGGGAAGCCCTTGCCGCCATACCTCGAAGCCCCGGAGAGGCTTCACATCGGTAAAATGCTGACGACGCTGGACTCTGAAATCCTCAACACCCAGCATGTCTGTGAACCAGGCTACTCGGTCTATGCGGTCATCCAGGTGAGCATGACAATGCTTGAAGAGGATCTTGCCGGTCTGCTGGCGAATGCGAAGAAATTAGTTGGCGAGGCGAATTTTGACTTCGATGTCGTGCAGCAGGATTACGAGAAGCGCGTTGGTGTTCATGCACTTTCGTCGGCTGGGCGTAATAAGGAGGACTGACGGTGTCGATGGTCTCGAAGGAATCCAAGATACGAAGGGATTGGATGTATGCATAACACCGTTCTGAGGTGATGAGAAGTGCGGTTCCTTTTTGCGAGGATTGAGTCGGATTGTGCCATGATTCGGCAAGGCGTCACAGGATCTTGCAAGATCATACTGGTGTGAGCTCCGTGGGCATAGACAAGAGCAGTACTCGCTCTGGAGTCCCTATAGGTACCTGCTGTAAGGATCAGTAAGAAAGAAGAAGGAGTACGGCGGGTGACGAGTCTCCATCCGCACCAACAAAGCAATTAGTGCTGACTTCTGATGACTGCCGTGGTACCTCAATTTATCCCTGTCACACCCCTTCGAACACCTTCAACAGTTGAACTGACCGATAGACACAGCCAACTTCATCGGTTGACGTATTCTGACCATCTCTCTCTCTGTCAGCTCGTTCTTTCCCTGCAAGAATCCCACCAATGACAGCCTTGGCCAATCAGAGCCGCCCGGTTTGACGGGTACTTCCTACTGTTTGCGGAATCAAAGCGGGGTTCGTCTGCAGCTTTTACATCCCAGTATTATGCGTAGGCCGAGGCATTGACTGGCTTCAGCGAATCTTCCCCTCTCGCGATCTTCATTGAAAGCCATGCCTGCTTTAAATGCACATGAGATGCTGTAATCTGCGCCTCGAACACCAACGATATCTTCATGGCGACACCAACAGCTCTTGAGCGCATGAATCGCGGAGTGCTCCAAGTAGCCTCAGCACCTTTGCGCATCCTCCATTATGCGTCTACTGAACCGTTGATCACGGGAGCAGCACTTTTTGCGCTCACCCGTGCACCTATACAATACCGGCATCGTCTGCTCTCCGCGCTACGCGACAGAGGTGTCTCGATTGACGGTATCGCTAGGCTTGTCAAGGTTTTGAAACTGCTTCTCGGCATCGGTGTGCTCCGGAGGCTCAACAGGGCTCTCACCGCTCTCGCGCTGAATATGTGGCACTTGCGAAAGCCAGGAGCTCCCTTTCAGTTTGGCATGGCCGGAAAGCCAGAAATCGTTGTGGTCACAGGAGGGTGCAGCGGGTTCGGTTACGAAATGGTCAAAGGCTTCAGTAAATACGCGAGAGTGATCGTTCTCGATATCAGCCCGATACCCCCCGAGCTGGCAAAAAGTAAGTGAGCCAAGAGCACGTGGACGAGTCATTTATCTGACCAGTTCCTCAGTCCCAGATGTACATTACTACCAGCTGGATCTGTCGGACTTTTCGGCCATTGAATCCACTGCGGAACAAATTCGCCAGGAGCAGGGCAATCCGAGCGTACTTATCAATAACGCTGGGATCGGTAAGCGATCACACGCTTGAGACTTTTGGGAATATTCCGAAGACTTACGACTTCTGTAGCTACAGGCACTTCGGTGATTGACAGTAGTGCCAAACTAACGGAGAGAATCTTCAAAGTCAATATCGCATGTCACTTTATTCTCATCAAGGAGTTCCTACCTGCGATGCTACGAGCAAGAAAGGGCCACATTGTCACGATCGCTTCCATGGCTAGTTTTTTGGCCGCGCCAGGTCTTGTCGACTATTGCTGCACAAAAGTTGGGGCGTTGTATCTCAATGATGGTATGTGTCTGGAAATCCTGCATATTCCAACTGACACTGATATTTTCATAGGGCTTCGCGCTGAATTGCGGGATAGATATGAAAATGGCGACTGCATTCAAACAACTTCTGTGCACCCAAGCTGGCATGATACAGGCATAGTCAAACCATTCACGCGGATATTAAAGAAGAATGGTGTGAGAATGGACCCACCAAGCAACGTCAGTGATGCAGTCATTGAGCAGGTTCTTTCTAGCAGAAGTGGCCAGATCTTCATGCCCAGGGGTGAAGAAAGAGGTACACACGTCAGGAGCTGGCCTGTTTGGCTGCAAGACGCATATTTCTACACGCAGCGGAAGAGAAGTCTTGCGGCAGACTAAATAACCGCGGTGCCACCATACTCGGCTGGCTCTGAAGTTGTGGTATGTGACGAATGTCGGGACAGTAGTGGTGGGATTTTCGATGGAGGTAAGGTACATGAAGTGCCTCAACATTGACTTTCGGTAGCTTGTCTCCAAGGATAGCCACTCCATATTATCGGCCGCTCTTCCTCTCTTTCCCGTGACGCTCACACTTGTACACCACCTTCCACACTATAGCTCCAAGGTAGCCTTGGAATCTCAATTTGCAATTGAGATCAATGACCACCGGCGTCACTGTCATACATCCGGCTGCGGTGGTCACAGCAGGAACAAGCAAATGAGCAGCTCGAATCTCCGTCTTTAAAGGAGCACGCTACTACGCAGTGTTACATGATCGTCAACGCTCCCCCGCATATACTCCCACAGAGCCAGTCTGGTTGTGGAAGGTGTGATGGCGCGTCGTCTGAATAGAAATACTCAAATGTGGCCCTAACCTCCAGCACTGACCCTTCATCTCCCAACTTCTTGTCGGCTACGGGGGGCTCTTCAACGATGCGCTTACTATTCATAGCTTTTTTTGGCCTGGCCGTCGGCTATGTGATGCCTGAGGGGCACACCGGAAAACTTCCCTCGCTGGGCTGGAATTCATGGAACGCATATCACTGCGACGTCGATGAGGACAAGATCCTGGCCGCAGCCCAAGCGCTTGTGGACCACGGGCTTCGAGACGCTGGGTATACATATGTCAATATCGATGACTGCTGGTCCGTCAAGACGGGGCGGGTGAACGGCCATATTATGCCCAACCTGACCAGATTCCCTGATGGCATCAAGGGCCTTGCCGACAAAATCCACGATATGGACCTAAAACTGGGCATATACAGTACCGCTGGAAACGCAACATGTGCAGGTTATCCCGCCAGCCTGGGTTTTGAGGATGTCGATGCCGCCGATTTTGCTGCTTGGGGCGTCGAGTATCTCAAGTACGACAACTGCAATGTGCCCAGCAATTGGACCGATCAATATATCTACTGCACTCAAGATCGGTCCGACATAAATCTCACAGCGAATGGCACGTGTACCTCGCAACTTGATCCTGACCTGGCACCAACAAATTACGACTGGCGCGACTCAAACACCTATGACCGGTTCACCCGCATGAGGGACGCGTTGGCACTACAGAAAAGTGAAATTGTGCTTTCGCTTTGTATCTGGGGCTATGCAGACGTTTATCAGTGGGGAAATGACACGGGGATAAGTTGGAGGATGTCCAACGACATCGAGCCCTACTGGAACGCCGTGACACGAATCCTGAACATCAACTCTTTCAAGATGAACAGTGTCAACTTCTGGGGTCATAACGATGCCGATATGCTGGAGGTGGGAAATGGCAACCTGACATTTGAAGAGACACGTTCACATTTTGCCTTTTGGGCTGCCATGAAGTCGCCATTACTAATAGGTACAGATCTCACAAACCTGACACAAACGAATGTCGATTTGCTCAAAAATGAGTATTTATTGGCATTCAACCAAGATGATGTGTATGGGGCGCCAGCCACGCCATACAAATGGGGTAGGAACCCGGACTGGACCTACGACCCGTATTCACCTGCTGAGTTCTGGTCTGGAGCGTCGCAAGAAGGGCACCTGGTCCTGATGCTGAATCCGAGTAATGACACGGTGCAACGCAAAGAAGTTGTGTGGTCCGAGATACCAGGTTTGTCTCCCGGATGTTTCCAAGTTACGGATGTGTGGACCGGTCAAAACCTGGGTTGTCTCCAATCATATTCTGCAGAAGTCGCAATTCATGACACCGCGGCTATTCTAGTTGGAAGTACATGCTGAAAATGCGAAAGTAAGGTCGACTGGGCCATCGTGGAAAAGCAGCTGTGTACGTAACGCCAGTACTTTAAAAATGGTAATAAACTCCGGGTGTTTCTGCATAGTCAGCTCATATTGTTGCTGCTTTGCAAACCCCAATTTATGCCCCCATGTGCCTCTTGTGATTCCGGATTCCACCTATTTCAAGGGCTCTTGTTGCCACTGCCTTGATACCTGCGAGTATGTCGAATTTTTTCCAGTATCGACATGTAGGCAGTTAGCAAGCAGACATGGTGACGTTTGGCCGCGCCGTTTCACGTGGCCGTAGCCATTCGTAGGCATCTAAGCAACACCAGCCACAGAAACTTTGCGTCCACCTAGGGCACGATCTCGTGTAGCCATTGAACTGTGGCTGGAAGTCCAGGGGCAAAAGTCGGGTCTGGCATGGTCGGCCGCACGTGCAACCAGGCACACGAGCCAAAGCCAGTCAGTTCCAATCTGGTCGAGCTGGGCGATGTTGACATGGAGCTGCGGGACACCAGAATCATGGCCCACCCGGAGGCGAGAGGCATCCATTGACCAGCATGGCAGCCTCTTGGCCACCGGAGTGGCTGGATAAGTCGCACACGTGGTCAAAATGTACTCGGCGGTCATGAAGGACAGAAACAACACTGATACGGTTGCTGTGCGTCGGCCGCGCATGAGATGGAGTTGGACTGGTTGGGTGAAATACCCACGTGACGAAGAAGATACCAAACGACCTTGGCAAGCACTCACAAGGATTCATTCCTATCACTGAGTATCTGCTCGTCCGCGTTGTTCGATACCAGAATATGGCCTGGAAACAATTCCCCTCCGATATGAACTCTTACAGGACCGATTGTAGCCCCTCAGCCTGCAAAGCCTGCTGGACGGCATCACGAGATTCCAACTTCCTCACCAACGTAGAGTATCTAGAATATTGCGCTTGCATGTCCAACTTGAGGCTGATGGCCCACCGGTAGAAGACATAGAGGTAGCCATCAACGGCACTGAAGTTCTGTCCGTCGCCCAAAGCGTAAAACCCTACGCCCTGTTGTTTATTCTTCCCCAACCACGATTCAATCTGGGCAAAGCAATCCTGTAGCGTCTTCATGCCATTTTCGCGGATACCAGGGTGCAAGCTCTCCTGGTCCGAGAAGCGCGAGGGCCGCAGGATCATTCCGTACGCTTGACCGTGCACCGACGCCGACAGCCAATTCATCCATTCCAACACCCGGACTTTGTCGAGGTCCGTTTTCCCCATCAGGTTCTTTTCGGGGACAAGTTGAGAAACGGCTAGCATGACAGCGGGGTTCTCGGTGATGAAGTCTCCGTTGAAAGACAGCACGGGCACTCGTTTCTTGGAGTTGATGTATGCGTAGTCATCCGGAAATGCCGGTCTCACGGAAAGACGAGTGGTGGTAAATGGTACTCCGGCTTCATGGAGAAGGATGTGTGAAGCCAGAGAACAGGCTCCAGGGGCGTAGTAGAAATGAAGATCTGCCATGCTCTTTTGGATTTGCGAGACCAAGTTACGAGTACGATTGAGTGCATGTGTCGCTGGCATGGAGGTTTGCCGGAGACGAAAGGGCCACCCAAGACGGGGCTTCTGTCGAGTTATATACACACTTCCTTCTTACATGGATGTCTAGATGCCTCGGCACTCGAAGAGTTACCGCGTGAACCATAAGAGGAGCTGATCGTGGTTGATGTTTCGCTTTAGTAAGAAACGCGGCACCGCTTCCGAAAATGGTTAGTTGATGCTTTGATGTTTGTTCACCTCGTCCAGGTTAGACTCCTAACAAGACATTTGGGAGAGCTCTTAGGAGAAAGATGACATCTAGTCGACCATTCATAAGAGTGGTTGAACTACTAGTCCATCAAACTAGTTGATCTTGTGCCAACTTTGTAGAGGATGATGCGCTGCGATAACTTGTCGTTGAGACCGAGTAAAAGCGGCGACCCTTCTTACGGATTCGAGCGCTCGTGGTGGCGGCAAAGGTGCCATCAGCCAATCAGGACTTTTAAATTTCGAGCTCCCGTTTGACTGTGAACCTTGAAGCTCTCCTGCATTCGTCAAATCCAACTTTTTTGGACTTCTGAACGTCTCATACCTCCAGCAAAATCTCAAACCAGAATAGCGGTGCATTAGAGTGCTTTGCAGTCTGTTGACAACCCCTTCTCCTCCTTCCCTTGACCGGACTTATGCATCTTCTCAGCGACACATGCCCCTGGAAGCTCTCCCACTGTGGCGATCAGGTACTCATTATAGGAACCAGAAAATTGGATGCAGAGGTAAGAGGAACTGCCAACCCTCTCGATGGGCCTTCCTTGTCCTGGATGCTACCCTGGTATTGTATATTAGCTATTGTAAGTCGTAGGAGTGACTTCGTAAACACGTGGCTATGATAAGACAGCATTCAATGCCACATGTAGAAGCAGAGAAGCGGAGGGGCCGGATGGGTTTGAAGTCGTCACGAAATGGAAGGCTTGTCTAGGTGACCGAAGTACTACCGCGGACCTATGGAGTACTGGGAGTGGTGTTCGACCAGCAAATGAAGTGGACGGAGCATACATGTACCGCAAGCAGTGCAGAAGGCAAATACCGCAATGTAAGGTAAAGGATAATTGGACTGCGGTATCTTCGGCCGGCACCAGCGCCGGCATAGATGCGACAGGTTTCTCAGGTTTGTGTTGTCTTAGTTAAGCTGTGACTCTGCATCGACCTGAACTGCTCATCAGCCATGATAAAACAACAGCCAAGTTGCGCTGGGCTCTTGCATTGTGGTAGGCACACTGTGTGTGGCAAGAAGCATTGCCACTTTATCACCCTGATGCTCAGGAAGAACCTCCAATCTTCACAATACTAGATCTCCTGGCAACAAAATTGCTGTTGTTCTCAACTGCTCCAATTTGTACAAAAGCTGCACCTGCCGGGATGGCGAACTGGGTTTCGAAGCCTGCCTTGTTAACTCGACCGACCGCTGTTAGCGTCGTGTTGTTTGAGCCGGTGTAGACAATCCAGTCAGTCACGTCCGTGGCTCCGTTCCAACTCACGAAGCCCCTCATGGTAGACGTACCAGCGCATAGGGCAAGGTCATCGTTTTGCACGTCTTTAGCTGATAGCACTACCAGGCTCGGCTCCGTAGAGGGAGTGGCGTGCCAGACTGATTTATACCCGCGATAAACTGATAGTGACTCGCCATAGCCTAATTGGGCTGACCAGCGCACTTGGCCCTCTGTGCTGTTGGTTTCACTAACTGGGCCGTACTCAGCCAGGACAGCATTGGAGCCATAGGCCAAGAAGCCGTTGCCGTTGGGCAAGTATGAGAAGCTGCCCTGTGAGTACGCAGCTACCGGATTTTGTGGATTTGTGAAGTTGGTGATCAGCTTGGGAGGTGAGGCTTTGTTGGGTGGGATCGTCACCTGCAACGTGAGACCTGTGCTGGGTATGGGCGCGTCCAAAGCCAAGGCGTTATTGTTTGCAAACCAATGGATAAGAGCTGCGGACGAGTTTATCTCTTGCAGGCGAGCAAAATGTTGCCATGACTGTGAGGGGAAAAGTTAGTTGATAAACGCCCATGAGAGGTACTGTGAACTCACAAAAGTTCCGCCCTCAGGTAAGTTGCCAAAATCCCCACCGTCGTACCCATTTAGCTCCCAGAGGACCTTGCCTTTGGGATTTACTAGGAAGCTGGCCCAGTAGTGTCGACTATTGATTAGATAATTGTCTCCAACCGGCTGAATGGCGTTGATGTGGAAGAAGTCATAAGGCGCAGTAGCATTAGACCCGGAGTGCCCCAGAGGTTCCTTACTTTTATTCAAGGGCAAGTGATCGAGTGAGCTCCAAGAGAAGAGGACTTCACCCGTGGTGATGTTTAGCTCAACGGCGAGAGAGTCCAGAACCCAGCCGTTCTTGGGTCCACCAATACTCGACAGGTCAGCAGGTGTGGTATTATATGCCGACACTAGTAATGTATTCCGGGGTGTGATGTACGACTCGTGAAGGTCGAGAGCTGATTTAGTCACCACGCCAGGAGGGAGGGTGATATTCAGGTTAGTGGAGACTGTGTGTATAACGTTGTAGCTAGTGTCGAGGATGATAAATTTCCCATAGCCGTGGCCTGCGATCGCAGCCTCCCCAGCAGTACCCTGTCCCGACCAGTATGTCAATACAGGTGCACTGTTCAGAGTCTGTATTCGCACGTTGTATGTAATGTCGACTGGACCACTCCAGACTAATTCTCCCTCGTCGTTGAAGATGTATGGTGATTCCTGCTCTGCTGCCGGGGTGCCGCCGTTCTCCGTAGCGAAAATAATCAGACCATCGTACAATGGATCACCGGTTTTGTTTATAAGTAGGGCTGGAGGCTGCGCGGTACTTGACCTGTACGTCTGCCATGGCCATGTGGCGTTGTTGCTTGCATTCACTGCAATCTGGCGAGAATCGGTGGAGCAGAGAAGGGGTGTTGAAGAGGTTTGTTGTCCGGTGGGCAGAGCTGTAGCCCAGCTGACCTGGATCAGGCTAAGAATGATGAGTTGCGTCAGACCCATGGCAATACTCTTTCTGAAGTTAAGTTGCGTACAGTTGGCCTGGAAGTTGACTGGGTCTTCTCGCGTTTATGTACCTACTGTAGGTCGGGTTCTCAACCCTCACAAGAAAACATCCTCAAAAGTTAACGCGAGCACGCAAGCAGATGATCGGCTAGTGATATGGATACTCGCACTATCGTATTGTCGTTGGACTAGCTATCTTTAGAATCGGCATAATAGCATCGTTTGGAGACGAACAAATCTCGCTCAAGGTGCTGACAGGCGTGGGAGCTTCATTCAGACCTGCAGCCGTACAGTGCAAGGTACGGAAGGAGTATTGGCATCACCGCTGGCCTATCGACCTGTATTGATCTTTCTGCAAATGGTCAACGATATTGGGAAAGCAGGATATACAGGATAGTGACGGTATAGTATCTCTAGGAAAGTGGGCCAGCGCTTGTGAAGTTGTGCCATCGAAGCGTGGATGGCGTAATCGCAGCCGCCAGGCCGCACCTCAGCCTAGTGCCCTTCACATAGTCCATCCTTCGCTATCATCGAAGCACTAAAAGCTTTCCAAGGCTTTCGCTGAGACGTTCGCAGCGCTTCTTTGACCTTTATCAATATCCTCGTTCACTGGTAACCTCCTGTCAGGATCCGCCGCTTAGTCGCCCTTGCTGCCTGACACTCGTACGAGCCTCGGCGACATTCACAGGGTGACAGATCGATAGAGGAACTAGAACTCCATTGTACGCTCATCGCTCACACTGCGAGCGCACCAGCGCGATCATATTCGCAAAACTCGTCTTGATTTATTGTCTGTCTACTTGCTACTCCTACCTCTGTTGGAAGAAGAGGCACATACACCCCACGCGCATTTATCAACCAATCACAGCCTACCCGAAAAGACCCTCTGTTTCTCTCTACAATAGTCACGTTCAGTTGCTCGTAGGGACTTTCATAAGTCTCAGGCTTATCGATATGGGTTGAGGGGGGTGGGGGGGCTTTCCACCAGGGTCTTCATAATAGTTCAAAGATGTATAAACGTGGTGCTTCTCGGTCTGAGAGGTAACTATGCCTTTCAATTGAGCCGTCAGAGGCTCAAATGAAGTAGAATGCCCGCCAGGCTGCTGGACTGTTGCTGATGCCATTGTTTGAACGTTGTTGTTATCGTAGGTACAGTACACTTGACCGGTGATGTCCTCGGGTAACGACAGTGAGGAGGTGCGCACTCTCATACCTGTGAAAAATGCCACACAGCCATCGTGATTTGTCAGACAGCACGCAATATGTACCACATCACGCACCATACATACAATGTGTGGGGCAAGTCATGGAGGAGGGTATATAGACATGTTCATCCGCCAATGATAGTGGAGGTTACGAAATGACGTGCCCTTCAACCTGTGTGCTGTGTCGAAATAATTGAGGCACGACACGGCATCTACAACATGTGTTCACGCCTTTCTATGAGTGCCTATCAATCCAAAGGCGCCTGGTTATAGTTCCTTGCGCGTCAGCTTCGTGATTGTCGTACCATCGCCGAGGATATCGGCTTTTTCCTCGAGTGCGTAGCCCCTGCAACGTGGTAATGCAATAGTCCAGACAAACCAATATGAGATACCAAAGAAGAGGCTAGTAGAGTAATCAGCCATCAGTGTGTTCTTCCTGAAGGACGGAGTCTCAAACTCACATAGCCAAGCCCACAAGCGCATATGTCGCATAGAAGAAATTGACGTCGGATTTACCACCCTTCGGAGGGAAGAGTGGTGCTACGATCAAGGAGACGCTGAGCAGAATCCGTAGCCAAACTGCAGGTACCCATGCTTTGAACGGCCGCCGCAAGTCAGGCTTTCGGTACCGCAAAAGAATCAGGCCTGCTGCAACGGCAAAAGCGAAATACTGGCCTGCATACCCTTCAATATCTGCGATGAAAGAGTATACCGTTGCGGATGGAGGTAGCACAATCACCAGGATTGACGGTATGTAGTGCACTATGAGGCCTCCCAGTGGCGAACCGAACGGTTTCGAAGAAGCAAGAACTTCAGCGTAGGGCAAGAAACCCTGCCGCGCGACTTCCTGGTTGACACGGGCCTGGAAGGTGGGTGAATTAGACACATATACAGACCAGACCATACATAGATCGTGGGTAAACATACCAAACTGAAAGTCACCACCATGACATTACCGGCGGCACTCAAGGCGATACCGATCGGCAAGAACTTGTTGCCAAAGCCAGCGCCAAAAACCCGCTCGAAGAACAAAGCGGCAATCAATTCTCTGCTCCGCTTCACCTCCTCCAGAGGTACCACGGCGAGATAGGCGATGTTGACCAAGATATACATGACACAAGCAGTCAATAGAGCAATCGGGCCTACCGTCTTCAGTGTCCGAACAGGGTTCTTGACCTCGTTGAGAACATTATTGACGTTGCTGAGCCCGGCGTACGAGTAAAAGATCTTGAAGCAGGCAGTAGACAAAGTATTAAAGTCCCATACCGAGCCTGCCCAAAGATCGTTCCAGTCAGTAATTGTGGTGATGCCCGATGATTCGTTCTGGGATGTCTCTGGTCGAAAGATGATCACAAAGACGCCCGTCAGAATCATGAAGACGATCAATACTATCTTGACCCAACCAAGTATGTTTTGTATCCATATGCCAGTCTTGTAGAAGCATCCATGTACGATAGTGATCCACGTCAGAAGGCCAACTGCAAGTAATTTTGTGTTCAGATCCCCAGGCTCGATCCCGGCTGCAAACAAGACGTACTTCGCGAATACGATGCAATTGCTCGCCGTGAAGCCCAGCAGAACGGCCTGGACAGCCACAAGTGTCGACGTCAGGAACCTCGGCTTTCGGTACGTGTATTCCAGATACACCTTGATACCGCCAGATCGAGGGAGCATGCATCCATATTCCATGTCAATGGCTAGGCCTGCCCATGCTACCAACGCTCCTACAATCCATAGGGACAAGGCCAGACCAGGACTGCCGACATTCTGAACAATTGTACCTGGCATCGCAAATATACCACTCCCAATCACTCTTGAGATCACAAGCACATATGCACTTGCCCAGCCGATATTGCGACCAGAAGTGGCTGTCTCGGGGAGTACATCGTTCTCGATCGTGCGTTCAACAGCGGCTTCTCGTCTCTTTCGCTCAATTGCCGTGGTCGAGTCATCTGTAGACGGACTGGGTGATAACAAGGGAGACGTTTCGAGGTCACGCATTGTGAAGGTGTTCTGACAAGTGATGGAGACTTCACTGGTGACCTGGTGGTGGGCGTATATTGGTTCAGTGGATGGATCCGTATCGATCCCTGATTGATACTTTAGTATATTCAAGGACGAGCACACACATGCATTTCGGCATCGGTACGGAGTACATTCATGTATCTTTAGCAGGTCGAAATGTGACACATGCTGACAAACTCTGAGAAGACGCGATCATCGGGGCACAAATGATGTACGAGTACTGAGAAAGCTGGGCTTAGGCCAGCAGAGCCGGATCAATTTGTCAATGACTTGCCGCATGGGACAGCAAAGAGCGCGCTGTGACTGAAGAGAGCGTTCTACGCCATTGCTCATCTCCCCCGAGCATCACGCAATTCCAGAGGCACCTCAACGTGGGACATCCCACGTTGAGCAAGAGCACAGTTTCGCCATTTCTGACTCATCGCTGTCATTGCCCTTGAATTCGTGCTCTGTGATGGTCAAACATCGGCGACTCTGATTTTCTAATCGCATGGGCTGAATTACAGCATCGGAAAGAAACAAAAGTCATTTAGATACAGACCAAGGGAGAAGCGGAATTACATGATGCCGTCGCATGTGAAAAAGATACTGGGAGCAACTACGGGAGCACGCGGAGCGCAAAAGCCAAATTGCGCTAATGTCTCTGTGGTTAGCCGACGTTTTGGCAATTACCGCAGCAATCCTCGAGGTAAAAGATCCAATTTCGTTGGGGGATCGAAAAGACGCTGAGAAATTCCTGAATCACGCAGGAAAGCTGTGGTCAAGTTACTCCTTTGCATAGCTCTTCTCCCTGCAGCGAAAACGGTCCTAAGAAGTGTCCCATTCCGGCTCTGCCATGTGCTATGGTTCTCACCTGAGCTCAGGGTCCTCTTTTGGGCTCCGATATTCCACTAACTTCCGTCCAGAGAATACGCATTGAGGACGAGTTCTATACAGTACAGAACAGTGTAATGCAAATTAGCGGATTTACTACACCCTCCTAATTCGGTGTGTCATACAGTGTTGTCGGAAGGCACCCCCTCCCTTATTAATACTGTACTGGGAAATGATGAAGGTGTCTCCTAGTAACCGTTGATTGGCTGTTACAAGTCAATACAACCTATACCCTTCTCAGGAACAGGAACGACCCTACCTCCCTCATAAGCTTGATCTCCCATCCGAGCACCAAACTGTCACCTCCTTTGTAGCTGACGGCCACCACACCTTTTTGAGTCTGCAGCGTTTTGAGGTATCTCAGCTTGTATTATTTTGGATACCGACGAAATGGTAGTGTCTTGGAACATCGTTCAGGACAAAGCTAGTTATCAAATGATTCATTGGTAGCTATCTTCCCTCAGACACATGTCAGCTCTAAGTACGGTACAGTCTCTATGATCTTCCAGTCTATTCAATGTCCCAAACCTCATCCTCATTATTTCGGATGTATGGGACGGGCATCTCGTTCATGTCGTACTTGGACTCAGTAATGGTGAGACCGTTACCGAGGAATGCCCAAATATTGTTGGGGTTTCGGTACTTAATCTTATAATGCTCGTAGCGTGGATGTTTCATAAACTTCAAATAGTGGTATAGACTACCAGACCAGACCCAGACTCGTCCGTTGGGTTTGTTATCCTATATTGTATTAGTATTTAAGACGCAGTAGGTAAGGTAAATAGAAACTGACCTTATACCAGCTTCGACAATCCTCTGCCCATACGCTGTGCTTTTGGTGCCATGCATCCATGTACGCGTTCAACTGTGTGGTAGGCTGTTGCCGAGGCTCCAAGCTCTGGATGCCATCCTGCTGCATCTTCCGACAGCATTTAACGATGTATTCGACTTGAACCTCGTGGCTAGGCAGTACGCAACCTTGACCCCAGTTACCACGAGGGCCATTGACGACAAAGTAGTTGGGGAAACCCGGTGCGGCGATCGAGGCATATACATTGGGTTGCTTTTGGTCCTGCATTACCTGACCTTTGGTGCCAGTGACGGTAAAATGTGGGAGGTATTGAACGTCAAATCCGGTTGCACATGCAAGAATATCAACTCGATGTTCGGTGCCGTCACGCGTAATCACGCCGTCAGAGCTAACCTTAATGATATCGTCGAAAACACAGGTAACATTGGGACTGACGAGGGCTTCGAGGTACCCTTCTCCCGGCGTTAACCGTCGACATCCAGGACTCCATTCAGGAATGAAATGCTTCTTAAGGTCATCGCGATCCCCAAGCTTCTTGGCCATATCTGCTTGCATTGCCTTCTTCGCAGTGAGACTTAGCTCGGATCCCCGATAAAACATTCGAAAACCGCTCACCACGGATCGCTCAACTTTTCGTCGGTATTCAAGGTGATAGACAGGATCGTCCCGAAACTTTTGCTTCTCCTTCTCCGTATAGGAATGCTTGCCGGCTGCTTTGGGATCCATAGCTTCAGGGTCGGCATCCTTATTCGAAATGTTTGAACCGAGCTGGGGTCCAATATATGTCTGATTGCGAATGAAGACGGTAACGTGCTTAGCTGTGGCGGTGAACTTAGGTACCATTTGAATCGAGCTCGATCCGGTTCCAATAACAGCGACAGTTTTGTTCGTCCAATCGATCGAGGTATCCCAGGCAGCTGAGTGAGCCAGCGTTCCTACAAAGTCATGTAAACCTTCAATGGCCGGCCATTTCCATTTATTAAATACGCCTGAGCCGTTGACAAGAACATCGCAAGTATCAGTGGAAGTGGATCCGTCCGAGTGCTGAAGATCGACCTTCCACTGCCCGACTTGTTCGTCCCAGGTCGCAGCCAAGACTTCGGTATTCAGGGTAATGTACTTCTCCGCGTTGTATTTGCGCGCGAAATTGACCAAGTATGTCTGAATTTCGTTGCTGTAGCTGTAATAGCCGCTCCATTCCGTATTAGGTTCGAAGGGGAATGTGTATGTGTGGGCAGGGATATCACATGCACAGCCTGGGTATCTGTTCTCATACCAGGTGCCACCAATGGTGTCATTCTTTTCGTAGCAGATGAGTGTATAGTTCTCCAGGTATTTCTCTGCCTTGTGTGCGAAGAGAAGACCAGAGGCGCCAGCACCAACGTGAATGATCTTGAGAAGCTGAGAAGTGGCCTGGGGGTAGTCAGGAATGTCAGCTGCCGCGTAGGTGATCGCATCTTCAATAAGAGGCATGTTGGTGGGAGTGAGGGGAAAGTTCGAATGAGAACTATGCGCCGCTGGAGTCACGGACTGTATGAATGGAAGAGTAGGGTTATCGGGCCTTTCATGTAGTTTTATCGACTTCCAGTGGCGGTCCGAATCCTTCAAAACCTGTGCCAATCTCGGGACCCTTTCCACGGCTGCGGTATACTTAGGATTTGACTCCATTCTTCGCTCTCGGGACAATTTCAGGAACTGGACAAGTGATCAAGTGGACGCTGACCTCCACCTGTTATCGAAATTGTTCAATGAGGCATAACACAGCCTTTTGATGTCTTCCGGAATCATACCACTCATCATCTGGGAGCGGATGTACAACGACCGAGGTTGCCAATGCGTAACAATTTCTTGATGCACGATAAAGAAGGGACTGCGAGAGCCTGGCCTGATCCTGTACCATCGTTATGAGAAGCTGAGGAGCAATCTTTCAGAGCTCTAATTCGAGCAGGCCCACAGGCTGGCCAGCCACGGCTTCGCCGCGTGATCAGGTGCCGTCTGAGATGGGGACTTCGGAGTTTCGGAGTTGATCTCGGTCCTCAGGTTTCAACTGACAAGACATCAAAAACAGCTGCATATAATCAAAGCAAACGTGCCACAAGTCAAACCTCAATTTCTCAGCGGTACCCCGAGACCTCACGTACTCTAGCAGAGCTGTAGAAAACCCCCCAGACTCGGACCTCAGAGGCGCTCGTCGTTTCGTGGCAATCCCAAGAAAAACTGCGTGACAGCTTCGGTTTTCGGTCTTCGTATGTCGCCGGATTTTCGCGATGCTGTTCTTCTGGCCTCCTGTCCGCGCAGAGAAACTCAGGCAGATCCGCCTGTTCCCGAGTACGATGGCAGCTCTTACGCACTCACTGCAAGAACTTAATTGGAAGAAACCAGTAGGGAGGGGTACAGGGGTCCCCGAAATGCAGAAGACATTACCTTCAAATTGGCCAAGGGCAAGAATTCAGAAGAATGACAACGAGTGCAATGCAATTTTGCACCTTGGTCAGGTTTACTGTCAATTCATTAATCGGTCGATCGCATCTTTCATCAAGACAACGAAGGCAATCGGGGACTGATATGCAAAAGCTCTTTCGTGCTGATTCTGTGCAATTATGGTTTACAAATCGAAATTTGACGACATTGACATCCCCCGATGCAATGTCCTCTCATACTTGTTCCCGCCAGGCGACAGTCTGTCGACGAAACCTTTGTTGGTAGATGCAAAGTCGCCGCTTAAAACACTATCAACTGACGACTTGCTATCATGGGTTCGACGGTTTGCGCTTGGCCTGGACCGTATGGGAGTTCCTTTAAACACTGCAGTGATGTTATTCACTCCAAATCACCTATATGTGCCTGTAGCGTACCTGGGTGCTGCAGGGTCTAAGAGATATTATACCGGGGCGAACCCCAATTATTCTGTTGACGAGCTTGCATTTCAAATATCGATGGTGAGGCCAGCCATTTTGCTCGTCCATCCAAGCTTGTTCAAGACGGGATACGCGGCTTTAAAGAAGGCCAACCTCCCTTCCACTAGGACATTCCTCTTCGACGATGAGAAATGCGACCAGCGACAAGGTGTGCCCGACTGGAAGACATTTCTCGCTTCAGCTGAAGATGCTGTTTCTTGGAGCTGGGATAATCTTGGTCCGATAGCAACGGAGCAGATTGCGACGATCAACTTCTCTAGCGGGACTACCGGCCTACCTAAAGGAGTCTGCATCACTCATTATAATCTCGTCGCTAATGCGCTTCAAACCACGCATGTCAAATTACACGAGACTCCACGTCCACAAGATACCAAAAAAGAAAGATGGCTCTCCTTTTTGCCATTATACCATGCTTTCTCGCAGCAATTCACGATTAACATTGCAAGCCGGCTCGGTGCTACAGTCTATATAATGCAGGCCTTCAAATTTGAGGAATTCCTCTATTATATTCAAAAGTACAAAATAACCACATTGCAAGCAGTTCCACCAGTGATGAACATGCTAGCTAAGCGACCCGAGTCTGCCTACTACGACCTCAGCAGCCTCAAAAACATCATGGTCGGCGCAGCGCCGATGCCCCTGAGCCTTTCTAACGAATTAATCCAGAGGTTTAATTTTTGTATCGCTCGTGGTTGGGGAATGACTGAGACGACCTGCGTTGGAATGTTAGAACCTGACAATGTGAGAAGTTTCGACGGCCACTCTGGATACCTCTTGCCCAATACTGAAGCCAAAACCGTGGATGACGATGGTCAAGAGGTGGAGGGGGCTCCGGGCGAACTATGGATTCGTGGCCCACAGACGATGCTTGGCTATTGGAATAATGAAAAAGCTACTCGAGACAGCAGTACACAGGATGGATGGGTTAAAACTGGCGATATTGTCGTTGTCAAGGACCACAAATGGTGGATTGTTGATAGGAAGAAGGAGCTGATCAAGGTCAACGGCCTCCAGGTAGCACCTGCCGAGCTCGAGGCTTTGCTTCTGCAACACGAGAAGATATCCGATGCCGTGGTCGTGGGAATAGAGGTTAACGGTAACGAATACCCTCGGGCATACGTTGTGATGCGGTCAGACATTGGCCCAGATGGGCTCACAGAAATGGAGGTGCAGAAATATGTGGCGGAGTCCACGGCCAAGCATAAACATCTCAGAGGTGGTGTGAAGTTTGAGCAGTCCATTCCAAGGCTCCAAAGTGGTAAGATCATGAGAAAGAAGATCAAAGAATGGGCTAAACGGGATGCAAAATTTTTCACTTCGTCAAGATCAAAGCTTTGATTCACTCACGATGTGTCGAACTCAGTACTGTTACGAAGAAGGGAGAAATTCGTTTCCAGATCTACATTGCATAAGAACATAGGAGTCGGAAACGATTACGTTTGACTCTGCTATCTCCAAGGACTAAGGGATCAAATATTAGAAACACTACTCAAATATAGCTTGAGAGACGTATAAAATGATGTCGATGACTCTGAACAGTATAGGACAACAATAGTTGTAGTATTAGCAAGGTCATTTGGAAGTAATTCCTCTTTTCCAGACACAAATACAAGGAGTGTTAGACTTTACGATTTAGACTTGCACTACATTGCATACCCTATTCAGGAGGTTACTGACCATGCGCTTGTGATTTTCGTAATGAACCCTAAAGGTGCCCAGCATAACTTATTGGCACTACAACTCGGATGCACTCTTCTTCAAAAACAAGGTCTGGAGGTTACAATATGCTCGCAGACCACCAACTGGAGAAACATTAGCACGTGTCGACAAATACATGGACGGGGGACGAGTGAAACTTACCACCCCATTCATATCCGATACCACTCTCCTTGTGCCCGCCGAATGGGGCGTGAGGATCCAGCTCGATATGGGTGTTGACCCAGACACTGCCGGCATCCAACTTGCGGGCAATGCGGCCAGCTTCTTCCATATCATTCGACCAGACTGAAGCACCCAAGCCCAACTTCGTGTTATTGGCGCGCGCAATGACATCTGCTTCATCGTTCCATTCAAGCAAGGGGACAATGGGACCAAATGGCTCTTCAGTCACTATACGGGAATCCTCTGCAGGCTTATCAATGATCGTCGGAGTAATGAAAAAGCCGGGTTTCTCTTCGTTGACACCACCCACTGCGATGTTCCACTTCTCCTTCTCAATGTCTGAAAAGAACGTTTTGACCTTTTCGAACTGCATCGAATTCTGAACGGGGCCCAGAGAAATGCCTTCTTCGTTCCCGTCCCCAATCTTGAGCGTTTTGGTAAAGTCCACGAGGGCCTGGCGGAACTCATCATAGATCGATTGATGAACATAAATTCGCTTGATGGCCAAGCAGACTTGACCGGAATTGAAGAACGCCAGACCACCAACCTGGAGTGAACGTTAGATTCTATATGTTCAGTGATCGTGGATACTTTAGAAGACTCTCTACCTTGGCAGCAGCAGCTTTAACGTCAACGTTCTTTGTGACAATCGCCGGATCGTTTCCTCCCCTGTATCTTATTAGTCACAAAGATCTAGGAGAAGAAGAAGATGAAGTGCAACCTGACAAACTTACAGTTCAAGAGTAACTCGCTTCAGTGTTTTCGCTGCGCTAGCCATGACCAATTTCCCGGTGGCAGAAGATCCTGTAAAGCTGATCTTGTCGGGCCCGGGATGCGCAGTGAGCCACGGACCAAGGTTATCATCACCGCTCAGGACTTGCAGTACGCCAGGGGGAAAGAAGCTCCGACCCAACTCTCCCAGTTTGAGATCGCAATAAGGGGTAAATGGGGATGGTTTGATGATAATAGGGTTGCCAGTGAGCAGCGACGGCGCGATCTTTCCGCAAGCAAGGTGAATTGGGAAGTTCCAGGGTACAATGCCGACAGACACACCAAGGGGCGTATAGCGAACGATCACTTGTTTTTCATTGTCCTCCTGAACGATTTCCTCCGACAACTCAATCTTCGCGAGCTCACGTAGCCATTGTACGCCGACCTGAACTTCTAGCTCTGCAGTTGCAATCTATTTAGTGACTTATTAGCGAAATTCGGAGTGGTGCTATATCGAGTACGCTTTCTCCCAGCTACTACATACCGGCTTACCCTGCTCCTGAGTCAGCAATTTGGCAAAGTCGCTGGCGTGCTGCTCAAGAGCATCGGCGTAGCCGAGGACGGCCTTCTTTCGATCAGCCCATGGAACCTTTGCCCATGTCTTGGAAGCCTCCTTTGCAGCTGCTACCGCGCTGTCGACATCTTGTGGTGTTGAAACTGGGACCTCGGGATTGGGCTTTCCATTCGCTGGATTGACGCCATGCACTAGTTTTCTCGGTCCCTGTGAGCTTTCCGTTGATAGTGTTGTAAAAACCACTGAAAAGGTCGAGCTTTGCGATGGCTGACAGAGAACCCATCTTGATCGACTGGCGTCGTTAATTCTGACCAGGAGCTGAGACAAATGTGGTGATTTTGGAGCTTCGATGATTGATAGCACTGTGGGAAGAAGTGCTCAATCAAAGTCGAGTCTGTTATCTGTCCCAAACATAGCTCCTCGATCATTTACATGCCCACCGCTCGATTACACTACTTCATTTTGCGGGGGCCAGAGTAGGTAATAGTGGGTTCCCCATGAGAACCCCCCCCCGTGCGGACTATTACTCCAATCCCGAAAGTCCGAGGACCGAATTCCGGCTGAGGAGAGATGTTGTGCACAAGACACTCGAAGTCTCACTCCCCATGGTGAGTGTGTGGTTTGGACAAGGCGATTCACGAACACCGTGGCGGAACAATGAGGACTGCCCTCAGTGGATTGGAGCAGCGTAGACGAACTACATGATGATTCATCAAGTAGAACTCGCAAGACATGACATTGTTCATATCACGCCTGGGGAAGAAGCGACTGGAATCTGCGTTCTACAATTACATATCCCATCGTACTGATCTGTGAAGTCGCAAAATCAGGAATTGGATAGGCGATTCACTTCAAAGTTTGGACTGCCTCTTTGATTTTGCTAAAGTGCAGCACGTCAGCACAGGAAAACATCAGCCTCTGCAGGGAGATACTGACCTTCCAATAATCGACTCTTCTCCGCGAACCGCTGGATTGGAGCGTCTTCCACAAATCTCTCTGCTACAGCGTCGACTGCTTCATACAGAGAAGCCAGCCTCCCTCTCTGCAGCGGAACATTCATCAATCTCTTGGCTTCAAGCATTGATTTCCCATCGTTGACATCGAGTTGTTCCTGCAAGTACTGAACGACCTTGTCATGAAACCCTTCGTGCTCGAAAACGCGGTTCACCATACCCCACTGCAAGAGTTCATCCACAGCAATCTTTCGACCAAGCATGAGAATATCGTTGGCACGATGAACTCCGATACTCTGTGGGAAGCTCCCTGCCGACCCAAACTCAGGAACAAGTGCCAGAGCAGAGAATGGACATTGGAGCCACGTTGTGGTCGATGCAAGTACAATGTCTGCCACGCCTTGAAACCATGCAGCACCTCCGCCGACAGCTGGCCCGTTCATCGCAAGCACGAGTACTTTGCGGTGAAGGATTAACGAGCTGACCAGTTGAGTGTTTCCGCTGATCTGATTGACAATGGCGAGTTTCTTCTCCGCGTCAGAATGATAGAACTGGCCGCCTCGCTCCGACTCGGCTGTGACATGTTATCAGCTTCCAATTGTGAAAGATGATATGCTACATCTTCAGGGGGTTTCAATTACCAACCTTTCACGTCGGCCCCTGATGAAAAGAATCGTCCAGCAGCCGTTACAACTGTAAAGACTGTGTCGGGATGGTTGTCGAGAACACGAAGGGCATGGATGGTATCAATGATGAGACGTCCGCCGAATGAATTGAGAGATTTAGGCCGATTGAACTGGGAATAAGAGATTAGCATCGGAATTCTCATTTGCCAGTCGAGCCACGTCATATGGACAAACCTGGATGATGCCGACCTTCCCTTTGATCTGAAATTTGATGTCAGAGTAGTTGTATTGCGGCATGGTGTTAATTTGTAAATTCTTGTCGTTGGGAGTGAAGCTTCTCAGGTGGCCGTAGCAAAAAAACAGTATTGATGGGGAGGACAAAGCATTAAACAGGGAAATGTATGACCACAGGAAGGGCGCGTGCCTGCAACCGTGACTGTGTACGGAGTTTCTCAGCGGGGAGCAGCCATCTACGAGGCACTCGGGCAAATAAAGGCTCACGTAGAGGGCCTCCGTAGAGCTATAGTCATCATGGATTGGGCCAGGGCATGGTGAAGGCTGTTGCTAGGCGCTAAGCTATTGTCTTTCGGTTTCAGCTTCGGACTGTTGCACCGAGGGTGCAAAATCCGAGGTCTTGGATTACTAGATACCTTGACATGTGGATATCACATTATTGAATCCTGAATCATAAAGATTATAAAGATCATACACGACCCCCCTTTGGAGACCACGTGCTCATGTTTGTTGCCGGCCAACATAAAGATGCCTCGCAGCGTTCGGCCTGCTTTACAAGTGCCGGAATCATATGACCTCCTCCCTCTCCGTCAAATTAAAGTGTCCAATGTACCGGCATCATCTCGATCTGTGACACCCGTAATCTTGATCGCGCTCAATCGCCCCGAAAAGCTCAATGCCTTCACAGATGTCATGCGAGAGGATTTGGAGCGCGTCTACGAGCTGGTCGACATCGACCCAAGGGTGAAAGTCGTGGTTTTGACGGGTGCTGGGAAGAGCTTTTGTGCCGGGGCCGATCTCGAGATTGGGTTTCCAGGAGTTCAAGATGAGCATGGCAGAGTTCGGCGACCAAAAGTGGAGCGCGATGTTGACCATCGAGACGGGTAAGACGAAAGCCAGGCCGCCGTATCGGACAAAAGCTAATGAAATATGATCACTAGGGGGGGCCGTGCGGCGCTCGCGATCCACTATTGTTCCAAGCCTACCATTGCTGCGATACAAGGCTCTGCTGTCGGCGTGGGAGCGACTGTGTTCCTCCCAGCTGTCATTCGCGTGGCCTACGCAAAGGCCAAAGTCGGATACGTCTTCAGCAGACGAGGCGTGGTGATGGAGGCTTGTTCCAGCTACTTCCTGCCCCGTCTCGTCGGACACTCGAGAGCGCTGCATCTAGTAACCACGGGTGACACCTATCCGGCCGAGCACAAACTCTTCGAATCACTCTTTACTGAGATCTGCCCAACGCCTGAGGCGACGGTGGCGCGAGCGCTTGAGCTTGCAGAAGGCCTGGCGAAGAACACTTCGACGGTATCGACCAAACTCATGCGGGAAATGATCTACCGATGTCCATCCAATGTGGAAGATGCTCACCTGCTTGACTCACAGATGATCTATGGCTTGTATGGGCGAAAAGACAACCTGGAGGGTGTCAAGGCCTTTCTACGGAAAAGGCCAACCAATTTTACCGGCCAGGTACCTGAAGATGCACCGGAGGGATATCCGTGGTGGAGGCAAGTCGACATTGGTGATAAGCCTTTGGAGTATACTCAGGAGAAACAGCAGAAAGCAAAGCTTTAGAGATAGTGTGTAAGTGATCGTACGTCGGCATTACAGCATATGGATATATATATGTCATTTTAGATCCTATGCTGGTGTGAATACATAGTTCAGTTGTCTGTCTTGCTAGAATGCCTGTACAGCATCGTTGAAATCATTCAGAAACGACCACAAAGTCTTGGTGCGCCAACCTTTTTCTTTCCATTCATTGGCGGAGGCAGGGAAGAAGTCGGCAACCTGCGAGATGGTTGCATCATGCGCACACACCAGCCAAATGTTTTCTTGAGCATCCAACTTCTGTGCCTTGGAACGCGTCTTGGCAAGTCCTTCTTCATCCACCACCTGTGCAGCCGTAGACAAGAAAAAGGGTGTCTCTGTTGAGCCCGTGCGTGCGAGAAGGAGCTTTTCGAACGAGCAGCCAGGATGTGGTGTTTGGAGACCATATGAAGATCCTGAGAGTCGAGCAGGGATATGTAGATACTTCGAAGGTCTCAATAATCCTCCATGGTGACTAAGATCGCCACCCATGAGAATGAATGTGTCAGGGTTAGTTGTCGTACGTGCCAACGCCCCCATGTGTCCTATAGCATGTCCGGGAGTGTCGAGCAGGTAAAAGGAGCCATCACCGAAAAAGTCAAAGGCGGGAAAGTCTGCAACCTTGGTTGCTCGAGCGGACCTTTCAAAGTCGATCTCGATCACACTTCTCCCGCTGGATAGCAAAGCAGCACTAGGTCAGTTCATCCATTATTGATATCCGGCTTCGTCTTCGTGTTCACTCTTTATCGGGAAATATACGCACCGAAAGTCACTTTCCCGGACGGGAGAGTCTCGCCTGGTCGGAAAAGCTGGCAACAGCGCCGCCTTGAATCCTGGACCCACGATCAAATCAGTGCTGGGTGGGAACCGTGATGGATCTCCAATGTGATCCCAATGCCAATGACTCCACAGGAGTGAGTTAGCATATTGGAATGCGTCTTTCTTGAAGAGGCCGACCGACTCACCTCCAAATTGCACTCTTGATCTGGCTCGCGGGCACATTGTGTTCTTCAAGAACATCAATGGCCTCTTTGGGGGAACGAATATCCCAGTCATCAAAACGATCATCTTCTGACACTACCGGAGCGAGATCCTTGAAATGCTTGGACATGCCCAGATCAAAGATAGCCTTATGGCCAGTTGGATGTTCAATGAGAAACGACCATGATGGTATTGTGGGCATGTACTCCATGGGTTCCAGCGCAGGTCTCATCAAGAATGTGAGCGGGAGTTTGTCGATACGGGAGGTGGTGTCGATGATGCGAACCTGAACCGTGACATCTCCTGCAGGGATCAAGATAGGTGGGATATTGTCGGCCATGACAATGTGGTCCGAAGAGTTCCCTTCTTTCTCGTTAGAGCTCATCCGGCTTGGATAATAATTTGTACTATATAAGATCCTGTCAGACGAGATGGATCCTCTTGGAGTCTTGGCTTGGAAATTGCCTGTCTTGTCCGAGCACCGAAAAACGAGGCGGTTCCCAGACTTAGAGCCGTGGTTTGATCGCTGAGAATCTCCGAAAGACTTGAAGTGAAAAACGTTTGCACCGTAGTACGATACTGTTTTAGCCTCCTATTGCGGATTTTACATCTATCTGGAAAGGAGGGTGTCAAAATTTCAGTGTTTGAAAGGCTGCCTGTCCCGCCCACTACCGCTTGAATCCATGTCAGCAATCGTAAGTGGTCCTCGTTCAGTACCAAGTACAACAGACTTTGATCGACCGACGCGATCGACAGATGGAAGAAAAGATGACCCTCTCGCAAGAATTGAGACTTTGCTATTGCCAGTTTGGTTCATTGCCATACAACCAGAATGGTCCATCCAACAGGTTGCCAAAGAAATCCATAACTTCGTTGTCTGGCACTCCGTGCACACCATCCGGGTCGAGTGCGGTTCCGTCCACTTCAAAACGCATGGTCTCCATAGCGCTACCTTCGTTCATCATATAAATTGTCTCGCACGAATCGCTTGGCGCCTGATATACCCCCATGGTTCCCTTAGGAATAACCATATTGGAGGAACCGCTTATATCCAGCTCGACCTCGGATGGAGGATCGTTTTCGGGCAGAGACGACATCAGAGATTGCACAAGCGGAGTGGCCGTCTCTTCCATGGGTAACAGGGTCTGCACATAGTTCTGGACGATCGACGCGAGTTTCGGGAAAACAGAGAAAGGGAACTCTTGGTTGGTCACATATTCAAGACGGCGAAAAAATCCGGCAGCGATATCGAGGAAGTTCAGATTATCTCTCGTTTCGACGTGCCTCGGGTTGTCGATTACCAGATGAAATAGGCTGAGGAAGGCGGACAGTGGGATCACCGTCAAAAGCCTGTCTCATGTTAATAAAGGGTATGTTGGAGGACGCTCTTCAATAGAGAATACTGACACGGAAGGAGTGTAGGGTTCTATCTCAAGATGACCTATCAATTCAATCACGCGGCGAGTAGATCTCATGAAAGTCTCTCGGGCATTGAGGGGGCCTCGACCAGATTCAGGTTCGCCAATCTGCAGACTAAGTCGACATAGCACCATGACAAAGTCATGGTAAACGAGATGGGTCCTCAGAGCAGCCATTATCGAGGCCGAGCTCCCTAGCCTAGCCCTAGCAAACCGCTCTCCAGGTCGAAATGGTGGCGGAATGGAAAGCCTCCAAGTTTCCAGCTCGTGTCTGATTAATTGTAGGTCTTGTTGATACTCCACTAACGGTTTCGTGGTGGCACTAACGGAAAAAAGGGCGCTCTGCGCTTTGGAAAGCAGTCTGCCGAATCGCACGGAGCTCAAGAACCAGTTAAAGTCTCCAAAGATGGCTTCGGGGATGAATGGAATGTGGCAGCCAATGTCTTCGTCAGGGATCACCTTGGAACTGCAGCGTTAGATAACTTGCTGGGGTTAGGAAAAGAAGTTGAGCCCTTACCGAGGGCCTGCCTTGACAGGATGCTGAAAGCTTTTCAATTGAGTAGATCACCCAAAATGTACGTTGATGGGCACCATCTGTTATTGTTTTGGAGCCTTTATTGAGACGACAGAATTGTGTCATTCTTGCCGCTTCTGATAGTAGCATTTCGGCAATCTGGCCCCCACAGTATGTCATGGCAAAGAGGAACTTTTTAAATTCTAGCTAAGTAATTATCTCCCACAAGGTAAGACGAAGGGTCGCTCACCATTGCGAGTAATGCCTCGTAGGGTGTCAGTTACTTTTGGCGTAATATAGATGAATGGTATCTCTCTCACCTGCACACTTAGTACGCCAGGTCGGGAGGCTATTAGCTCTCCGAGGCGGCTTAAGGATAGCTGGAAGAATTGCCACGACGCCCCTTCTCCAGGTTCGAACGAACCATGCCCGTTGAGTTGGCTGCCAATTGTCAGCATGGCGTTGTACAGAGCAAAAAGAGGCGTGTTCTTCGAGAGTGCTTCTTCACTGTGGTGATCGAGGACTTGCTGTTCAAACTCTGCTTTCATCAAAAAAGGAAAGAGTGGATGGATGTGATCAAAGTAACCTGCGGCAACGTGTTAGTGCCAGCTGCCCATCCGAATACAGGGTTTGCCTTCAAATACAGCGAATATGTTCGGCCTTCTGTTCCGGTGACAGCTTTATCGGGTACGGTGGCGGGCGGAAGCTGACTTCGGGATACACTTTGTTTGCTTGTCGGTGCAGCCGCTTGTTCATCGAATCTGAGAAGGATTCGATCAAGGCACCGAAAGGGGCATTTCTCAGCTTCTCGGATATCGAGCGGATGTCACTGTCGGAGAAAAGAGAGAGGCTGGAGCTGGAAACTAGATTGCGGTCAATGTTTCCGGTCTTCGACAAGGTCTCTCAGTACCCGCTCACTCTTTTGCTTTTCGGACTGAGATAGTTGTCAGAGATGCAAATGCGACGCCAGATCGGATGGAGTTGGATAATATCTTCATACCTTGGGGAAAAGGCTCGCATGAAATTCCTTGCCTTCGATGCCACGGCCTTTAAGCATCTCGTCCATGTAGATCCTATTCGGACCAGCTCGCGACGGAGCCACTGGCGTTTCCACCCACTCGCCCGCATCATTGAAACATGCGGATTGTGACTGGGTTTGCGGCTGTTCTGGACGATCGAGAGGCCGTCTGTCAACAACAACCCCTTGGGGAGATCCGTCCGTTGAGGCCTTTTCCAATGGCCATATTGCAGTATGCGCTTCATCGAGAGGCTCAGCGGTCGCCTTCGTCCTCCTCTTATTCTCACTGAAGCTGCAAGTTACGCCGCGTTTCTAAAGCTGGCGTGTGAGTACGGCCTCGAGATCGCATTTGCACCACAATTATAGGTCTATACCCACCAAGCAAATGCCGCATGGCATTGAACTCGGTTGACGTGATCCTGGGAAGATAAGATAAGAGACCGCATTGTCGACAAGCTCGTCAAACTCACCAGTGCAGCGCACTTTACGCAGCTTGCAATTATCGCAGGTTTTCAGCAGCTTGGGTTTGAGCATCGCGCCGGGAGCAGATAAGAAGACGAGAGGCGCAGACGAACGGAGGGGTTCGTGGTGTGCGAGTAGGGTCTTTTGAGGATTTAAATGGTTTGGAGAGTCAAAGCGAGTGAGGCGAAACAGTGGGAAGGGTCGCTAACAAAGTCTGACGAGCGGGGTCTGTGAGATGCTTCGAGGCCCCCACACTATGTACTCTAGGCATCCCCACAACGCCTAATCACGGCTTACAATGACCAAGTCTGCCTGTTATGCAGAAGGTACATGACTTCGTTTTATTAGGTACCGATTGTGAAAACACTCATTCTATGCATGAGAGTTTGATTTGCGGCGTAGCAGACTACGTGCACGTCTCAGCCAAGGCGACTATGGATATCGCTTGCGCCATGCCTCGCGCGTCAGCTGAATTTTCGGCCTCCATTCTCGATTTGTTCGCAAACCACGCATTGATATACCTAGGCACAACGTGGCGACCTAAAGGGTGTATCGGAAATTCTCCACGCCCTCCAAAATCTTTCCCTCTCGATCTGCCTTCTTGTTTTGCAAGTGGAAATACACCGATATAGAGCTAGTGAGGATGAGACAGAGGGCCAGAGTAGAAAAGGAGGCGTAGAGTCCCGGTCTGTATTTAGGAGCATCTTGTTGCCGGAAATACACCGAGCCGGCAATGCCGCCGATACCACCCCAGACGGTCTGGAGAGGCACGGCCATCTGTCGTTTGGTGGTGCCAACGACGTTGTTGGCCAAAAAGGTATAGACGGTCGGGATAGCACATTGAGATCCAATGATGGAGAAGTAGATGCCAGTCATCTTCGCTCCGGTGTTGGGACCCCATCCGATCATGCCGAAGCCCACCATCGTAAGGACGACGTGGCCTATGATGAAGGGGCTGCGCATATGGGCCTTGTCGGCGGCTAGCCCGGTGATGATGTTTGCGATACATGCGGCAATGTATGGTGGTGTAAGAAGGATTTGGCTGAGCGCCACGCTGAATCCCAAGGAGCTGAGAATGGTGGGTGTAAAGAAGCTCATGGTGTAGGCAGCGGCAGTGAGGAAGAAGAGGAGGCTGGACAAGACCCAAATCTTCCAATCCTTCAAAGCAATGAGAGCTCTTCCGACGGTCATACGATCTTCCAGGATCTCAGCTCGATCTTGTGCTAGCCATGCACTCAGGCGATCAAGCTCTTCGGTATGGAGCCATTTTGCGTTCTCGGGGAACTCGCAGACGAGGAACCATACGGGAAAGGCAAGGACGATGGTGATAAGGCCCGGAACGAGGTAGATCCATCGCCAGCCCTCGAGACCGCCTGTACCGTTCAAAGTGCTCAAGCCGTATGATAGAATGCCGGAAAACGCCGCCAGCAACTGACCCATAGCAAACCAGGTAGCCAGGCGTCGTTGCGTTTCATATCTCGTGTACCAGGACGATACGATGTAGATACATACAGGCTATGTGATTTTCATTCCATCAGTGGCTTGGACAAGCGGAGAGGCACATTTACACTCACCTGGAAGCTACCCTCAAAGAGACCGAGAAGAACTCTCACAGCAACCAGTTGTGAGAATGTCTTGACAAAAGCATGACACATTGCCACGGTGCCCCAGCAGAACACCATGCCGAAGAAAAATCCTTTGACGCTGATCTTCCGAAGGATGAAATTCGTAGGGAGCTCAATGAGGATGTACAATGGAAATAAAGCCAGGAGGGCCACCGAGTACTTGTTTCCCGTGAGCTCGAGATCCTTGCCCATGCCTGCAACGCGAGCGGTCGCGATGATGTTTCGGTCGATCAGGGAGAAGGCGAAGAGCAGGATGAGAATAGGGATGACATGATAGTCAATCTTGCGCACCAAACGCTTGTTCAAGACGGCATCAGGTTCAACCTGTTCGATCTCTTCACGCTTGCCATCCACAGTTGTGGTGGCGCCTTCAATAGGCACCTTGCCGACGTCCATAGCGATGGATAAGTGCTCTGGAGCAAGTAGAATTATGGTAAGGGGGACCAGGTACCAATTCAATGAAAGAAGACGATCACTGTCACATCGAGAGAGGTTGTGGTGATGGCGACCCTGGGTCTAATAATATTTTCGATCCCTGTAAACCCCAGATTTCTCCCATGCTCATCAACCCCCCGTGGGGCTCGTGTTTTCTTGAAAAAACCAAGTCCGAGATCCGAAAACCGAAGTGCGAAGTCCGAAAAGACTAACTAAACTTTCCAGCACAGGCTAATAGGCCAAGCCGATGTCGAGGTTGGTGGAGTTCTCGATTCTGTCTCGAATCGGTGGCGCTGTGGGGATTGGAACTCGAAGCTAATCATGGTACCCTGTTACCCAGAATGTGGAAGGATTGTAACACATTTATTGGAAATGAATTTATCGTGTCTCAGCAACTGCTACATCTCTCAGCCTGCCACTCCGGTGCTGTAATATCAACCAAGCAACTCGCTGGCCACCAGAAATGCGTCTCTTCCAGCTGCCATGCCGGTGTAGAGCATGCAGTGACGAATGGCCTCTGCAGTGTCCTCCTTTGACAGGCCATTCTTCTCAGTAGACAACAGATTGATCCGCAGCTCATGCTCGCGGTTCGTGGCGATAAACAACGCGATGTTCAACAGGTTTCGCTCTCTGAAGGTGAGACCTGGCCGTGCGTAGCTGGACAAAGTATGTTCAAAAGTATATTCCCGCAGGGTTTCCGAGAAGACGTTGCTTTTCTGCGTTCAATTCTCAGCCATTTCAAGCTCATGCACAATTTGAAGCACAAGCAAGGAAGTAAACCTACACCGAGCTCGTATGGTTTGCCCAGAAATTCTACCACCATTTTCTCGCCCAAGAGATATTGCTCCGAGCGTGGAGGCTCGCTGTTGCCGGTGATGGATTTCTCAGCTGCCATCTTCGAAGATTTGTTGATGTAATTTAGGTCTAGATGATTTTGGTGCCGCCTTGGTTGATTATATCAAGAGCTGGCGAGTGGCTTAGCTTGTGCAGAGAGGAAATGGGGAAGGAGCAAATTTAGCAAATATATGGTAAAGATCCTAATCGTGAGGTGGGGAGGACAGCCAGCGAATATGTAGCAAACTATTGTGCACATCCAATCACTCGGTGCGACGTCGGCTTTGCGAGCCTCGGTGTTTGGCTCTTCCCGTTACAGAAGAACTAGAAGGGACACCGTACTTGTCTCAATCCTATCCGAAAGCAAAATTTCGTTCATTCCATGTCCACAGTGAAATCTAGTTCGAAAGGATGCCTAGTATGTCTTCTGCATTGTAGGTGTAAATCCACGCCGGCCCTCCGCTCCCGAACTCGTACATCTTGAACATCGCCCAAATCGTCCATTCCTTGAAAACTTGCATCATCCCCGAACTTCGCTTCCTGATATTTCCAGCTTGGATAGTGTAGGCTAGAATTTGGCTGATACGTTGCTGTCGATGCGTCTCCCAGACTTGCAGATTGTCCCTCAAAGTAGGGAGGTTGCAGCCAGGCAGGCTCAGCTTGCCGAGCACATAGGCCAGGGTTTCAGCGTCTTCGAACGCGGAAGCTGCTCCTTGTCCACCGGACGGCGGTATGGCGTGCGCTGCATCGCCGATGAGGATCACCCTTCCTGACGAAGACATCCAGTGCTCCAGGTTGGGTACTTTTGCAAACCTGGGTAATTAAACTTTAGTATGCTGTTTTTCAAAGTCCTTACTGATAGATACAAACTTACGGCCAGGTTCTGAAATCCTCAGAGCGAGTGGTCTTGATCAGATCTCTCACATGTTGAGGCCACGCTTTCTCTTCCACAATGTCCTCAAGAATTCGGCTGATTGCCGCCTTGTCCTTTTCCAGCAGATTCCAGTTCTCTTGCCCTCTGTCCGGAACGTCGGTTGTGATAAAATAACCAATCTCCTTGCCATGATAGTCGTTGGGTAAAATGGAAAATGTGCCATTTTTACCAAAAAACATGGTAGGTAAATGCATTCCATCCAGAGCGTTCCCGATTCGCGATCTTTGCGTATGGCCTAGAGCTACTAACAAACCACTATACCTGGCCGTTGATTCTGGATAGAGATACTGGCGAGCGAGCGAATGAATGCCATCTGCACCGATCAGAAAATCTGTCGAGACAATCTCGCCATCGGCAAAAGCGATCGTCACACTACCATTCTCCTCAGATATGCTCACGCACTTCTTGTTGAGATTGACGGTGATACCCTGCACTCGGACTTCCGCCAACAACGCGCGACGAACGATGTCTCGATTGATGCGCAAGCAGTGAAAGTGGTAATTGCTCAATCCGCCCCAGGTATGTGAGCCGAGATATTTGCCTGCGACATTGATCATGCGGACAGTGTCGTAGTTCCAGCCTTGTGTTCTCACTCGTCCGTAAATACCAACGTGGTCAAGCACGCGCAGCGCATTTGGTGAAAGGGCAATGTCTCCTCCTTTCCGGAACTCCTCGTCGCGCAGTTCGTATACCACACAAGGAACATCTTGTTTGCGCAGAAAGAGTGCGAGTGTCAGTCCCTGAGAAGGCATTAATGTTAAGAGACTGAAAGATCATTATACGGACACTCGGGGAGGGTTTACCGCAAGACCACCACCCAAAATCGTTATCGGTTTCACGTTTGAGGCCATGGATCCAACAACCTGACTTTGCGTGTCTACGAAGCCATTCGACCAAGGCCTTGCCTTATTATTGAAAAGTCTGAAATAGAGAATGTATGATTCTACGATTCATGCTCTGGACAGTACAAGGGGGTTTTGCATGCCGGGGACAAATTTCACCGAAGTGGAAGTGCCTCGCTCCACAAATGTCTTCGGCTTCGGTTGTCCGATAACTAGTGTTGCAGGTCTCTGGTCGACCACCGAGCTCGGCTAGGCTACAATGGTGCAAGATCCCGATCTACCACCGGTCTATGTAGCGTAGTGTTAGCTTGGAGCAAGAATCGCCCAAGCAAGATCATACTTGGAATGCTATCGCAAGTTTGAGTAATGTGGTTAGGCCTTGAGAATAGAGCACGAGTATTGGACAGGAGTCTTGGACAGCTTGAGCTTAATGGTTAACAAGACTAACTACCAAGTCAGGGAGTAAATCCCATAAAAGAGTGACGACCATGTATATGCATTCCTTACGCAGTCGTAGGCTTGCGGCCGTCGGATCCGTAACATAAAGATCGTGTTATCGCCATGCTTGATGGGCGATGGTGCCACATCAGGCGGCCACAAGGTCGACCTCACCCTTTCGCCGCCCTCCAATTCGGAACTCATCGTACGATGATCAGCTTGAACCAAGTTCTAGAGTCATCTGAGATTCCTACAGGCAAAAACGAGTTGACTCTGTCTCAACAACATTGAACTGGCTGCCTCCGAGGCTTACAAATTGCGAACTACCTCATTCCAGCTTGTAAGGATGCTTCTCCAGATAATCCTCGAATGTCGAGAGCTTGCCTCGCGCCTGCTCCGCAGCCCATTTCACCTTTTCCTCCGTTCCGGGGCCGTAATAACCATAGTCATTAATGTAGCCGAAATAGTGAACGAAGAGGGTAGCCACCATATCTGGCAGGCTCCTCGCAAACTCGTCATCCGAGACCTGCTTGAAGACAACGTTCTTGCCTGTGGACTTCGACAATGCCGTAGCCATCTCAGACAAAGTGTACAATCTGGTGGCAGCACATATCGTCTTGCCCTCATATTTATCCGGATCAGCGAGGATGGCGCCCACGAATTTTCCCCCATCACCGGTGATATCGATTAGAGGCATCGTCGTCTCCGGAGTCATGTTACGGGTGAAGACCCAGGTGTCCTTCTGGCTTGGATCCGGTCGTGGAGCAAGCATGGGCTGCGTAGCAAAGTTCTCCATGAATGATCCCGGACAGTAGAAGGAGCTTTTGAATGGGAGGCTTTTTATATATGCTTCGCCTTTCGCCTTGGCGTCAAAAGGCGCGACCGCTGTAAATTTATTGTTCGAAACGTCCCTGATTGATGGTAAAGTGCTGAAAATGAAGTATTGAACACCTTCTTCGACAGCAGTATCGGCGATCCCTTTGATAACTTGGAATTCGGCTTCGAGTGGGTCATCCACCCCAAACACAGGTGTAGTCATGGCGAACAAAGTATGTACACCTTGAAGAGCTTTCGCGAGAGATGCTCGTTCAGTTGCATCACCTTGAACAACTTCAACCTTTGCCTTGAGGGATTTGGCCTTATCCGAATCAACATTGCGAGTGATGGCGCGGACTTTCCACTCCTTCGAAAGTTCTGGGTCGTGGGCCACATAATCGACGACCCCAGAGCCTTGCTGGCCAGTGGCGCCAATGACTGCAAGTATTTTGCTCATGCTTTATACTGTGCAAACGTCAAGGATCTGGACGTTGTTGGAAATCTTCTACTGGCTCGATGTCGGAGGCTCAGAAAGTGTAGCTCTTCAAGAAATAAATATTTTATGTTCACTCGACGACCGTGGTAAGCAGCCAGTCCATAGAAATAGTGACGATGGTCGTGCATTGCATCGAGTCAGCAAAATGAACTGTAGTTAGTAAGCAACCAGGAAAGAGGCTTCGGAGCTCCTTTACATTGGGCTTTTCTGCTCCACAGAGAGTGAGAATAGCAATGATGAATAATCATATCGGCCTTCGGGCATCGGAAATCAATTTATTCTCTGACGGCACAAACTTGTCAAAACTTTCTGCCAGCAGTAAACCATGACCCAAATGAAGTGCTGCATCATCCACATTTTATCTTTCTCGAACCTCATCTCGATACTATTCCTCAGGCTCTGAGGAAAGCTGTATGGGAATAGTTAAAGGTTTGCCACGGCATGGGAGTGACTCGTATGCTTAGGCTGGCCCATCCAGAAATGCAACTCCGGTGTCTGGGTTTGTAATGCATTGTGTTCGTCTCTACTTTCAACACTATAGGACTCAAATGACATCTCATACTCTCAAATGGCCATACTATCGTAAACATATAGGTTACTTTGTCAATGACATGCTCGCTTCTGTCGTATCTGCATCTGCCTTGATATGCGTGGCACCTCCATCATTTTCTGGCCCAAGAACTGTGCTGAAACCTGATTTTGGGCTGCTTGCGTGGAACTTTTGACACAGTTCTGTGGGTGGGGGTTTCCCCCTCTCGTCTTCTGGTCTTTCACTGCCATCATTGTCTCGTTTCGCTTCCGTCTCAGTAGACGATTGGTCGTGGTATTTTTGAATGCGCGAACCTGCTGTTGGGCTGGAATTCTGTCTCATAAAATCAAAATATGTCATTTGCGATAGTGTTTCGACTATCTCTGCTGAGGAATGTGCCATCGCTGGTGGCTGGACCAGTTCTTCAAGGAGATCTCGTTCTTGATCGGTGATACGCAAACCGTCAAACAAGTGGCCAAACGGCCCCGAGCGGAATTGATCACACACCGATCCGGGAGTTGAAGGAATGTCGAAGCTATCATCTGAGCTATCAGGCGAATCGCAATCAGTATCGATCGTACTTGGAAAATTCATTGAGCTCCCAATGTTGAGTAGTGGTGGTGCTCCATCGAGTTGTGCTTCTGCAAAGTAGCTTAAAGGGAAGGGGCGTCGAGCTCCACGAGGTTGCGAAATATATGAGCCTCTGTGATTTCTTCGATTCCGTTGCCTGATTGATGAGATGCCTTCTCTGAGTGCCCGGGACTCCGCAACTGATTTGAGATGTGTCGCCCTCCAAGACGTTACATGCGCTGGATAAGCATACGATTTTCCATAACGGCGGAAAATTGTAGGACATCGTCCCGAATTAGGGCCCGCAGAGTGTGGCTTCCTCATCAAATCGTGCGCTATGTGGCCCGGGCTATCAATCTCTCCTGGAGGGAATAAGAGATGTAATAGAGACAACGCCTCTGCGTAAATTTTGAGTCCGGTAGGTATGCCACCAGATCTTCACAGCGAAGGAGTATAAAGCGAAAGTGGAAGCAGAATGAAGAGAGATTTTGATGGATATCCAAGGATACGCAGACCAAGAAGACTTTGGTGAATGACTTTGTTAGCCTCTTACCAAGGCATAGTATTAAGCTACTGGATTATCCCAGGCATTCTCGCCGGCTTTGAAACACAACTATCGCGCTCTGATATCAATCATCATGAATTTCTCGGTGTGATTGGGGGCTCTTTACTGAAGCTAGGTTTAGGCAACGCTTTGATAGGTGGGCGACGATCGCCGTACTATTGCGTCGCGTCAATGCTTCAAACACGACTTGACCGATGCGCTATTCTTCAAGCGCTGGTTGGAAGCAGCTTTTGCGTTCACTCTGATTTTGAGGGCCCTGGAAGCTGTGTAGTCGTGAGCCTTCGTGTTGATTGGAGGATGCCGAGCACGTCTGGAGGCGGATTCGGACGTCCGAAGTACCACGCTTTTATCACGCAATGCAACACCGAAGGTCGAAATCTCCACTTGCATGGATATGTCGTAAGCCTCGTAGGATGATCGTCTGTGAAATCCATAAGTGGCTAAAAAAGAAAAACCCGTGAAATGTTGTGGGTAGAATGAACCACAAAAAAGCTATGTCCCATCCAGCCCGTATTCCACCTGAATCGTCAGCTGCGGTGTTGAAATGGCTAGAGAGTATCAGCCATGGGTTGGGCGATTCGGTGTGAAGTTCAACTGTGGGCACAGTTCTCAAAATGCAGCTTCGCTCCCTAGCACCCTATCCTTAAGGATCGAGTGTTCCTAACGTTATTTAAGTCTATAGTGACTATCAGAACACATACAAATTTAAGTCTAAGCGTTACCAGCGTGACTTTCATTTCATGACCTTCATTACACTACTAAAATATTAGTCACTAGGAGGCTGGTTGTTACACACAGATGGCGAAGTCCCAATCGAGGCATCTCAAGCCTACGCAGACGATCACTGATAACACTGATGCCGATGGAAGTGCATGTCAAAGATGATAGATTCGAAAAAAGTCTTGCCTAGAGAAAATGATGAGTAGGCGAAGCGATATTTGCAGGTCGTCAAGAGACTCGGCAGGAGCAACAAGGTAGAAGACCTAATGGTGTCCAACGACTTTTCAGATTGCAGTGCGTCACGAACATCCTCCAATACACTAGTAACATGTTAGATTATCTGACCTATCCGGAAAGCTGCTTCGGTGCATTAGTGATCGAATATTCCTTATCCTGGTCGCGTGCTCGTGGTTACTATTTAGACAATGGAGAACATGTTAAGATAGCCGCTCAGATCTGTCGAGCCTGCCGACCCACAAACAGCTGCACCGGGTGTGAACGGAAAAGCAGACGCATCGCCGGTCGTCGGTTGGACAGACTCGGTGTCAAAGTCGAAATCCCCAGTGTTGTAGAATCCGTGAGAGGTGGAAAAAGAATGGTATACTGTGGGTCCTTGAAAATGATAGCCATGCAGGGGTAGCGGCAAAGCGTAACTTTGCTCATCGGGTGATTGACTCAAATGTGGTTCAAATAATTGTCCATAACTCGAGAGAGTGAGACTGGAGGCGTCTCCAAGAGCTTCAGCCCGCTCATCTGGGCATTCTCCTTGAGATTCCTGTGGACGTAACTCTCCTTCATCCACCACCATACCTCTTGAGGACTGAATATCTCTGTTCAATGTTGTGGAAGCGGGCGACGAGGATCGCTTGTTCATTTGTCGTATGCCCGAGCACAAGAGTTTCGGAACTTGACCGACAGCAACGGGAATGTCGCTAGAGAGCTCGGGAAAGCGCTCGAAAAAGTCATTTCCCATCGTCCAGCATTTGATGTCGTTGATCCTCTCGTCGAACAAGCGACTGGGCTTGTAGAGACCGGTTTCGAGATCGTGGGTGTAACAGTCCCGAAACTCAAACGGCCACAGTAACCGCAGCTGAGACTGGTACATGAAGAAGAAGTCGTTGCCACAGTACGTATCTTCGTTAGAGATAAAACGTTGGCGAAACGGCGGCCAGGCCCAGTAGTCGATTGCGTAGGTATGAGGAACGTGTTGCGAGGGGCGGTATAAGTACCACGGCGGGAGGCGATTGTACCGCTCCGCACTAGGTTGGGAGTGGAATTGTAAAAGCAAATGCATCGCTCTCAGCATCGCTAGGCGCTCAATTTTGGCTATTGGTCGAAATGTAGCCTCATCGATGCGGCGAAGCATCTGCAAAGAGGGATGCAGGCGGCCACAGTCTGCTACGTTGCCCCAACCCTCGACCATTGCACGGACGAGCACGTCCTCTGACTCGGCATCGTCCGCTGGCTGAACACTTTCTGCCCAGTCGAATCGCTCACTCAAGACGTCGCAAATGAATTTCCAGAAACTACCTTGCCAAAGTGCCGGCTGGCCTGGCTGACGGTCCAAGTGAGCATGACAGCAACAGGAAGATTGAGGATTGACCCAATCGTAGATGCGGGACGACTTAGTCGTGTGCTGACGACTGGTATTGGTAGATTGTACGAGAGCTTGATTTGTCAAGCGCGAGATATTCTGTTTGCTTGTTGCGATACTGGAGTGTGCTATGGATGGTTCAAACTCGCCAGTGGATGCCATGGCGATAAAGTTGGCTGGCGCCGGAAGGCTGGCTGGTATCGCTTCGATGTTGAGGAGAGCAGGCTGAGCGTTTGGTAGTGCTGGTAATCCATACTCCCCCGACGGACTCCTGGCGGAATCAGTCCCAGTTTTCGTGCCTCCTGATATCCACTGAAATTCCACAGTGGCATTACCTTGTGGTAGATCCGTCCCTGGTTTTGATAATCTTTGAAACATGAGCTTTTGAATATCTTTCAATGTTTTAGTCGCTAGGTTTCGTTCCTCCTCTACCCTTTTCAATTGCTCCAGCAAGGCTGCCACCTGCCCACTTGCATCTTGTCGCCGTAGGTCCACCACTAAGCTTTCAAGAGAAGCAATCCGGGAACGTTTACGCTCTCGGGCTTCTCGCTGACATCGCCGGTCGACTTCTCGCTTCTTCAAGCGTCGCAGAGAAACACTCTGGGTATCGATCTGATGTTCTGAATTGACATCGCAAGACTTCGGGCTCCCTATGGTTTCTACAGTGTCCATTTGTGATGGGTGCATGATAGCTGAACGCGAGAGATGATACAGTGCGCTTAGGGAGGGAAAGATAGCTTCATATCCAAGAAAACCAAGAAAGGGCACTGGGCTAAAAAGCGGGGTAATTAGGGCGGAGAGATGGAGCACCAATCCCGGTAGGGACAAAGAATTTGCCAGGAGATAGGCGAACTGATAAGAGTGTTGGCCCTGATACGGGTTGCGATAAGTCCCTGGCTGGGAGAAGGGCTCACGCTTGGTTGGAGGGTGTCTCCAGCTGGGACACCTCCGGATCCAGCGACTTGCAGTAGCACAAACCTAAAGTAAAGCTCAATCACTCCTCGCCAAACATTTAGAATGGCGCTAGGACCTTTCACCTGACATATAACGAAACACGATCACATTGAGTAAGGAGCACTCGGCAGGGAGGGGGGCTAATTCTGTTGTCAGATCCAAATCGACAAGATTGTTGTCGATCGGGCTTCTAGCTTTCTTCGGCGGGAGAACCTAGTTATTGCATTCTCAGTAACAAAGGGAACGGAATTGTCACGAGCATCTGGGTGAGAGCAATACAGAAAAAAGATGGTTCTTGATATCTCCAGTACTATAGTGCAATAAACACCCACAGCATCATCTAGGCTGGCAGCTCATCCCTGGTAATGACCCACAACTTCTTTGAGAACGGGCCTTTAGATCGCCAGGTAACGTGCATTCCTGATGTCAACCCGATCACATCGCCTGCCTTGAAGTTGTGTTTCTTCCCACTCTCCGTCTCGATCACCTCAACTTCTCCTTCCAAAAGCAAAATTGTCTCATCTCCGAGCACGCCGGTATAGGGAGTAGTCATAGTGCCATCAGGCTGGCAGTCTGATCCTGCTATACCTTTCCCAGAGCGCCAGATGCCGCTCATCATCGTTCCCGTAGAGCCCTTGGTACAGATGAAATACAGTTCACCCGCAACGAGGGGCCCTTCTTTGGGTTCCGTGAAATGATATTCAATCCAGTCTTTCGGGTTATCCGCAAGGTGATTAATCTGGAGTTCACTTTTGCTTTCGGAAACCGGTGATGTGCCATTCCAGATACACCAATATTTCTTGAAGAATGGTCCATCGATCTCCCATTTCACCTCGAGTCCTTTCGGGGAGCTAACAACGGTGCCAGGCTCGATCTGATAGCTCTGGCCGGTGGCCACGACTGTCAGTTTGGCGGTGCCATCGATCACGCAGGCCGTCTCGTCTCCCAACGGGGAGGAATAGATAAGACTATTGGAGCCATCCGGTTGACCACCTGGTGTGGTCGTGCCCGCCCTCCAGAAGCCTGCGGAGAGGTTGCCAGAGGCGCCGAAAGGACGAAAGACCGTGACTTCTCCGTGCACCTGCTTGCCATACTTAGGTTCCTCCCATTCAAAAGGAGCCCACTTGTCTGGAGACGGACATTGTACGCCGCCATGAACAACATGAGCTTGGGGCTGTGCCATTGTATCTTTCCTTACGTGAATGTCTGGAACTAAAATTTTCCGCTCTTGTGCAATATCTTGACCATCATCTCTCGAGCAAGAGCATCTTGCCTTTTTGTAATCCTATGATATCTCCAATGCCACAAGTTACCTGCATTTTAGCTATATTATGTCGATTCGATAATCTTGACGACTACCACGAGCCTTCGTGCGAATCGTGATATGCTGACTGCCGCATGTCACGTCAGCTAGAGCAAAAGCGGTTAGGCTACATAGTGGCCAGGACTTGGGACAATACTGTAGCATTGAAGTTTGATGCACTTACCGACCAATCAAGAGTCGCACCCTCCGAAGCTAATGATCCAGTCCCTGCACCTGACATCGACTCCTGCGATTCGAGTAGCGCGGCATCCCATGCGATAAGAGCAGGTCCAAACACATTGCCGTTTAAGTGCCTGTCAAACGGGGATCGACACAAAGGAATACCAGCTGAGAGCTGACGCTTTCTAAGCGACGAGTTGGCATGGGGCAATTACACATCTCTCTCTGGGCATCTGTCATGGGGACTATCCTAGGCCGAGTGAAAACGGTCGCAACAAGCTCCTCCGCAAACATTTCACTCGAATCGACTTCACTGATGCCGCATGCAGCTATCCGCAAGATGAGACTCTGGGTATCCGTTTCGGTGGACCTGCTAATGGTCCATGATGTCAAACACTCTCAATTTTCGACGATATAGGCCGCTCATCCCATGATGACCATGAAGCCCGTTTCATCTTCAAGCCACTTCATCGCCCTGCCTCTAGAAACATAAGGCCAGTTCATCTGATTGATTGATTGATTCTTCCCTCTGCAAATTCTCCAAACAAAACACACCATGCCAATCTATCTCAGCATGCAGCGCGTGCGCTTCTCCAGCCCGGACGCCTACGAAAAATTCAAAGTTCTCTTTGCCGGTACACGACGACACCTGATGGGACTTCCCGGCTTTCTTCACCTCACGTGGTGGGAGCATCCTGACGACCGAAACTGGTATAATGAATGCAGTTTTTGGACTAGCCGCGGCGCATTATACGATTGGCATAAGAACACTTACCACAAGCATTGCAAAGCCTGGGCGGCCAACGGCGCCATTATGGAAGACATCATCAATAACTTCGAGCTCGTTAGCACTCGACTACTTCGGATATGCCCCGTATGCAACGAGAGCCAGGATAAGAAGTATGATCTTGCCCAGGAGCAAGCCGTGTTGAACGAGCGGTGTCCCAAGTGCGGGTTTCATTTTCCTGTTCTAGAGGAAACACCCTCGAGCTTTGCGGTGTTCAAAGACGTGGTGCCCACTGAAGTGGTGGCGGGAAGTGGCGAACATGTTTAAAGGAGGACAAATAGAGAATATCAACATGCCCTGTTATGGCCGAAGTCCCCTTACCAGTGAGCCGTGAGACTGGGGGGAAGTCACTAAGGTTCAGTGATCAGGCGTGTATTTATGTTGGACTTCATAGCGACCATGCCGTTGGTTTGCCCATTTGTGGCGGAATACCTCGCATATCTGCCCTTTCTTCAGTCACCGTCCGTATGCGTGCGTCGTAGAACCAATTATCTTCACCCGTGGCTGCCGCTGGCCACCACCAGTGCTGCGATTTCGTGCCGCAGACCACCCCTGTCAGGTACATACAACTCCACCCACGAGAGACTGAGGACCGAGTCGAGTACGGCGTGAAAGAAGTCTAAGTAACGGTGGCTCATTTCATCACGTCGGCATTTCACCACGCCCGGACCTCGAATACATCTTCGAATCTTCTCAAGAGAACGTGGAGATTCGTGTTCGAGCAATATCCAGATGGAAAAGGAGACCGCAGATGACCAGAGCATTTTATGCGTAAAACAGTTTTACAATGACTTTGGTAGAAAAAGTATGGGGTCTCGAAAGCTGGAGATTTGCACTGGCTAAATAATGCTTCTAGGTCTTTGAGTACCATAATCATGGCTTTCCCAAAGGGCCAACGACATCGGCGGCAGTCATTTCGACCATGCAACCCTCAGGCCAGCGGTTGTGTGAGGACGTCGTTGCGTGGAAGCAACCGCCGTGAAGTCACTCCAAGTTCGAACGACACAACAAAAACTCCTCGCAAAGCTATCTGCGCTCCGTAACCAGCTATTTTTCTGTCTACCAGAGCGCGATATTGCCAATTTGCTTGTCAACATTTATTATGACCGAGTATCTTGGCTCGCCTTCCATCGGGACGAGTTTTGGGAGATATTTGCACTGCTATACAACGCACAGGGCCGGAGGAGGGTACGACTCCCTGTCGGATTTGTCAGTACCCAGCTCGCTATCTTGGCCATCGCTGTTGAACGTGTTACTAGACATAGATTAACACTGCTAAGGAAGCTAAATATAGACACGTAGCTGGTACCAGAAAACATTTTTTCGACACTAAAGACTTCGTGGAAGTAGTACAGACTTGCATTCTATTAGGCGCGCTATTATCTCCAGCGGGGAGATCCTTGTTTGGCGTGGCCACTTTGTGGTTGCGCCTTGCGGTTGACACACGCCCTCAACCTGCATCGAAACATACTAATGCACAATTTTGTAGACTCTGCTCTTATCTACACAAGGCTCCCCGAAGGACAATCGAGACTCGGAAGCACTGTTGGCGAGCCATCTACGAAATCGAAACATTCTGCTGTATATCCAGAGTGAACGTCTGCGGCGTTGGCTAGCGGCACACATGTTCGTGCAAAATCTCCAGAATATGCAGGAATTAGGCACCCACTAGCGAGCGAGGCACCTTGCAAGCGGTCGATTATATTGGGTGTACTGTAACTTCATACAAGGTGCCTTGAATCTCGTGTGAACGATGATACAGAGACATAGAGTAGAAATCCTATGTATGTACAGGCATACAGGAAAGAGGGTGTTATGCCTTTGGGAGCCCTCACGACTCCGGTAACTGCATTCAGAAGCTCCAAAGCGGCAAAGCAAGCATAACCGCACTTCCAATGTCAATATCCGTAGATGAAGATAATTTTGGGAACAGACCAGACTCGGAAAGCACCCCATCGGCTATTCGGATATTTGAATAAGGCTTCTTGAGGCGACCAAGTTGGTACGGAGGCACCTCCGTTGAGCATAAAATTGTGGAGACTAGCGTTATTCTCGAACGGAAGCTCCGCTCGCAGGATCGACGCCCCATTTCCTGTCGTTGTTGTGGAAGCAACGTAGCTAGCTAACAGGAACCTCTTGATCCATTAATTCGAGCCCGCTTCAACACGGGCAGGCGACAGGCTGTGAAAGATGCGCGGAAAAGTGGCGAAATGTGAGCCTTCTGGAACTTGAGCGCCGCATCCCCGGCCTCTAGAGGGCCGAGCGCAGAACGGTAAATAGTCGCGAAGCCGAACACATCATCCCAAGACGAACACTGGACCAACAATTCCTGGTGACCAAGCACGCAGGACCATCAGATACACCACAAACTAGCAGTACCGAAGTAAAAGAGGGAAAAGGGCCAGCGAAATCAGGGACGATGCCAACGACCAAGTTTACTACGCCGGAGCGCTATCAGTATCACAACGGTTTTCTGGCATACCATGAGTACTTATTCTCACACCCAAAACTTTCCGAGCATTGTACTTACATGTTGAAGGTCAGAGGCGGTGCCAGGTTCGTTGCCTCTAGGAGCCAATTCTCCTCAGAAGCCACCCTACGGCTTGTACGCAGAAAAGTTCTCCGGGACCGCGTTCACGGCTCCCAGGCAAGAGAATCTACAGTCTTGGCTCTACCGGATTTTGCCAGCGTCTGCACACGCACCGTTCAAGCCTTACACAAGCACCCGTTCTGCCGAGGACGAAGCACAAGATCACATTGTACACCAGCTACCGAATCAGCTCCGCTGGGATCCTTTCGATGTCGACGAAAGTGTCGACTGGGTTCGAGCCCGAAATGTCGTTGCGCGTGCGGGAGAAATCGCCCTGAAGACCGGGATCAGCATCTCGATCTACACGGCCGGCAGGGACATGGACGAGAACACCGCCTTCTACTCTGCCGATGGAGACTTCCTCATTGTCCCTCAGCACGGCGTCATGGACATCCAGTCCGAGATGGGGAGGCTCCTCGTCCGGCCCAACGAGATCTGTGTGATGCCTCGAGGCGTCAGGTATCGCGTGACCCTCCCCGAGGGTCCGATAAGAGGATACATACTCGAGCTCCACGAGGCCGGTCATCTTGAGCTGCCGGAACTGGGACCCATCGGCTCCAATGGACTGGCCAACGCGAGAGACTTTCAAGCCCCTCGGGCGGCTTTTGAAGAGGCCACAACGGGTACTACGGCGGCACCGTGGAACGTCATTGCCAAGTTCAACGACCGGCTCTTTGTGGCCCAACAGAACCACACTCCATTCGACGTCGTGGCGTGGCACGGAAGGTATTACCCGTACAAGTACGACCTTGGAAGGTTCAACACGATCGGGAGCATCTCCTTCGACCGTAAGTTGTCTCGTGCGCCCGGAAGACATTTAAGAAATAGAAGGGCGCAATCACGAGCTCGGCTGACCACATTACCCACTCGCAGACCCCGATCCCTCTATATTCACGGTTCTGACCGCGCCCTCATCTCGACCAGGTACCGCGGTGGCCGACTTTGTCATCTTCCCCCCACGCTGGCTGGTGCAAGAAGACACCTTTCGTCCTCCTTGGTACCATCGCAATACCATGTCGGAGTTCATGGGCCTCATTCATGGCGACTACGACGCAAAGATTGGAGGAGGCTTCAAGCCGGCAGGTGCGAGTCTACACAATATTATGAGCGCCCATGGACCGGACCGGGAAACCTTCGAGGCTGCGACGGACGCTCGATTGGGTCCACAGATGGTCGGCCAAGGCAGCATGGCCTTCATGTTCGAGAGTTGCTACATGGTTGGGGTGACGGGTTGGGGATTGGAAACGTGCCGCAAGGTCCAGGAAAACTACAATGCAGACAGCTGGGAGTCGCTGCGGCCTCGTTTCAAGGCCCCTTCTGGCAGCCTTTGAGGCCTGACGCACCGTTCAGTTGGTCGATTAGTATAGTACAGTACTTTACAGGTTCCACTTCTTGCCACGTAAAGGCTGCCACCTCTTCTTAATCACCCTCACCGTGCTTCCGTCGTCTTTTGATAGCGACTTGTCCTCAAACTCGTAATACTTGCTTCGTCTCCCGCGGTACGTGTGGTGGGTTCGATGTCAAATAGAGGGACTAGGTCTGACTTTGTTTCTAGCCTTCCCACCGCAAATACCAACCCTCGCCTAAGGCTACCAGAATCCTACGTACCTGGGGATGGATCTGACGTTCTGACTAACAAAAAAAATATGCCGCATGTGCAACAGGTTTCGGGTAGGGATGCTTCATTAAGATGCTTGCGCCGGAGGCGTTCCGCATGGGATACTCAAAGTCGGAGCAATGCCGCCTTGCCACTCTGTCCAACAAAAGGACTTCGTGTGCATGTTCGGATGTCTCCGCTGTCGAGCCACCACCCTCCGAACCTTATGGTATCACGTCCTTACGAGCATAGTGCCCAGGCCATGGAGCACGTTGCAAAATCTGAAGCCTTCTCCCGCGGAAGTCCACCGTAATGAGCCGACCGATCTCTTATGTCGACTTACTGGAATGAGCACCAGATGTTTACGTAGTATGTTTTGGGCAGGAATTCACGGAGCCATCGCCGTCTCTCCAAAGCAAGCATCGATATAGCACCGCCTCTCGTTTGCTCCTCGCACTTGGCCTTTCTTTTTCTATCCTAAGATACAAGTTTGAAAGTCACCAGCTGTAAGTCCCTCCAGTCGCGAGACTATGAAGAGAAAAACCCCTCGTCTACGAGCATTCATTCCGTCCATCATCCTGACAAACTAGACCAGCGGATGGCCATGGCGACTCCCTCGTGGCTCGACGTCCCTGAGGGATCCCATTTCTCCCTCGCAAACATCCCATTTGGCATCATCAGTCCACCCGACTCGACCGAGCGTCACGCGGCTGTCGCAGTGGGATCCCACGTCCTGGATCTGGCCATATTCTCTGCAGAAAACGGATTTGCAGCTCTGGAATCGTTCTCAGCCCATGCCAACAACGCTTTCTCCCTACCCGTCCTCAATTATTTTGCAGCACTGGGTCGCGCGGTGCACCGCGAAGTTCGCTCGTACCTCCGTAGCATGTTTCTCCAGGACTCGCCCCACGCGCAGATTCTCAAAAACAATGAGTCCCTACGGCGACGGTGTCTATTTCGGCTGGACGATGTCAGGACTCATGTCCCCATGAGCATTGGAGACTACACAGACTTCTACGCCGGCGCCAACCACGCATACAATGTCGGTGTGCTGTTCCGCGGGGCAAACAACGCGCTCCAGCCCAATTACACGCACCTGCCGGTCGGCTATCACGGCCGCGCCTCGTCCATCGTGATATCCGGGACGCCAGTGCGCCGGCCATGGGGCCAGGTCCTCCAGAATGCCGCATCGGACCCCAAAGAGCCGACATTCAGGCCCTGCGCCAAACTCGACTTCGAACTCGAACTCGCCGCCTTCGTCTGCACGGCGAACCCGCTTGGCCAGCCTGTGACACTGGCACAGGCCGAGGAGAACATCTTTGGCTACGTTTTGATGAACGACTGGTCGGCCCGCGACGTACAGGCGTGGGAGTACGTCCCGCTTGGGCCCTTTGGGTCGAAGAATTTCGCCACGACCATCAGCCCGTGGATCATTCTGGCCGACGCCCTCGAACCATTCCGCACCAAGGGGCTGGAGAACAAGTCGAGGCTGTCGCCGTATCTGGTCCCTAGCCGCGCGGACACGGCCTTGGACATTGATCTCCAGGTCGACCTTACAAGTAAGGGCTTTCCTGAACGCAGCGACTTTGTTCCCTTCCTACTGCTTCGCCCCTCCTTTTCCTTTGTCTCTTCCCCCTTTCTTTTTGTCTCCCGCCCAAGCAAATCTCGTGAAGAATGATATTGCGGCCCAGCAACCACACTACCATTTGAACAAGACAAAACGCTGACGAAATGCCCATTGTTCCTACCACAGCAACCGCCGGCCACCGGACGACGATCACGTGCACCAACGCAAAAAACCTACTCTGGTCCTTCCCGCAGATGCTGACGCACCACACTATCACGGGTTGTCCTCTCAACGTCGGCGACCTGCTCGGGTCGGGAACCATCAGCGGCTCGACGCCCGGGTCTCAAGGTAGTCTTCTCGAACAGAATCGCAACGGAACGGCGGCCATCGAGCTGAGAGGGGAGGAGCAGAGATTGTTCTTGCAAGACGGCGATACCATCACCATCACGGGATGTTGTGGCACTTCAGCTGGATCGCGGGATCTGGTGGGCTTTGGATCATGTCGTGGGACCATTGAAGCTGCGTTGTTGAAGACTCACTGAACCCGGAAGCTGGATGTCGAGATTTTGCGCACCGCATCCTAGCTAGGGCGGGAGATGGAGAGGGAGAGGGGGAAGAAAAGGGGGTGCATCGGCAATCGATAGAGTCATGTGTACGGAGTACGACTGCTAGGTTTCGAAAACTCTATCGTAGCAGGACATACTCAAGGAAGAAGACCAGTTGTATCTCTGCGTCTTCCTGCCCAGCACCTGTCCAAATCTCCACGTGGATCAGCTGTTGGGAACAAAGTACACCATTAACGTAGGCCGTAACGAGCCGCACAAGCTCAAAACAGCTGCTCAAGGGTCCGGGCAAACTCTTGTTGGCTTCCAAGCAGTGCACTCATTCCTTGGCCGTTGTTGCCCATGGGGCCGTCCCCGTCCGCATAGGTATGATCGTCGTCGCCCATTGCTAGACCCAGTCCGCTGTACTCTCCGGCAAGTGCAAACAAACTCGTCAACTCGCCACTCATCTGATAGCCGTCCTCGGGGCAGCAATCCAGTTCGTGGCCCGTGGCCGCGTGTGGCTGTTCAAGGCTGAAAGGATCGTCCATCTTCTGGTGGTGGTGAGCGCTTAAGCCCGCGACAGCTGCTGCTGCGGCCGCGGCGTCATGCGGTTGCGCGTCATGCCCAGGCTCCGAAACGCGGCGCGCGAGAAGTCCAATCTTGTCGCCAATCTCGCGGAGTCTACGTATCGTCTGCCACACTCGCTTGGCAATATACGAGCTGGTGTTGAATCCCTTAATGAGCTCAACCACGGTGCAGAATTCGTCTCGCGTCTGGTCGCAGAAGTCGGCTGGAGCGTGACATACGGCAAGAAAGATGACCGCCATAGCCTGGACTAGAAAGTAGTTGTAGCAGACTTGTTGCGTGCTGTAAAGATCCGAGACCTCGTTGATGCTAGAGATGGTTAGGATCGTGTCCTTGGCCACGTCGACTACCTCTTGGGCCAACTGTCGGTTCTCTCTGATGCTCGTGGCTGAGTACAGGATGGGTCGGTAGACTGACATTCTCGCCTGGTTCTTCCGCAGGTACATGAGAAATCGAAGCCGTCGCGCACCGCGTCTGGGAATTCGCTGCTCGACAAGAAGATCTTTACTAAATGTGAGCGACTCGGGGAGTTGAGAGTACCACTGTAAGATTTGGTAGTCCAAGAAGGCAACCGCGTCACGCCTGTCCTTATCGTCCGGTTTGTAAACCATGTTTTCGTGCCAAACTTTGCCGGCGATGTGGTTGAACTCGGTTATATGCTTCAGATAGGGAAATGCATTGTCCTGGCCATGTCAACAAAGTCCGACGTGTCAGACATGTGGTCCTAGACTTACCGGTCCGGGAAGGGAACGATCGAGATGTTGATCCTGCAAAGCAAACGGTAGCCCTGTGCCAAAACTGTAGCGCCGATCGAGAGCGTACACAACCCAGAAGTTTCTTACTGCTTCCAGGCGATCAGCCTCGTCGGGAAAGGATTTGGAGATATTCTCGCTGCGATGAAGCCCCATTTCTAAACACAGTCGCGCCGCGATCCCTATAAAACGCCATGCCTGTGCCTCCTCATCCTTCTGGAAATGAAAGTGGGCCTGCATTTCAACCCTTAGAGAGGTAGCAGGGAGTAAGACACAGAGATCCTTACCGTCAAAATGAAGAGAGTAACCGACCTGATACTAAGCGCACTCAGAATCTTTGCGTTGATGTTGTCTTGGATCGAGTCGTACAGCTGCTGGCTGAGATCGCTCTTCCCACTGTTCACCAGCAATAGCCCAATCGCCACCACCATTTTCACAATTATGACATCCTCATTGTCGAGCGGATCGGTTCCCTGAAAATACAACTGTCCTGATCCATCCGGGACGGAGATGGTGACATGTGTACATGTGAACAGGGCATGGACGTGTCTGAAAACCTTGGCCATGTCAATGTGGGGATACATGATCCCAATTTCCTCGTCATATACCTTGCACAGACGAATGGCTTCTGCTTGGTTGACAGCCCATAAAGGGTCGCCGGACAGTTCGATAGCCAAGGAAGATTTGGGTGGTGTGCACGTACTCCTCGTCTCGGGAAGAGGCCCCGGGTCGGACGGCGCGGGTGTGATTCCCATGCTCTGCAGGGTGGAATTAGCAATGTCGAAGCCGTACATGGAACTCGTAGGTCCATGGAATTGCGCGATATCTGTGTCCACCAAGCCTGGCGACCCAGCAGGGACCGTCCTCAGGGTTTTGGACATCGACGAAGCCACCAAGTGACCCTCGTTGCGGTCGTTGGGCACAGGAGGTGTGCTTGGGTCGCTGCGACTGTTGCTGAGGTCGTTGATCTGGTTCTGCAGGAACGCAATTTGATTTCTCATTTGGATGAATTCCCTTGAGAGCTGTCAGCCTGGATCCTTTGGGAATTAGGCGTCGGCGTTTGCTTACTCGTTATCCCGGATGGAGTTTGAGTAATAACTGCGAGTGAAGACGCAGTCGAGTGACAGGTTGTCGCATCGTTGGCAAGGTTTCGACCCGCTACACTTGACTTTGCGACGCTTGCATTCATTGCTAAGAGAAACAGTCAGCGTCCGGTCATGTACGCTGAGAGCAATTTCAGAGACCATGCAACCATGGTATACCCACGCCGTTTCGAGCGGACGCTGGTCGGCTCATCGCCATCCTCCAACCTTCTCTTTTCATCGACTCGATTTGGCTGGGGTGCCTGGGCTGTTCTGTCCGAGCTCCTACCCATCTTGATGATCAGCTTTGATGCGAAAAAGTAAGACTCGTAGGCGGTACGGAGCTCATATTCCTGGGAAGTAGCTGCGCAGAGCGGGGTAGCGAATGTAGTTCAAGTTCGCAAAAATCTGCTTGTTTTATTAAGCAGTCCGGCCACTCGTCCCGTAGAACCGAGGACCAAATGATTTGGTACGACTTAGTTACATTGTCACGTGGGTCTTCATCTGCGAGTAAATACTTGTATCCATCATGGTCGCGCGAGTTTCTCGCACGAGAAATATACAAGTCTCCCACGCGCACCTACCCACCGACCCGACGGAACCCTATCAGCCGACCTGACGAAACCCATCGATATGCTCTGAGCATTTCAGTACGATGAGTGTTGTCGCCTCGTTTTCGTCGCCTCGCGCTTAGAACTCATCGAATCTTGGCGCGATTTTTTCTACTAATGATCTTATTACACTAGTCGCTACTCATTTAACTCTTTTTTCCTCTTTATATCGAATGCGTCTGACGAACGAACGTCAATTGATATCGACGAATAAGGCCAATGCAGTAGTATCGCAGAAATGTCATTAATAGAGAACGGTAAGGCTTAGCTCTAAGGTGTATGTGATAAAGAGAGAGAACTCTAGGCTGTTAAGAGGACTAGGTCATATCGTAATAGGGAAGAGCATAGCGTAATAGGCCTTTATTAATAAATGACTAGCTAAGTGATAGCTAAATAAGAACTTAGAGAGCTTAAGGAGTGTTAGCTCGTAAGGGGGGTAAAGACCTCCTTATATTATACTGGGAAATAATGGAGGTGTCTCCTAGTAGCCATTAATTAGCTGTGGCAAGTATGTGTGTGGGACGGTATAAGTGTCTTAGTCATGGCATTAAAATGAGTAAATAGTACTAAGTAGGCACACACAGAGATATATAACGTGTAACTAGGCACCTAGGTAATGAGATAAGTCTTCTTTTCCTTGAGTATAAGTGCGTTATTCTTTAGTGACTATAAGCCTTAGGTACATAATACTAAATAAGTAACATAATTACCCTCAGAATAAGAGATAAGGAAGAGGTCTATAGCCTTACTTTAGCTAGACTATAAGCATATTTTACTAACCTTACTAGCCATTATTATTGGCCTTAGAAAAGTAAGGAAAATCTCGATGTGAAGGTACATAAGATATCTAGAATAGTTTACTAAGATATTATCGCTATTAGCTGTGGCACATTAGGTCCTTAACTATAGTGTGGCCAAAGTTAGCCGTTAAGGGTATCATTAGCCAGATTATCTATCTGATTACTCCTGTGGATTTCTTCCTAAAGTACTCCGTAGATAATGTAATAATAAAAATATATCATGGTAATATTTTGGCGTGGAGGGACTACTTTAATATCTTGATACCCTGGGCTCATGAACGCTGACAAGGAAAAGATGGCCTCCTAACATTTAACACTCATATGATACTTCTAATTCGCTCCATAGCAACCTCCTCATACTAGCCATCACCTTCTCTCTTCACGCTGCTGCTATCTAGCACAATCCTCACTCTGATCCCTTCTATCTTCAAACCTTAACAATCCACCCAAAATTCGATGTGGCTCGAACACAACGCACCTACAAGAATTCGTATAGGGCTTCACATCTATGGCGCAGCAGACTCATAGCGATTTCATCGACACTCACATTAGCTCTGACCTTCTGCTTTTTCTGCTCGCGGGATTCCACTAACGCGTCCCAGACCTCCGTCAGCAACTCGACTTTAATGTATGCGGGCCCCTCGAGTCTTAGGCTTGTGGTTTCTCGTGCCTCGGCTCCCTATGGGGCGGTGAAGAGATTGCATCTTGTCCATGTGATGATTCGGTCCGGTGAGGGTTATTTTAATCTCTATGAATCAGTAGCAAGCATAGCTACTAAGCTTACATTGGCGTAGGTATTTCACGGCTATAATACAATTTGCAGCTCCGCGAATCATTGTGACGCGATCTGATTTGCGGCTACATATCCAAACACAGTTCCAGGGCCTATAGAAGAACCGCCCCCGGGATAGGTACCGCGCCAGATGGAATTATTGTCATTGCCGGAGGCATAGAGACCTGGCACGGGGCTTCCAGCCTTGTCGAGAACTTGAGCATATTCATTGGTCTCCAAACCGTGAAGCGTGCTCGCATTGCCTGGATATAACTTCACAGCATAAAAGGGCGCCTGATCACAGGGTCGTAGGTTCGGGTTCGGCTTGTTCTCGAGATCTCCAAACATATTGTCCCATAACCGTTCACCCCGGTGGAAGTCGGGATCTTCCCCTTTAATAGCATATTTGTTGAACCTCCGCACCGTTGCCGTTAAGTTGTCGACAGGAAGGTGAAGCTTTTTCGCCAGCTCAGGGATTGTCGGAGCCGACACCCAATATCGTTGCGAGAGTGTCCTGCTAAGGAGGTAGGGAGCAGGTAATTGAAACCCGAGGCCGTACTTTCGCAAGAAACGCCTGTCGACGATGCAATAACAGTGGTCCATACTTAATGCACGCATTTCTTGCCCAAATTGGTGGTATCCTTCACTCTCGTTAATGAATCGTTTTCCATGGACATCCACTATAATCGAGCCGGGCTTGCTGCGATCCTGACCAAAGTGAGGAAATAGTCGAACCGGTCCCGTTTTGGGACGGTACGTTGAAATCGGTACATAAAGCGCGCTGTCAGCAATTGGCTTTGACAAGGTGCCGCCGACGTCGGTGGCAATGCGTATGCCGTCTCCCAAATTGCTTGCGGGGGACATGCAGTATTCACGCGGGCCATATAAGTGCGCCTGTCCTGCCCGTCCGAAGCCTCCACTGGCCAGGACGATGCCCTTACTCGCGCGCACACGGACGGAGCCTTGGGCCTTGCGGTCGATGACGATTCCTGTAGCTCGGCCGCCGTCCATGATGATTTTGGTGGCGGGTGAGTTGTTCCATAGCTCGCCTTTCACTTGTTGTAGCGTATATATCAAACTGCCGATCATTGCATTACCATTGGCGAGGAAAGTCCCTTTCCCATGGCGTATTCTGTCTCTCCAGTACCGTAGCAGCTTGCTCACGACATGGATGAAACTTCCAAGGCTTGCGAAAGGATGTGTCATCATTGGAATCTCTTCCGCAGAGACTTGCATCGAGTCGAAGGCTTTCCAACCTTGCAATGTGTATCGTATGTCCTGAACCGTCCGACCAAGCTTACGACCATCGAAAGACTTGGGCAGAAGCATTCGTCCCGGAACTGCTCCCTCGGCGGAACTGTAGAAATCAACCATAGGCACTCCCGTCCATCCAAGCGCTGTTTCGTCTTCAAGCCACTTGGCCATTTTCGGGGCATTTTCTAGGAAGCTCGCGACTGTTCGTTCATCATAAAGCTCTCCCATCATCCCACGGATGTATTTTTCGGCCTTCTCTTTGCTGTCTGAAAACCCTAGACTCGGTTGAAGATGATTCGCAGGAATCCATGCGCCGCCTCCAGAGAAGGCCGTAGTGCCTCCAAACCACCTTGATTTCTCAGTCACCAGAACACTAAGCCCATGTTTCTTGGCCGCCGTGACAGCAGCCACTAACGCGGCACCACCAGAGCCGACTACTACCACATCATATGTTGTGTCAAAGTGCGAACTCTTACAAGCAACCATCAGCAAGTCAGCATATCAAGCGATCGTCTGCTACTTGCCTTGCTGTCCACCACAGTGGCCAGCTTCCGCCTGTGTGTATTGTGACCTGTAGTACTTCCAGCCTTCCTGTGGATCGTTGAACAGTTGATCCCAAAAGTCGTAGTCAATTGGCGCATAGATGCCATTCTAGGCATCATCATAAAAGAAGTGTTAACGTGAGACCACGAAAAATTATCAATATGTACTCGAGTGCCTTCTGCTTCGTGTCTTACAAGCAGGAAACCGCGTTGTATTCTAGACTGCTCCGCACTTGCATGTAGTTATTGCGGTAATTATGTGGCACGTGCAAATCAGGGATGGATCTATACGCTTGTCCCGAATCAAACGGAAGGCGTCGTACGCTCAAGTTGGAATTCTGAGCCTAAAGTGATCCACGAGCCTCGCAGAGGGTCGTCTGTAGAGCTGTCAGATCTTTGACGTTGTCGAATCGCGTCAGCGAACGTCTTACTTGATGGCACCAAAACTAACCATCCTGGGGCGGACACCGGATTTGACGGCAACTCAGCACTTAGGACGGAAGATTGCTTACCGCTGCATGCGGCACAAGCAGAGAAGCAGAGAATCACGTTGATTGGTTTTGGGACTATCCCATGGCCGCGGTTGACGCAGTGGCCTTTGCAGGAGAGTTAAGGACAGTGTTTGAGTAATTCGAACTTCTTTTCTAGTCGAAAATATGACTCATTCATTACGAAATGACAAGCTATCGCCTATGGAGTAGCCGAAGACTGTCCATACTTGATATCAAGGCCTTTCAGCTTCCCCTCCTTGCGCCAATTGTCGAGGATCCTAAAGAAAGTCGAGCCGCCAGCTAAGAAAGGCTGCGATTTCGTTAGCTTATTGTCAATCTTGCCTTCGTCGCCATAGTATCCGGGAGTACATGAACGTAGAAACTCAATACGAGCTCCCCCAGCCTTGATGCACTCCTCGACCCATGCATCTGCTGCTTCTTGAGTCGGCTCTAGCTCTTTTATGCTACTGACCCGAGCTTCGGTTATGATGTGGACAATGTGCTTATTCATTTCGAATGAATTATGAGTCCAATTGGGCGACGAGCCGGACTGGTGAATGGAAACCAGACCCATATTTGGAAATCCGTTCACTCCCCAGCCGTGAAACGTCGTGACGCCATCCTTGAACTTCTCCGAAAGGCTTACACCTCCTCGACCGTAGATCTGCGCTCCCGCACGGGCGCTGAAGTCGGTAGCCCACTCAAAACCCGTGGCGTAGATGACGCAGTCGAGTTCGTACTTAGTGCCGTTCGCAACGAGGCCTTTGTCGTACACCTGCTCGACTCCTTTCCCTTCAGTGTCGATCAGATGGACATTCGCTTTGTTGAAAGCTTGCAAGTATTCGTCGTGGAAGCACGGGCGCTTGCAGAACTGGTTGTACCATGGCTTAAGTGCTTCTCGGGTCTTTGGGTCTTTGACTGAGGCATCGACTCTACTCCGTATAGATTGCATCTTTTGCAGATCGGCCAGTTGCATTTTCGCCTTCATCGCCCCGGGGTCTTCGATGCTCTCGCCTCCTCCAAGGAATCCAGGCAGGTTGCGTAGGACGTCTGTCCAGCCGTCGTTCACCAGGTCTTCTTCAGCGTGTCCGCCGTTGACGAGAGTGGTGAAATTTACCTGTCTTGCCTCTTGCCACCCAGGTTTCAGAGATCTCGCCCATTCCTCGTCTGTGGACCGATTATTGCGGTAATCGATTGAACTGGGCGTACGTTGGAACACGTACAATTCTTTGGCCCATTCCGCCAGGCGTGGGACAAGCTGGACACCTGTGGCACCCGTGCCAATAATGCCGACGCGTTTGTCGGCGAGGCCTGTAAGATCTGGCTGCTCTGGGGTACCACCAGAATACTTCCAATCCCATCGGCAGCTGTGGAAGGTCTTCCCCTTAAAACTCTCGATGCCGGGAATGCCAGGGAACTTGGGTAGCTGGAAGGGTCCTGGAGCAGGGATAATCCACTTCGCCTGAATATCGTCGTCTCGACTGGTTTCCACTCTCCAGAGGCCGCACTCATCATTCCAACTTAATTTGACGGCTTCTGTTTGGAACAGAGTCTTGGAATACACGTCGTACTTCTTCGCAAGGGCTTCAGCATGGGCTCGAATTTCGTAGCCATATGCATATTTCAAGCTCGGGAAATAGTTGACAGACTCTAGCATAGGCATATAGATGTACGATTCAATGTCGTATTGCACGCCTGGGTACCGGTTCCAGTACCTGAAGTGTGAAAGTCAGATGTTTTCATGGGCAGAAGGGAGGTTGTTCACTGACCATGTGCCACCGACTCCGTCGCCCTTTTCAATTACGCAAACATCCGTTATACCTTTCTCACGTAGAGAAGCCACCAGCCCAATACCAGTGTAGCCGGCGCCAATGACGACAACTTCATACTTGGCCTTGACGGGGTTGCGGTTGAAATCTGGGCGAGCATACAGGTCGGTGAGAAAACTTTTGAAATAGTCCGAGCTCCGTGTGGTGTTGTATTGAGAAATGTTGTCTGGTCGGAGCCTCCGCCCCCTTTCCTCATCATACTTCTTGACTATTGCGTCTGGATCAAAGTCCAGTTTCAGGTTGGCTTCTTCAGCATAAGTCTTGAGGCTTTTGATCGGATTTTGAGGGGTGTCCACTAATAGACCCGTTGGCTCGGTCATTATGATGAACGAGTATTGTAAGCTACTTTCTTGGAAGCCCGAGAGATGGCTATCTTCCACACTGGTCGTGTTACAGGCTTGGGAAGATATATTCAGACCTACTCACGTACATGAACGACTATCGTAATGTGGAATAAATCTTAATTTCCCAGTCCCTTCTTCGTCAACATTCTAGCCGCCGTTGGACCGGTTATAATAGGCAAGCTTCGGGAATCAGCCTGGTGTGAGCCCGGATAGAACTGCGAATCGGATTCAATATAAAGAGCCACGGATGAGCTCGGTGGGCCCACTCATAATGTCAGTCGCCTCCTTGTGCCACTCCGGTGCTGTTCCATGAGTTATTCTCAATAGATTTACACCCCCTGAGCTTAAAGTTGTCAGTCTATAGGTCACGAGAGATCGATGCTCAATGACAAATGCCCGTAAGTAGGTTCACCTCCAGCAAGTGCTAAGCGCATGGTGCAAATCCAGACCGACAAAAAAGAGATCCATCGTGTAATTTCCAGGGAGCCCGCTATCTGGTGTTTAGAGCCCTAGCTCTTTTCCTGCCGAGGAGATCAGTATCCGATCCCGAACAGGTAACGGCCCTATGGCCGAAAGCTCAATGCTTCATCTCGCTAGAAGTACCCTGGCTACTGTCAAGAAGTTCAGAGGTCTATTACTCCCACTCTCATTTCGATAAAATCTTGTTATCTATGTGAGATCAATTGACAAAACTCCGCCCTCAATTAGACTTCAAGGTTTTCTTTCTGCTTAATCACATCTTCTGAAGAACAACCCCGCGAAGAAGGCTGTAATTACAGCTTTGTTCCAACTGTCGCGAATCGAAAGCATGATGGCGCGAGTACAATCTGTGGCAGGGGAGAGCGTGTCTTCGCAGCCTGCAGAAGTTCTAAGCCGTTCCACTGTCCTTATCATTGGGGCTGGACCGGTGGGCTTGTGTCTCGCTCGGGTTCTAGCTGAATATGATGTCAAGTCAGTTGTGCTTGAGAGAAATGGGACGACGACCCGGTCAGCTGTGTTCCAACTCGCCTCAAATCTTGCAATTACTGACAATATCCTCGCTAGATGGCCTAAAATGGATTTGACCAACTCTCGATCCATGGAGCTGTTTCGAAGGTTGGGACTTGCTCAAGATCTTCGAAGTCAAGGTGAGTTTTAATACTGCACACTCGATATCATGATTCACGATGTATTAATCGTTTCTCAGGCGTTGCTTCCCACATAAAGTGTCCCGTCCTTATTTCGACCGGCTTGCACATGGATCAGTGTGTTACAAAATGGGACCATCCAAGTGTAGACGAAAAACGAGTCCGCATCGCACAAAAAAATGATGGCACAATGCCCCTAGAGCCATATCAAAGGTTGTCACAGGTTTACTTTGAGAAGTGGCTACGAGGTCTCTGCGATCAGAACCCCAACGTCGAAGTGCGCTACAACCAAAAATTTGAATCCCTTCAGGAATGTGATGGTGGGGTGAAAGCAGCAACAACAGACATCGTCACGGGAGAGAAGAAGACGATCAACGCCCGTTACGTCGTTGGGTGTGACGGTGCTTCGAGCAGGGTACGACGAGGCCTGGACATCCCTTTGGATGGTGGGCCAATGTACGTCACTTTGAGCCTTTTTCACACATAAAATGTCCTAACCACACCACTGGCAGACCGCGTTATGCACTCCTGGTGCATTTTAGATCAAGAGACTTGACCCGTCTTCACAAACAAGGCCAATTTTGGCACATCTTTTTCATTGGCCAGACCGGCTTGGGTGCCGCCATTGTTGCCCAGAATGAGGTAGACATATGGACGGTCCACCAATTTCTTCCGCTTGAAAAAGACCCTGATACAATTGATTCGTACGAGTGCGTATACACTGCTTTGGGCGCTCTTCACGGACGGTATGAAATCAAGATAGATGAGATCTTGGTGCGGTCGATATTCCGGCCAAATATTGCCATTGCACGCCAGTACTCAAGCATGAACAGGAAGGTATATCTTGTAAGTCACTCCGTATATGCTATTGATCTTTCGAACTTCATACGGCGATAGTCCCAAGTCGCTACAATAGACTCTAATCCACTCTGCAGGCCGGGGATGCGGCTCACCAAAACATTCCTACTGGAGGCTATGGTATGAACATGGGAATATCGGATGCTTACGAGCTCGGCTGGAAGCTTGCAACGGTCGTTAACGGCTACGCCCATCCGGACCTGCTCAGGTCATACGAAGAAGAGCGTCGCCCTGTAGCCCTTTCAAGCATCGAACGCTCGGGGGTCCATATGAGAGTCCACAATTCGGTTGCAGAAATCACGCAGGGAAGACCAGAAAAGTTGGATGAGAAGTCCGAGGAGGGCACAAGGGCACGACAGCTCGTTTCCGACCACTACCAACTCAACGACGGGGAGAACCGAGATCTCGGTATTGAAATGGGCTACAGATACAAATCGTGCGTCATCGTTCCCGATTTGGCCCAAGAGCCGCCGTGGAGCCCCAGGGAACTGGTTGCGAGTACATGGTCCGGGATTCGAGCACCACATGTTTTTCTTCGCGATGGGACCCCCATATTCGATCTTTACGGAAAGTATTTCACACTTTTTGAATTCTCAGACGGAACCGATGTTGGGGCTGGTTACCTTATTGAAGCATCAGAGAAGCTGTGGGTACCCATGAAGCACGTAGTCTTGAAGAACGAAGACCACGCACACCGGATCTGGGAGAAGCGCTTGGTCCTCGTCCGTGTCGATGGTCACGTTTCATGGCGAGCAGATAAGCTCCAGGACGCTGAGGCGGCCATTCAAATCATTCGGACAATCTCCGGCAAGAGCACTAGCTACCAGGCGGAAATGAAAAATGGAGATTCACATGTGGTGCCAGAAGCATTCACCTCCACAGTTGACAACTCAACACAGCGGGCCGAGTTTCAGATGGAGAAGATTGGGGAATTTCAACAGTAAACCTGGTCTGATAAATCTCAAAGGTTACAAGAGTCAGCAAAGGGAGGCTAGAGGCAAACATGTCTATCAACTCCGAAAAATGCTAGGAATATGTTGCGACGAGTCATGACAAAGGTGAGAGGAGTGTGTGTTGGCCAGACTCGAAGCCAACACGCGAGGAAGATCTTCATGTTTGCGACCAGAATGTATTTGGAATACCTCATGCCACTCTCCTTCGAAAGTGTGGGCACAAAATTATCGATATGTTCATGTTTGTGCATTTCTAAAACCATACTACTTGCACAGAATGCTCAAGTTCAAATGATGTCTTGTGTCGGGATTTTCGGGGAATACGGGGTATGAAATGTCCGAAGTGGCTGGGATTCCTGGTGTTAACATAGAGCTATGTGGTGGTCTTGTAACCATGCAGCGAGAAAGCCTCAATGGTAGAAAAGGCGTCCAATTTCCTCACTCCCTCCGCATAGTTCAGATTTCGCGGTCAAAAGACCTAGAAGATTGCCAGAGCATTAGGATAGCATCCAGCAGCACCTGATCAACAAATTTAACAAGTCATACAAACACAACACGAACAATATAGTTCTCACCTGGGATATTTGGGGGAGAGCTAGAGAAGAAGAATTCGTAGCGTCCGTACTTTTTGCAAGTTTGAGAGAGTTTCTCCAGATCGAAGAGTTCCCCAATACTCAGGCCCCACAAAGGAATCAATATCTGATGGAAAATTTTGCCCGCGGGCTGTGGCATCGCCTCAAAGCCAGGGCTATCGCCTGCCAGGATGCTGAAATAATTGTCGTGGAGAAAGTCCAGCATTTCGTCGGTCTGCTCAATGCCAGGATTGCCGAACTCCCATGGGCCTGTTTCTGACAGGCTCTTTCGTTGATCAAAATCCAATGCATTATACTTGTGTATATAGCCGGAGCGGATAATCAGAATGTCCCCGTACTTGAACTCCACATTTTGTGCCTTCGCACAGTCCATAATATCTTGCACAGAGATATTGTGGTGGCCGTGTGGGTCATACGATCCGTTCTTGAAATCCCAGATGTCGATGAGTACACCTCGACCAACTACTCTGCATCAGCTACTAGCGCCACTGAATGGGCAGTATCGTCAACCCTACCTATACCTGTGTCTGCCCAAGCCTGAAGGCCAAGCCGATTGCTGGTTTCGACGTCATGCTGCGTGACCTGACAGAAGATAGTCAGCTGAGTTCCCTCTTGCATTGAAACCAGGCCTCACGTTGTTGTAGTACGTTCGTACACCATTATGATTTATACTGATCTGCCATGGTTAATCTACCACCCTAATCGATTTCAGGTCGCCGGAGACAATGTCTTACATGTCGCAAACCGTCCCACTACCCTTTTAGTGAGCTCATATCTAACTGGAAATTGACTTCAGTGTGTTTACCTGTGAACTACATTGAGAATTCATCTCAAAGATATCATCATTTCCAAATCCAAGGACCGATTTGAGCGTATGTTTGAACGGCTCTCGCCCAAGCACCGGCGGATCTGGGAGATTGATGGGCCAGCTGTCGTGGAAGTGTTAGTTATGCGACAGATCAATCGTTGTGCTGCATGCAGTTTCATCTATAGAGTTCACGTACTTCATGCTGACAACTTCACCCGTCTCAATCAGCTTGGCCGCCGCAGCGGTACGTTCAGGAGTCAGCATATTGACGCGACCGACCTATTTCAATTGTTAGTAACATAGTTGTCATGCTGGCTGACGAATCGCATACATCATCGTCATTGCCCCAGAACCAAGCTGCTCCTTCGGGCGCACCTGGTATTGCAGGCAGCTCAGACCGCTTGGGCAGACTGCTGGACTTGGGGTCGAACGTGACTCGAGTCCTCAACAGAAGACCAAAGGCATGATCAGGACCAGCCTTATATACTTCCTACCGCCGAAGCCTCTGCCCAGAACGATCAGGAAGACTCGTCGCCGACGACAGGATCCCCCTACTCTTCGTCCCCAAGATCGTACGATGGGTCTGGAATAGGCTCGCTGCCATCGCTCACTCAGGCGACCACCACGACGACCGAAATGAACTCTGACATGAACGTAGATGGCCCCCGACAAGATATACACCAGCCGTCGACAGTATCATCTCAGACGACAGACCTTGACAGTATGAGCGCAACGCCAGCAATGTCCAATCCTGGTTACGGAGTCGATGTCGAGTCTTATCTGAACGTCGATGCCTTTCTGGACACAAACTTCTGCGGCACGTCTGATGTGTCAGGGACTTGGGAAAAGTTTACTGATACAATGCTATTCAAGAATCACCATGGTCAAATCAACGGGCCATCGTTTTCTGAACAGCAAACAATTCTAGCCACGAAAGGAGAAAGTTATCTCTCTCCGTGGCCTGGTTCGTTGGCTGCCATTTTTTTCCTCGATTCCTATAGTCTGACATCTCGAAACCTTTTGGAGAGGGCTTCACAGCGGGCGGATTATCCTTGTATATTTCCGTGGCTGTAGAGAGGGACGCTGGCGTTGCGCGGAATTTTGTATTCTCAAGCTCTCACTATGCTATCATACTACAGTGCTCTTTTGAAATGGTCAGATGACACTGGACATTTTGGACCTATAGACTGGACTTGTTCTGCAACATCCTCCCACGTCATATGTGATGCGAAAAGGGCTTCTTTCCCCGCACTCATACGGATACTCTGTTCAAGTGCTCGTGCTCGTACTCGTACTAATCCATTCGAGTTCAATAGTCTCGAAGGGCTTCACGTACAGTGGACAAGTCAGAGGCAAACGGTGATTTTCTCCGGGTTGTGGAGTCTCTTCCTTTTCCCGTTCTCCCCTCTGCGGATGGGACGGCTAAAGGCGAATTCTCTTGATCATGTTTTACTTCAGAACCATGCCCCACCAACCTTTCTCGAATGACCAATAACTGCGCGAACGCTTTGACCAAAGATCCCAGAGCGTTACGAAGAGCTACAGTAGACGGTGCAATGCCACAATTATTGGCCACTTAATGATGGCGCAGCACATCCGCTATTCCCGAGGTTTGTGAACGCATGAGTCATCTGTCTCCGAGCTAACCTGCCCAGATCCGGCATTCATTCGTCACGAAGCAACACAGAGCTGCCACAGCGGTTTCCACTGTTCCAGTGTCGTTGGCGGTGACACCATCCCCCTGAGCGAACCTACCTGCAGTAGCGACAGTGCACACATCCAAGAGGTCGCCAGGCGCTTCAGATGTCTGGCAGACGATGTCTTCCACGGTCAGCTCATGCGCAAGCGATATCATGCTCACACGGCCGCTCACAATTCTCCCAGGGACTGGAGCGATCTTACCGTGCTGTCTGGAATGAAGACTTTAACGGTATCTTCGTTCTCGCTCAGGATACCAGGAACCTCCATTCGCGACGATCTAGGCTACACACCTCGTCGAGAAGGCTCATCGGGTGACCATCAAAAGCAAAACTCAGGGGCGGTTCGATGCGAGGAAGCTTGAAGACATGGTCGAAGTGGTTCAAAAGAGGGAGCTGCGCGAAGATGCACTATTAAAGAGCACCGGGAATAAGACATGTAAATTGTGCGGTAACAGACAGACTGGTGTTGATACTGCTATACTAGCAATGGCAGATTCGTATGTGTCACGAGCAAGGTGACCGGTAAGACGATGTGCTTGACGAGTTACAAGACACGGCAATCGCGACCTTCTGAACACAGCTACGATTGGAGAGGCATGTCAGGCCAGGTCGATGGCGTCTTCGTTGTTCGAGCCCATCACTACGAGGCTGTGGCGAAGAATTTGTGGCTGCTGGTTCAATGTGACACGAGGATTAGACGTGATCGGGTTGGAAGAGTCGAAGAAGAAGAAAAGGATCGCAGCCGTACGTGACCTTGCAAGAAGTGTGGAAGCAGATGATGGCGTGTGCGGATCGAGTGTCGAGGAAACAATATTAGGCTTGTCCTGCCAACTATCATCCTTTTTAAGTATCATAGCTGATGTATCCGGTATACTGTCTCGTCGGAGTACCTTGTTCCCTTTAGTCGTCGAGACTGGCCTAGCTGGGTCAGGTCCTAATCCGTCGACGACTCCAGCGTTGCACGCTTGATACATCTCAACGCCGAAGCGACTAAGATTCACTCATTGTTCATTGGATTCATGTTGCTTTTCCGATCAGCGTCGCCTTGTACTCATTTTGATTCTCAAATGCTATGTCTAAGGGAGTCTTGCTCATAAGTCAGGTGCAGCTTATAGGAGTTCTTGGAGAGGCCAGATGTATCGAGTATACATGTATCAATAGGTGCATGCGCCTTGCTGGACACGTCTCTATCGTGGATCTCTCCGCCAGAGGCCGTCTAGGTCGATCAATGCAAGAACCAAGAAAATCGACTCTTGCTCATGGTCCTGCCTTTTCAGTTCTCAGTCACGAGGCTACCATCGAATCAAACCCCAAGAGTGGTTGGCTAGTATATCGCTCTTCCGTAGGATGCCAATTACTGCTTTTTGTTCCTTGACATTATTCACGTCATCATTTCCAAAACTGCTAAGTTATTACATGTAGCCTTTGCGATCTCAGATGTTTAGATCAATTTGGGACTGATCAGACAATCAGAGGTCCAACGCTGTCGAAACAACGACTATTTGCCAACCCCGCTCAAATGTGCGAAGGGCCCGCGCTGAAGGGCAGGAAACTCAAATTTGGAGATGAGGCAGGACCATGGCATATCCACGGCCGACGGTGACAACATTGACAACAGGAACGAAACATCGTCAGCAGAAGAGAAGCATGCCTTTGCAAATCTACTCGATGCAAACACTCTTGCCAAAACTACTTGCAGCTATATGCCTTCCCTGTATTGAAAACCAGGGGCTTCATTCTGCCGGTCACAGCATATCGTTATCAGGGCGGCCTCAGAAGACTGCGGGCAGAAAAGCTTTCATAGGAGTCTGTCACGCTGTGAATGTGGTCTTTCCAACTGATATCGATGACAGAGTTACAAATATGCATGACTCGAGCCTCGCGAGGCTTGCAAGGGCGGTGAGAAGAGTTGTTAAATGACTTCCGTCGTCCCCACTGTTCCTGATACAGACATGTGTTGGGGGCTTCCGTAAGAGGTGGTGATTCCGACTCGTCATCCCTCATCGGCCTTCCAACGAAATCTTTTCCCCACTCATTCTGCAGACGTTACGGTAACACCGAAGGAAAGACGACAACAGAATGTATCTCCGCGACCTAACGAGCCCATTAAACGTGGCAGAAAACGACGATATAGAAGTGAAGCTAATTTTGACTCCTCGGTTTCTCGTTGAGCGTGTGTGGAAGTGGTCACCAACAAAACGCCGACCCTCATGCATTAAACGCTTAATGAAGACTCTGCCTCGAGTTTCCGCGGAAGGTAAGACTAACTTCACAAGTTAGGCTTTAAGCTCGGAGCTCCTATTAGAGCGGGGATTCATAAGTCCGCCCACGAATTAGATAGTGAGCAGACTCTCTTTAATCATGACGCGGATTTAGACTACGAGGATAAGACTAAACCTAATTTTACCTTAGTTAAGTCCTCCCTAAGTCTAGTCACATAGGTATATATTCATAAGCCCATGAATAGCCACCGCGAGTAAAAGTAGAAGCGACACCATAATGAGTTAAAAATTATGAGTGTCTAACCTATAATAGCTACTAACACTACCTTTATGACCGCCATTATTAACATTCCGGCGGACCTTTAGGACTTCTTTTACTTATCTACAGCTTAGGCCTTTAAATATGGTGTGCACCTAAATAACCTAGCTAATATTATTCTTAAGTCACTAGCTAATTATTACTGGCTTCTTATAGCCATGATATCGCGACCTACTAATAATATAAATAATCTAAGATAAAGCTAAGCTAGGAGGAGAGAAAGATATTTACCTAATCTAGATATAAGTAGTGACTTCTGCCCTAGCGAAAGTGAAACGCTTTCGTAGCTAACGAAGCGAGACCATTAGATAGTAGATAAGGATAAAAACTTAACGGAATGGCGGCGCCTAGGTAGGTCATAGGCATAAATCTTTAATTAATTTCCTGAACGGTCTAAAGCTGTCGTGCGATCGCGTTAGTTCGTGATTCTAGTATCACGAGCAAAATCCATATAAAGACCTAGGTCTAAGACTTATAAATAGATTCTTTATAGACTTCATAGAAAAGTATAAATATTTCCTAAACCCTACGAATAATTATGCGTTTTCACCCGTAAAAAAAAAATGCTATGGATTGTAATTTATATGATTTCTCTTATAGTGGTCCCTAACTGTAATCTTAAAGAAATAAATGCGATATATTACGTAAAGTCTTAATCCTTAGGCTAAGCCCTAAAGAGTTAAGCGGGAGTACGCTTAGCACTCTTATAATAGCGAAAGAAATTCTTGAAATTTAGGTCACTCCTTTAATAAATAACGTCAGAGTTACGACCTCTTAACTCGTGAATTAAAGGTCGTGAAGACGTTAATTAAGAAGCTAGTATAAGTTAGGTAATCTTCTAACTTTAGGACTAATTAGTCACTAGTTAAGATTTAGTACCGTTACTACTAATGTGCATCTAGTTATGCGCAAAGGTTTAGTTATAAAATGATCTCCGCTACGATTCTAATTTCGTATCTAGCTATCCCACTAAACTTAATTACCCCTCCTTTACGATGGCTTAAACGACCTCTTATCACTCCTCTAACCTTAAGTCCTTCTGTCTGTGTTACACTCACAGCCATAATATAGCACCTAACCTTGCCGGCGTTAAGCTACTTAAACTTATGAAGACAAACATTCGCACTGTCTACTATGGAAGAGAATAACGGCCTAGTATAATTGGCAGAGAATAACTTATAAATAATTGCCATCAGATTTAATCCATTTAACCTCGTTAGACTAGCCTAACAGTAAACTTAACGTGAGAGCTTTATGAAAAACGACTTAAGGAATTATCGTGAACGCTCTATCTAGATAAGATAAACCTATTCTACTGCCAAAACGAAAGAGTTATTTTGAGTGATCTTCTATAGCCATGATAAAATCACATTAATCTTTAATAAGGCTATATATCTAATCTTTCTAAAGAAGCATAAGAAGTTAGCTTCATAAGGATAAAGTACTTCTAGCGCTAGTATAGTGAATTAACCTAGAATACGAGCGCATTTTATTATATATAGACCTATCATAGTTATACTTTAACCTAATCTTTAATACTATTCTTAAGCTCTTCAGTAAAGAAAGCATATTACTAGTTAACATAAGTTAGTGAAGCTACTATCATAATAAGAGACCTATTTAACTAATAAGGTAATAGCCCTACCTAGAAAGAGATTAATAATGATATTATGAATAACTTAGATACATAGAAGAATAAGAGAGAAAGAAGATTATTTTTAGATCTTAAGGTATATTTCCCTTTCAATAATTCGCGATATAACCTTAAACATTTAGGGGACTATGCCTCATTAATTAGGGTGACTACTAATTTATTACTAGTGTATATCTCTTATTCCCCATAAATTCTAGTGACACCATAAATCTATATCTAAACATTAGCGTATCAGAACTTTCTATTAATAATTAAAAAGGAAGGTACGGTGAATCTACCTAATAACCTATTCTCTTAGTATTATACTATAAATAGTATCTCTATATAGTAGCTCACCCTAACTAGCTAACTTTACTTACCTACTTTTAACTAAGATCCATCCTAAGAGAGGAATTCATAACTAATTATATCTATTATTAATAAGACAGGATTCTTTAACTAAGTTCTATATCCATTTAAGTATTAAGATACTAAGGTTAATAACGTGCAGGTTAAACTAGCAGAAGTCTCTATAGATATAGTGCTAGTGACAATAGAAACACTAATAGCTATCTACACATTATGAACTACTAAAGGTTCTAGCTTTCACATGCTTAGATAAGGTCCTAGCGATAATAAGATAGCACTACTAAGAACCGCCTTAGGCTAGTGAGAGTGTGCGATCCTATTTAAGGAGATACACCTAGAAGGTAAGTAAAGTAATACTACTAAAGACTAAATTCGCTTTTAAACCTAGGAATTATAATCGCGAGTGACACGAAAATTATTATAAATTAAGTAACTTCATTATTATCGCCTTAAATACATTATATAAATGTTATTTCCTTAAAGATTCACTTTATATTTTTAACCATTATTACCTACTTATAATAACATTTCCCTTTAAAGTCACATTCTATATTAATAAAGTAAATCCTTATTCGGTGCGAGAGTTATTTTATGATTCTATTTAGTCTAAAGACTAAATACTATACCCTTAATAAAGATAAATTAGATTATTTATGAGACTTTTATTTAAGGATTTAAGCTAACCTTGCGCTAAACTAATAATCTTTCTATTTCGATTCTATACTTATATAGATATAGAGTCTATAGGTTTATTTATTACTAGGCTTTACGTAGCTTCTTAACCCGTATTATATTCTAGTAATATTCCTACTCTTTTAAGTTATTTCTCTGTTATAGGCTACACTAATAACATAAGTCTTTATTTACTTATAGGGATCCTAGAAGCTAAGCTTTATCACTAATTTTACTTTCTAAAGTCCAGTAAGTTTTCTATTTAATCTAATAAAGCGTTATACTAGTCTATTCCTTTTTCCTAATGATAATATATATATAAGAGAGAAAGGTGCCTTCGTACTTTACTTAATACTTCTATATATATAGATTAAAGGCTAATATTCTATCTTAAAGATTAACTAGAGTTATACTATAAAGGTTCTTTAACTTAATCTTAGTGTTAAGCTTCTTAGCCTTTAACCTAGTTATAGTGTTAACTAAGACAAAATTCTTTAAGTGTATTCACTAATCCTTAGTATTTAATAAATACTTATACTCTCTATAGTTATAATAGAATCTCTAATTATAGGCTAAGTTATAGTCCTAGAGTCTATTAAAGGGAAGTCTTATAACCTCAGAGTTAAGGGAAGATAAGTTCCCTAGGCTTCGCGCTCTAATATTAGGATTTATTACATTATAGATAGTGATAATAATACTAGAATTTACTACTAAGCTATCTAAGGTAAATAAGCTATTTAAGATAATAAAGCTATTTAGGCTATCTAAGCTATCTATATATTAAGGTAACTTTAGGTTATATTCTGCCATGATTTCTTTAAATGTGTTCACTAATAGTTAAGATAATTCATGGCTTCCCCTTTTAGGTAAACACTTCGAAGTTAATAATAGAATAGATAAAGTGATCTAGTGATAGTTAGCTTATGGAATGACAGGTTAAATTGTCTTACTGAAGCGAAGAATTTGTGCGCCTTAAACTCCTTAAAGATAGGTTTAAGGCATAGTTAAGATAATTAATTGTAGAGTAGCTAATATCTTTTAAGGAAAGAGACTTAAGAAGTAGAAAGGAGGAGAAGATATGAAAGGGCATATTAAGGGTTAGCGACTTTACTTATACCCATTAGTAACGGATTTTGCTAAGAGCATAGCCTCTGTTCTCGCTCTTATTAACGAGAAAGTAAGACAGGATAATAGGAAATAGGGCGAATTAGGTTAATGAGTAGGGGGTAATGATGGCATTTACTTGTTCATAGTTACTTTAGGTTACCTTCCGCCGCTGGTAACTGAATCTCATTCGATAGAGCTCTGTAGGGAGGTCATAAACTCGCAGACAATGGCTTCTCCATACTGATATTATTGTTCTAGTAGCTAAACCTTCATTGCTGATAGGTGTTGTGTGCTTAGGATTGCTTAGATCAATGTAATGAGACTATTGTCTTCGAAAAAAGTGAGATAAGTAAAGACTTACTTTACCGAAAACGAAACAGGCATATAGCGGGTAACAAGTCAGAGTTAATGTATCTACATTAATAGGCGTTAACAGAGTGCCTAGAGTGTTCGATGGCTAGCCATTATTTTTGCATTAGGGGATTCAGAGCTAGATGCTGGACTCACCAGTGATGATGAGAGCATCACTCTCGGAGATAGCACGACGCGGTGTCTTTAATTAGCCTTGTCAGCAAACTCCCCGGTCACCAAGGATAAACGTTAACCATATATTAACCGGTTAAAAAACTGATATTGCACCGATCTACCTATAGTCAGAGCAAAGATCCTGGGGCAACATACTATACTTACCTATCGCAGCATTTTGTCTCGAGCGACTGCGCCCTTAAAGACACTCCACGGTGAATCTGTGTACAGATTAATCCAGCCAGCTCTTACCTTCGCAGCCACGAACTAGCAAGAAGTATGTGGCTAGATATATGGAGGTGTGATGGTTGAGAGCTCATGTAATAGGCTGGTACCTTCATCTGGATTCTGTCGCGGTCTCTGCGGTATATATTCCATTGGCTTCTTATCATTCTTGTGTATAGAGAAAAATTCGCTTGCAACTTTGGCTATAGGTACTTTTGCTAATCGTGGGCTCATCACGGTTGAGAGATATCAATGTTGACAGAGGTGAGTGTTAGCGTAATAGGAGATAGAAGACAGTGCTACTATTCGCAAGGCAGGATGGATTACAGTAAACGGTTAATCTAAGATAGGAAGACTTCGTCCTCTGAGGGACTTAATATTTCTTCTTATCTAGGTAGGTTCATGTGTCAGTAACAATCACCAGCCTGCGCCATGAGACTAAACTCCAAGCTAGTCCAAATCAAAAGAGGAAAGTGCGCCGAACCGAACGGTTTAATGCTGATCCAGAATGTCATGTTGAGAGATTCCTATACAGCGAACATTTTCTCAGTGAACACAAGATTTCTCTGATTGTCTTCGTATATTTATCTCTGGCTCGAGAAGTGCGTCGATAATAGAAGGCCGCCTATTGCATTTTCTTTTTAGGCTTTGCAACCTCTCCCAGAACCTGAGAACTGCAAGCGTTGACCACTGATTCAACGTTTCAACCCCTCCCTCCTACAAATCTCAGTCCTGGAATATTCTGCTCTACAATAATCACCCTCCACACAGAGCGATGGCTACGCCGACATTCATCGTGGCTCCCCCTAAAGCTGAAGAGATAGCCAGACGCTTGGAAGAAGAGGTGTGCAGGCGACACGTTTCAACTCCTGAACCCGTTTTCCGGAAACAACATGATACCCAATCCTACGATTATCTCTGCGAAATAGAGCGTAAAAGATTCAAGCAAGGCGAGATTGACGACCTTCAAGCCACAATCCCGGGGCCTTTCTATTGGGAGTGCGAAGCCCGGACACTTAAAGACCTTCTATCCGAGGCTATATGGGGGAACATCATTCACAAACACAGCATGAACGCCGTACCAACTACAGAATGCTGGCGGAACGTCGTGAGCGACTATAGATGCCTCTTGAAGAGTGAGGGATACTCGACACAACAAATAAGAGAAGGCCGATTTTCGATTAAAGATCAGAGGTACTGGAAACACGAGGCGGAATGTCTTTGAGAGGAGGCAGCTCTTCGTGAACACATTATGCAGGTCAAGTATTGGGAAAAGAAGGCAAACTTGGAGGAGTTCCCGAGCCCTACCGGGGCTGAATTTCGGCAGGTATTCTCACGGAAGGAGCTAAAACGTCGACTTTAGAACAAGACTAAACAGCCTGAACGACGGTCGCTACGGTGTCAAAAGAGCACCCGACAGGAAAAAGTCTCAGATGGTGCATCAGGATTACGCAGCGCACCCTCGAAAGTCGTTAAACGCCGCACTAGAGTGGGCGCTAAAAACCACCAATCCTGAATTCCCGTACAGACTGCAGATGAGCATTTCGACCAGTCGTATCCAAACATCTCCATCGCTGAAAGATGAATGGATCAAAGATGCGCTTCATCATCATGGGCCGGTCTCCTCAAGAAACAAACTTCAGTGCCATGTCATTCGTCACCTGGAAGTTGAAAGCGCTGCATTCTAGCCTCCTATTTAAGCGCTATGGACGAACGTCCATATTTATTAATCTTGCTCCCAGACACTACATCCCGCAATCACAACATTGCTTGACCCTGGAAAACATCACGGCGACCAGCTCGGTCTCAGATCTTTCTCGCACCCTTTTGCTTTTAGGAAGTTTCTCGGGCATTCGCAATATCCTTGATCTGTCTGACAATGCTAGATACGAATTCAAACTACCCAGAGGCGACGATGAAAGATTAGCGGACTGGAGCGGCAACCAATCTGAAACACTTATTGCACCCGTTCTTGCTCTGATGTTCGGAGAGCACATGTACTCTCCGCAGGGTTGGATATTTGGGTCCTCGGATGACTCCGACAAATGCGATGTTCAGCTGGCCACCAATAACACCACCGTCATCAGCAGACAGCACTTCAGAATCGACGTAAGTCCAAGTATGGATTGCCCAAGATTGACAGTGCTGTCGGGGAATCCCGTATCCATGACCGCACTGTATCCCTCAATAAAGGGCAAGTCATAGAGATTATCTCGGCAGTCTCCATCGACCTGGGGGAAGTCAGGATGAGGGCCTGGCGCCCAACCTTATCCCACCAGGAACAAATCAGCTACCGCCAAAATGTCGAGAAGTTTAGTAAGGAATTCCTGGACGCTTTGTCGAGGCTCCCTATCAGCGTAAATGCCCCCGGAGTCTCGACATTCTCAATGCGGTTTGGGAAAAACAATGCCGTGTATCGGCGAGAGGACACAGGAATCATAGGCACGGGAAGCTTCGCCTCGGTCATGAAGGTGAAAGAATTGCACTCCCGCAAAGTATTTGCTGCCAAGGTGCCGCACTTCAAAGCCTCAGATCCTGCCAGCAGGGCTCGAGAGCGTTGGGAATCTCTAATGGAAGAATTCAACAAAATTGTTGAGCTCCGACATGTAAGTGGCCTAAATAGTTACTTCTGCTCTTTGTACAGTACTGATTGTCCTCCAGCCGCATATAGTAGAGTCCATTGAAGTCCTCACGGGAAGTCACGGGAATGATTCGTCTTGGTCAATTATGGAATGGAATGATCCGCCTTGGTTAATCATGGACTGGATTGAGCATGACCTTAGCTCAATCCATCTCGATGCACGGGACGTTCCAACTCTTTTGCTTCACGTCAGCGGAGGACTGGCTTGTATTCATGCTATCGGTTTCACCCATCGAGACCTGAAACCGGAAATATTCTCCTCCAACTACAGGGGCGCAGGTTGGTAATCGCCAAGATTTCCGACTTTGGGATGACAAAGTATGACTTTTCCGGGAAGATGCGGACATATGCCGGATCCAGTGTCTATATGGCCCCTGAGTTCAGGGAGCAAGAGCTAGCTTACACCAACGCCGTCGATATGTGGTCTTTTGGAGTTATAGCGGTCGAATATCTTACCCATTTGGGAACGAGACTCGATGGATGGGATGCGAAGCTCGCGCCAACCAAAAGTCAGCACCAAGGATGGGTTGATGGAGTCCTCCGAAAGCGTATGGCAGATGCACCGAAGGAATTCAGGCACTTGCTGCTGGGATTGCTGTACGAGAAACCGGAGGATAGGTGGACGGCCATTGATTGCGAACAATGGTTGTGGGAGAATGCCTCAGCAAACACAGGCAGTAGTAGGAAGCGAAGAGTGTCGTCCCTACAAGAGTGATTACTAAACGACAATCCTCTTACGTTTGGAAAGGTCTGTGCTAGCCATGGTCTTGCTACCGACGATCTCCAGCGGATCATGCCTCATAATTTTGTGCAAAAGACCCATAGCAGAGTCAATCTTGAAATTCTCCTCTTTACAATGACATTAACGAAACTTTCAAAGATAGCTGGCGGGAGGCAGGAAGATTTTGCAGGGCAGAAACTAAATCAAGCGCAAGATATTTGCTAGGGGGCCATGACGGCACTTGGTTGTGCGTAATTGCTCCAGGATGCCTTCCGTCGCTGACAAGCATGTCTTCATTAGACAGAGGTCTGCAGCGAGGTTACGATTCGTAGACAGTGGTTCCACGTAAACGTTCATATTGATCGTGATACTGTCCTGGTGGCTGGCTTGATAAGAGTCGCTCCCTCTGAAAGAAGCAAAATAGACCAAAACTTGTTCTGCTGAGATTGGGAACATCTAGAGCAATTAACAATTCGGAATCAGGGTATCTGTGTTGGCCCAGATTGGTCCCAAGCCTTGGTTGAATCGAGACTTTTTTGCTGTAGTCATAGGAATACTTCGCACAGGGATCAAGGGCACAGGCATTCCGTAGCAAGACATTCTTGTACCAGCTGGCCTACACTTGGTGAAGCTTATCTAACTACTGACTAGAAGGACAGCTGGTGATTTACCACCAAATACTTCAATATGTCTTCCTTCCATCCTCGGAGAGGGGTGGTGTATTACTTCACAAAAGTATGATCAAGAGAGACCAGCCTTTCGAGGTTCGTATATTTGCCGACAATGGAGCAGCTTACCAGTTAGAAGCGTACCACCCGTTCGAGGGTATGCCGTCTACCTTTTGCTCACTTCTCGAGTGAGGGAGTCCTGGAAAGCATATTTGGCAATCGCCTCTGCAGAATATGAATATGAGGACTATCATGGTTACGACGAAGTTTGTAGTCTGAGATCTTAAGCCTCATCTTGTTAGCTTATTATGTGAGCCCTTGAGAAAGTTTCAACTGTGCCTCTAGAATATCGTCTGCGTTGTGATACTGTTTCTTCCAGCATTGCATCATAATTGTACCGCCTATTATCCCTCCCACATCAGGATATATACCCCTTTCTAGCAGCGCAATAACTCGGTCTTCGAACTGCCACTTATCTTCTTCCTCCTCTTTGGTCAGGTGACTCGTTTTGTAAGGCCATAGGCCAGTCATGATGGTATAGAAGATAGATCCTAGACTGAATATGTCTGTGCCGACTGTTGACTCCCAGCTCAAATTCCAAAAAGGAGGATCTGGTAGGCCTCTCCCATCTACACCTAAGTCTCGACACATCGAACCGCCAAAATCGCACAATTGGAGATCGAGAGAATTTAGCGATCGGTGAACGAGATAGTTTTCTGGTCGAAGGTCCGAATGTATAACGCCTTTGCTGTGGATGTACTGAATGGCCTCTGTCGCCTGTAGACACCACTTCTTCCGCATTGGAATATCTATCTTGTCGTTGTTTTGGTCGATGTAGTGTTGTAAATCACCGTGGCTTGCCTCAAGAAACAGCAGTCCTTTGAGTTCCGAATCATTTTGATAGCCTCTGTACCTAGGAAATATCAAAAAAGGACACTTCTGTAGTATCATGGTTATATACTTGACAATCCTCGGATGCTCTCCTAAGCTCTTAAGAATCTTATCCTCAACGAGCAACTTATATCCCTCTGTTTCGGCTAATTTTGGATGTATTGACTTGATGATCATTCCTTCCTCGACTGCAAAGAAGGCTGCGGTCGAGCCAATGTACTCCTTTACTGCGATCGCTCTCATCGTGTAAAACAGTGACCATTTATTTCCACAGCAAAAATTGGAGGCGCACGAGTGCGGCGGATTGTATTTAAAGGTGTACAGGAAAGATTGACTAGCTACATTTGTCAAGGATCGTCTAGATGTGGCATAGCAACCAGCTAGCCTCCCCCTACAACCTTCCACTTTCGTCTGATTTTCTGGTCTCCTTTTTCTGACAGTTAGAACGCTGGATATAGATGGTTACGGTATATTCTTACCGAAATTCAAGGACTTCTACAGTTGACTCTGCCGCACTTTCCCTTGACTCTGCTCGAGCCCATTTGGTTGACTATGACCTTGTGGCCCGCATGATCCATTTCTTTGCAAGGGGTAAACTTCACATCTTCGTCGACCCGGTCGCCACACTCGTAGATCTTTGTCGCTACGCTTTTGGTGCACATGTTCAACAGACAGGCGACTTAAGGCGCTCTAAACTTGCTTTGATTTTTCTTTTAATGTATGATGGAAATATTGGTAGGTTGTCTTACCATTGATTCATAAGGAGTTTGATTCATATATTTATATTTTGTCCTAGTTTTTGTCCCAATCAATCTTGTCCATCGTGTTGTACACTGTAACCATGCGTTGGCAGCAGCAAACATCCGGCCATCCAAATGCGGGTAAGAGGCCAGGCTGCTCAGAAGCAACTTCCGCCTTCTAAGAGGAAATCAGTGGTCACATGGAAAATTGACGCATTAGCGCTGCGCTATGGCGCAGCATGCCTATCTGTCAGCCCGAAGGATGCTGACGGATTTCCTAGGAATTCCCTAGGACTTTGCCAAATCTTCCTACCACTTTCTTATGTATTCTCCCTTATTTTGCCCAGTGTTTTTCATAGTTTTCTACACTATCCAATAGTGTTTCAGCGGAGAACTTCTGGACTTTCTCAGAGCTGTACTAAGCTCGGCCGCGGAATTCATTAATTCTGCTTGACTATGGATGTTCCCCGTGTGCTCCTCGAAACCCGAGCAAAGCACAGCTTCCGTTACGAGGATGGTTATGACGGAGTTGCTAGCGACGACCTCTTAACACTACTTCGCATTACCCGGGAAGCAACACTGTCCCTCGAAGAAGAGCTTTCAAGGCGACGAAACTTCGAGTTAGACGTTTCGGACAAGGTCAAGTCTTGCATCAGGAAACTTCGATCTAGCATAGACACACTGAATGTCACGGAACGATTCGAAGACCCTTCCAAGCAGCTCCCCGCTGCAATCAAGGCACTCAAAGGAGATTCCACTGAACGAAAGACAACAACCTACAAGCAATTTCTCGAGGACGTGCAGAAGCAGTGCAGTCCTGGAGCGGTCGTACTGTGCGCTTGGGCAATTGGCAAGGGTGGAATTGTTGGGCTAAAGAAAACGGAGAGGATCGAGCTATTGAGGTATCTCAAGCGGCACGTCAGCCAATTCAAGCATCCTACTCTTGATGAAGTCGCGTCAGGGAGCAGAATTGGAACTACGGCAGGCAACCCCATCGGTACAGCCAGTACAATACACCCTCTGCCCGTCGAGAGGCGTAAGCCATTATTGCTTTCCATTTGCAAAGCCCGCCTAATATGTATACAGAAATTGAGTATAAATACTCCGAGGCAGATGTTGATCTGCTTCCCTTGATAGGGAATGACCTCCTTTCTGCATTAAAGACCAGTAGACAGTGGGAATGGGAGCTGCAAACAGGTCACTTGCACAGAACTACAGATTGTATCGCAGGGCTAACACCAAGAACTCGAGGCGACATAGCTCTTCACTTGCTCCTTGGCTTTGAAGAAGGAAGTAAAATTATTGAAAGGCTTCGGATGGCAGCCGTTTAGATGAATGCTATGTGTGCCTTGATCACGCGAACCTTGTTGTTCTTAGGTACTAGGTGAATATCGTAATTCTCTTCATCCTCGTACTCCCAGAAAGGTGGAGTGGTCGCCGGTTCTGTGGGATCGTAGATCTGGATCAACTTGCCCTTGCATTTTATCCGTCTGTCGTGGTCGACTGGGTCAAATATTTTCGTTTGTATGAATTCTTCAACGCCTTCCAATGCCTTCTTTCCGACCTGCGTAGAGATGCTATTAGAGTATACAGCAGTGACAAGGGAGATCCACAAACCGGCTCAAAGTTGTCTTCCTTTCTCTTCTTTCCTCTGGGCATCTCCTCAACCCTAACATTCGCAAGGTCTTTGCAGGCCTGAAGTAGAATGCAACAGTCCCGCTGCTGTGCGCTTAGAGATGAGATCAAGGGCTATCTGAATCAGTAATGACACCTACGTTCACTGTGTCATGACTGACTCTAAGATACGTGGCTGGCTCGATACGCCGAGGGTGAGATAAGATTTATTGTGAGGTCGCAGTCAGGAAAGAGTCCGTTGGGCAGTGAGGAACCACTTTCGCTCCAGCGCGTGAAGCGAGGATGAACAAAGGATGAGTTTGAACTTCGCAGGTACAACGAATTCTCAATATATGAAAGGCAGTGCTGACAGAAATACGTGACACTGGTATAATTCATAGTGGGTGTTGCTACCCAAAAGAAATTGCAAATGGTCATCTGGCGACACAGCACGATAAACTGCCTGCGCCAGGATGTCGGTCGCCCCTCACACGTGACTTTCCCTAACACCAACACAGCAGACAATAAAAGACACAAAGACACTCATAGGAGATGAGAAAGAATGAACCGTAACAATGAGATGACTTTTTCTCAAACCCGCACAGACGATCACATTGCGGCTAACAGGAGTTCGCCATAAACCCAGTCGGCGGACGACGAACTCCCACCTCTACGTGGTGTCCGCTGGGAACTCTCAGAGAAACAGTCTGGCTGTCTGTGAGTGCCAGGAGGAGCTCAACAACGCGGTGATCTTCTCATGAACGACATGTCAAAGTCTCGGAAACCACCCTCTGCGCCTCCCCAAACACCCCAACATGCAGGCCCAGTACGCAGGAAGGGGCTGGCGCCACTTTCATTTACTCCCCTGGACGGATGATGGACTTCGGCACTCCATCTGTTCCTGCTCGACCACAATCTACGGTATCGGAGAGTGAAGAGTACACGGCGAAGAGGCGCGGTTGAATGGCAAGAGCTGGTCTACCACACAGGACAATCACATCAGACAGAAGAACACACATTTCAGGAAACCTTTCAGACGTTTCACATACTGCCACTTTACAGCACGCAATGCACGCGCAGGACGCGGTGGCGACGCATCAACTTGCTGATGGTGTCCTCGTGATCGAAAGCGAGCATTGACCGGGGAAACATCAACGAGCACGCCTCGAACACTTCAAAGCACTTCCACTACGGTCACATCGACACTTCATGCAGCGCATCGCAAACAGATGACTGTTGCAAGGGGCAGCCAATCGCACAGGCGGCTCAGCGATAGATTTGCAAACGATACAGAACAAAGGACTGGATGGGATCCACGGAGGACTGGACAGGACCCGTGGATCCCATCCCGGCGGTCACGTCCACAGTACGCCCATATACTTTGAGCAGATGAGTGGATATTGGTATACAGAAGCAGAGGAGGGCCGGGGACGGCCTGGTACAGTGCACAAATTCAGAACAGATACCATGATTGTTAGTAGGGGTATCCTTACTCAAAGTCGAACGCTGCATAGCTCCCACTTAATCGGCGGCTGGGACAGTCTATGATGTAATCAATCAATCAATCAATAAAATAAACCCAGTTAGCTGTACTACAGTAAGGAGAGCAAAATAGAGTCAGAAATGTACTTGATAACAAGTCGAAGCCTGTATCTATGGCCGGTTCCAGAGATTACTCGCAGAATGCTAGTTAGATGCGGTAAATGGTGGGTAAATGCTAGGTAAATGGTGGGTAGATGCTAGGTAAATGCTAGGTAGGTGCTGGCTAACTGCTAGGTAGATACTGAGTAGAAGAAGAAGCGCTAGGGAAATGCTAGGTAAATGCCAGGTAATTAGTGGAATGCTAATTGATTGCCCTGCAGAATGCCACGAATCCGCCCTTCGTACTCCGTATGACCTGAAGGATTGGGCTGGACGAAGGAACCGTGTGCTGACAAGCTACAGCCTTTCCTGTTGATATCCACGATCGTGGAGGTTGTGACAGCAGTTTGTGAGTGCTGTCCACTAATGTCGTCTTGCAAGTGCTTCCATTGATATTCGTTATGCCATACAGAATCTGGGCAGCATAAGCATCCAACTTCGACGATCGTGTCTCAGGCTACCTTTCAAAATACCTGTATCCTACCACGTTTCCCGTTATCGCAATGCGGAATCAAGCATCAGCATATTTCCCAGGCGGGCGTCCGATCTTTGTACAAGAATGCCCGTCGTTTGCTACTTTAGCTCCGAATTCGTACTTGTTGTGTTATGTGGCAAAATATGCATACCATTGAAATCCTTTGCGCCACGAGACAAGCTAGCAAGCACTCTTGATGCATTATTGAGACGGTCATGTTTCAGTCTGCGCGTCCAAGGAGACTGTGACCTGTCAATGTAGGGTCGCATATTGGTCTGCTATCTCTCCCTCTTCTTAACATAATCCTGCAGCATGAAGCAAGGATGCGATGTTGTTAGATCGATAGTCTTCGACAAGGGTCTGCGCTGGTCGTTCTAAGGTACCTGCGATCTTAATCGAGGGACGCGCAAAAGTAGCCGAAACCTCGAGCGCGAAGCCAAGCTTTGTTAGCAAATATAAGGTTGTCAGCATTCCCCAGTAGACTTTGATTCTATACCTCAATCGATCAATCAATCAATCAATTAATCAATTAACTCCTAATGAGAAAGCTCGTCTTCACCATGTTAGCAAGTCAAAATAATAACGGAGAACCTTCTCCTCCTCGAGAACAACCGAAGAAGAAAGATAATTAAGTAGTGTCTGCCACCTTAGCTGTTAATACTGAAACTAGATATCAGAATAATGCTGCCTCCAACACGAATGGGATCGCCGATAAGGTAAGCAGAACCTTTTATCTCTGCCTAATATTAGCCTCGTTTTATACTCCTATTTCCTTAACTACCACGGCCCGCAAGCCATTTATCGTTAATGCTATTACTGTCAATGTTATTCTCTGTTAATAGTACTGCATCATTAAACTTAGGAGGTTTAGTACTGAATATTATCTAAAGTCCCAGGTAACTTTTACTTAGGAAGACATTAATAAGGCTGAAGAACTAGACTTTAATGAAGATAATGCGTTACAACTCGAAAGCCTCCTAAGACCAAATGGTGAAAATAGCGGTAACTAGGTTCTGCATCCCTATCTCGTTAAAGGAGCTACTTAAAATCAACGGAGACTATCTAGTGACTAGAGTATCAAATTACATACATATCTTAGATATTTAGTGCCTCTATATACCGAAATACTATCTGTGGTTTGTAATTACAATAGACTATATAAAGATCTCTTAGGATGATAATATTATATGTAAAGCTCGTCAACATTCATTGAAGGGAGGCAGAACCTATTGCGGAATGAACAGTTTATGCTGGTATATAGCACGATAACCAAACCTAAAATCACTTCTTAAAGCAGTAAGTTATTCTCCCTATTGGGAGTTATCCCTCCTCAGTGAATACGCTACTTAAGCATAGCCAATCACGGTTAAGTGGGTAATTTATGACGTGTCCCTAAAATTAGCTCCAATCACAAAACCACACCTTTTGTGGTCATTTAACTACTGTTTCATTCCTTAGACGTGTATCCTTCTAATCTTAACACCTAGGCTTAGACTATAAAACAACAACCCTTTAATATCCATCTAGAGTAAAGCTGACGCCTTGACTTTCTTTACTCCTTTCCGCGTTAAAGATATGCCAATTATTCGAGGTATCTAAGCACTAAGGGAAATTGCTAAAAAAGTGGTTCTGCTCACTAAAGACCTGGTCCGGGCAGACGATTCTAAAGGGAATCTGCAATACTAGTGAGAATTTAGGTCGCTTAAATAGGAGATAAACTACCTAAAGGCAGCTTTATTCTGTCGACACTACTATGAAGATAATGTACGATAAGAATAACTCCCTTATAGGGTGAAATTTACTAACCATTCGTAAGCACTTAATTATCTATAATTACTATCGAAAAGAGCATGGAATTTCTCTGCGTTTAACCAATATAAAGTTAATTTATAGCGCTTAAGGATTTAAACTAGGGGAAAACTAAGTGCTTATTACTAAGGTTATTCCCTATCTATCTACTAAGGGGTAAGTTATTACTAGTATAGAAGCCTCCTAGTAAGTAGCTAGTAGTGAGGGAATCCCTAGGCAAGTTATTAATGGTAAAGAAATATCTCTTAACAGAAAGCTAACTGAGCCGCTTGAGGCCGCAATCTATCAAATCTTAGATGTTAGCCTTAAGCCTCGTTTTGAGCCTTTTAACTTATAGCCGAGTGATACTCTAGCCATATATAGACCTAAGTGTGTGATCATAAAGAAAGGTATTATAGGTGCGATGTGCTTTAAGTATAAGGTGAAGTCAGATATAATGTCGGTGCCTTCAACCGCTTAACGGGTCTATAGAGTGTGCAGGCGCTTAAAAACGGCGTGAAAACACCATTGCTGACTCATCCTATCATAGAGATTCGAAGCTGTCTAGAAGCAGCAATAAATAATAACCGAAGTTTAAGTCTTCCAAATAGTTAATCTAGGCATCCCAATAAGAATTAGTGTATGTGGAATCGGCATCTCCATTCTCATCGTGTTGTTCCCAGAGTTAATCTTGCACTGGCGGGTTAAAATCGACCTTATTTAGTAGCTCGAGTAGGGTAGTGTTGTTGACTGTATATCGGCCGGAAGGGACACTAGACGATCCTCCATTGTCATTTTGAGGTAGAGACATGTCTAAGCTTCTGTGTTCATGTTTAAAGTCCCTTAGAATCCCAGGGACATCATTTCCGCGGCAGG